GTTTTTTGTTTTGGGGGGTTGTGGTCCCTGCGGGGGTTTTGTCTGTCAATGGGGGGGTTTCATAATTAATTTTTTACTAATTTAAAACCAAAAATCCAACCCCCCCCCCCCCCCCCCCCCCCTCGCAACTTCTCCGCACCACGATACGCAAGTGACCCTCAAGTTGAAAACCAGCCACCCCTGAACCTCCAGCCACACCAGAGCGCTACCCCAAGGACTGCCCACGGCAAGAGGGCTCGCCCGACAGCTTTCGATGCTCTTCCTACCAATATCTGAACCTTTTCGTCAAACCATACCTTCTCATTGAGCCGTGGAAATGGCTCCTCTGGCACATCCTTGCCCAGAAACTGACAGAGGGGCTCCCATCCATCCTCCAACCTAAACTCGAGCAACCTCTCCTTTGGCGTAATCTTACTCACCAGCGCGTAGTGCGCTCGATAGACGTTCTTGGCCTTGCGCGCGCCTTCCTTGTACGAGTGGATTCCCGCCCAGCCCTCCACCGCCCTCTTCTGCACGAGGCCCACGGAGCGAAAGTAGGAACGCTCGATAATGATGAGGAGATTCGCCATTGGGTCAAAGACATTAGTAACAATGGAGTGCATGTAGCTTTCGTACCAGTTGTCGATGTCCCTCTCGATGAGAACGACCTTGGCTTCTGGATAGGCGGCCACGAGTTCCTCTGCAAAGCAGATGGCCGGGGTATCCGAACTCACGGCACCAAAGGAGGACAGTAGCTGGTCAAACTCGTCGCTGCCAATGGGCTCATAGGGCTCTTTGGGGAAGAACTTTCGCTCCAAAATGTCGAGCCACTTCTCGTTGTCGCCAAAGTGCGCGGACAGGAGCTGGAACGAGTGCCAGCATGGGATGCCCAGGGCTTCCAAGGCGGCCGACATGGCTTTGATGTCATGTCAGTCAACCTTACACAGATTGATGGCTGCTAGTCGGCGGTTTCCACTTACTGGATGTCCCCGTGCGATTGAAGCCAAGGCAGAGCACCTGCATCGGGACTGTACGTGTTCTGCCCCTGGGCGACTCTCTGTTGAGCGGCACAAAGAGTTCCGGATGGCGCTCTTGAACTGATGACATGGCGAAAAGCGGCTTTGAGATTCTGTTTTGACCGTAGTGGTATACGACCCCGGAGACAACACTCTCATGAGTGTCATCATCCATCTTCATCGAAAGCTGGACGTAGGAGACTGCGACGGTTCTGTGCTTATTATTAGTCATCCATATGAACCCCTTCTTCTCATAGCAGATACAGAATAACCCGTACGTGCTCCATTCCCCAAGAGGTCACGGTCAGCAGCACTTCGCCTGTCTTACCCGCGATGTCTCACTGCACCCAAGTACCGACCCGTTGTCTCAGCCACTCGGCCGGCCCCCCTTCGAATAATAAAATATTTTGCAGTATCTCTCGTCACTTAGGAATGTCTCAGATAAAGTATATAACATTGCAAGAAATTCACTGCGGCCAAAGTTCAGGCTTGAAACCCGATTATCTACAAGAATTGTACCAATTCGCCAGAGCTTGAGGATTTCTCATGAGTTCGACTTGTGGACAGTCATACATTGTCTTGAGTATTTTTATCTTTGATCTTATATTTCTTGACAGCAAATCTTTCCTGAGCCTTATGAAACTCGGGGTTTGCCCTATCCCAAACACATCAGGAAGTCGCAATTTTTTCGGCCAGCAGCTTGTGAATGACAGAGCCTTGAGTCTCATTACATGAAATTAGGACCATACTTCCTGTGGGGCCTCCCATTCTTGCCATCGGCATAGCCCGTATCGTAGGCTATGTCTTGGGCTGCCGCTATCATGGACGCAGCCCCGGCGTCACACCCGGCCTTGTAGCCCGCCTTGTATTCTGGACTTGTCTTGTTGATTCTGCCTCGCTTCCGGCTGGCCTCCACCGCGGCGTCGACGGCGGACATGCACTTTCGCTTCGGCTCCGCGGGTCCCGATCCCTCATGTTCCTCTTTACCCTCATCGCCACCCTCGCTGTCCGAGTCGGCAGCACTTTCGCCGCCCTCATTGTCTGAGTCATGGAGGCCGTAAGACTCTACAGCCTCCTCCATGGAGAATCCTTCACCAAACATGACTGTCATGTCCTCAAGTTCGTCGGGGGTGATCTTTGTAATGAGGAGACAGTTTTCATAGCTGTCCAGCCACATAATCTTGTAGAGGTCTTGCTCAATCGCCTCTCTATCCACGAAGCAAAAGTAAGAGCTCATGCGATCGCCCAGGCTCTCCAAATCTTGAAGATTCTGTCTCTGGCTTCGTCCTTGGTTCGCTTGATAATCCGATCTGTCCTTATCGCAATATCCAGGCATCCGCTCAAGTAGTTTCAATCGTAGTCTCTCCGGGTCATCATCTAGATCGTACAATTCCTTATCGTCTAGAATCCGCATCATGTCCGTATTGATATGCGCGTCGAAGCTCGGCACCATTTCAATGTACCTGGACTCGAGGGCTTTGTCGTAGCAGAGACGCACCCAGACTGGGTTGCTACTGCTGCAAAGCTCACTCAGATTCCTTTCATTGTTGGTCTGAAATGGACGGAGAACTCGATTAATCTTTTCACGAACAAGGTTTGGTTGCGAGCCATCATTCTTCTGTGTCTTGAACAAGTTTGCCTTCTCGTGATAAGGCTTTGTGAATAGCAGCTTAGCGAGTGTCCCCTCTAAACACCACTTGGAGAAAGGCACATACACGACGTTGGATTCGTGGCAAAGACAAGTAAGACTTGACCAAAGTCTTCCATTGGTCGCCATCAGAATCGATAGGGGCGTCATAGTCCCATTTCTCCTGATAAATCATGCGCTGTTAGCAAGGCGGCACGATCAAATTGTCGGTCATGGGTGCGTGAAGCGCCCGGAAAAAGCCAGAGCAGGCTTCTTCCCGGCGGATGCGCTACCTACCAGGGCGTAGAGATCGAAAGGAATCCTTCCAAATTGGGTTTCCTTCTTCAGTTTCCTTTCCCGCACCATGGTGCTTGGTATTGCTGCTGGTGATGGAATCAGGCGATGAATGTTGGCTGAACATAGGATCATTTGCTCGCATGAGGTGATTGCTGTGCCGTGAAGTAAGGGGCAGCCAACATGCATATAAACGTGACGTTGGCTTGAACGCGACCGGGGAAACGGACTCGACTTCCGCATACTTGCGTCCAGTCTGAAACACTGTAGGTTCACACTGCCACTCTGAGTACGTATTTCGGATTGACCTACAGAAACTCGCGAATCGCGTCCCAGAACCCTTGCGGCTGCTCACACATGGGCAAGTGTCCAGCACCCGACACGACCTTCAACTCCGCCCCATGACCGCCCAGTTCACCCTTAAACCCATCCATGGCCTTGACCAGAGCCCCTTTGCCATCCACCTCCCCCACGACGAATAATCCAGGGGCCGTGCAAGCACCCATATTCGGCTTCAAATCATAGTCCCAGAGCGCGGTGCAACTATTCGCAAAGCCCTGCACGTCATTTCTAGCCACCATGTCCACCATCCAACCCTTGATCTCCGGCTTGGTGTCTGGATGGAACCAGCGCGCGACAGTCTGCTCAGCGAGCTTTTTGATGCCCTGACCGTTGTCTTCCTCTGCCACGGCGATTCTGTCTTTCCACGCTTGCGTGTTTGCTGCGCTGGACGTGACGTTAAAGTCGCACGCAACAAACTTCTTCAGACGGTCGGGGTGCTGGATAGCAAAGCTCAGGGTTGTCGCGCCGCCCATGGAAACACCCACCAAAGCTTCGGGCTTGGGGATCCGCAGCCCATCGAGCAGGGCGTGGAGATCGGCTGTGACGGTGTCGAGGGTGGCTGCCTTGGGTGGCTGCGGGATGGCATGTCGCCCACGCACATCATAGCGCAGGATCCGCAGGTCTGGCCTCTCTTTCTTGAGTAGCTCAATCAAAGGATCCCACATGTGCAGGTCTGTGAGGAGAGAGTTGCAGAACGCCACGGTCGGTGCATCGGTGGCTTTGTTTCCCTCCAAACGGTACGGAAGGTCTAGACCATCCGACATAGGGACATACGACTCAATCACCGGGCCAGTGGCAACCAGAGTCCTCGTGCGCTCATCTGTAGAGACAAAAGCCGCATCGGATGGCAACTTGGACAGATTCTCCAGGTCCCGCGCGCCAGAGCCAAACACGTAAAACAGCTCGTACATTCGCCTGTCGCTTGACGCGGCATACTTGCTCATGACTTCGCGAGCTCTAGGCGTCGCGAGCGCCGCTTGTGTCTCCGGGCCTCCAATGCCATGGCTTTTGGCGAATTCGTGCAGACCGAGGAACTTGAAGGTAGCCTTGCCGTCTTCGATGACGGACGTCTTGTACATGCGCGAGCGCAGCCACCCGGGGATTTTGGCTAGCATGTTGACGTGCTCCTCTTCGTACCACTTCTGGAGTTCCCCCTTTGCCTGGGGATCCTCGTTGGGTGTGAGATCGACAGCAAGTAACACGCGACCAAGAGCGTCCTGGTCGGTCGTGTCTTCTGGTGCCTTAAACCCGTCTGCGCTTTTCTCGTGAATCAAGTCCCAGAAGCCCCTCGTGATATGGATTTGCGCAACGACGCTCGCCTCGCGCTTAGATCTGTTGGCTCTCAGAGTGAGGTACCGGTCCGTCTCTAGGTCGTGAATGTCCTTGACGTCGTAGATAGCAGCAAACTTGGGCTCGCGGTCATCGAGCGCGCGATAGCGAAGACCGTTGCCGAAGATGTCTGGCATGCGAACACGCGTCGGGCCGTGCTCGTTCTGGTACCATTCATCGAAGACTGGGGGTTCCAAGGTGGGCTTGGGATGCATGAGTGCCTGGAGCAGTCCAGGCGTCGGCATGATGAAGAGGATGTCGCAATGTGCGAGGCGCAATTGGTGAAGGATACGAAAATCGAAGTGCAACAAATGAAAGATAAATTCGAATGAGTGAGAGCGGATGACGAAGATTCAATCTTGAAAATGGGGTTGAACGTTTATCCAAGTCTCGGGAACCGAAACCCCGCATGTGGGAGTCGGCAAATGTATCGGGCATTGGGGCTCGGAATCGGGACCTCCAAGTACTGGAAATATAACATTCTGTTCACAAACTTTTGTGGAGTTGACTTGATCTCAAGACTTTGGCCATCCAATTATCTATCTCTTCGTCTAGTAAAGATCCAAAAAATCTCAACCTCCTATATATATCGATGTCTTCCGTAGGATATGCAAACGCTAGATCAAGGGCGGACGCATCATCCGCCAGACGCGCTTCGTACCCCATATGCATTACAGTCATGTCCCGTTCAATCTCATCTCATGCAGTCGTGCCGTAGCCGCCCGCCTCGCTGACGCTCATAAGTCGCTGCCGCTCCTCCGTCTCGACCTGAACCTTCTCCTCGTGGAACACCCTGCCCTTGATTGCGACATAGGTCGTCAGAGCAAGGCCGACAATGGCCCCGCAGGCACCGAGCCCAATGTTAACGGGCACGGGGTTCCCGTGGAGGGGACCAAACACGAGAGCGTCGATGGCGGTTTGGGCAAAGTTGCTCAGGCCCGAAATGCAGACGACGGTCCCGTAGATGCGGCCGAAACTGGCGAACCCGAAAACCTTGGCGGCATAATCACTACGTTAAGGTTAGCACATGCATTTTCAAAGAGAGACAACGACTGTACTTACGAGATGGCCGAATAGTACAATGGTCGGAAGAGCACAAACAGGATGACGGTGCTGTAACCAGCCCATACAAACGGCAGACAATTCAAAGCGCCAATAGCGATGATAAAGGCCGTCAGCAAGCCGGCAATCGATGCCACACTCAGTCTGTTGAGAATAATGCCAATGAAGGGCGTCGCCGCAATACCACCAATGGGCAGTGCCGCGTCGAAAAAGTGGTTGATCTGCGTCGCCGCCTCTTCGTCCTTCAGCATGTACACGTACTGTGACTGGATGGTCGCGATAAAGTAGTTCATTCGAAACATTTGCGTGACCGTGAGAGCGAGGATGAGCAGGTACCACGGCGTGCGCATCTGTCGATTAAAGGGCATGCCGTGGAGGACGCCCCAGACGCCACTCGCCTCCTGGCGTTCTTCTTCCACCTTGATGCGTTCGTCGCGCTCGTCGGCATCACCGACAATGTCCTCGAGCTGGTCGAGCTTGGCATGGCGCTTGTCGGCACGAATGCTGCGCACGCGCTCGAGCTCGTTATTATCCTCGATATCTTCGTCGGACTCGTGTATGTCGCGCATGGGATCTTGAGCCTTCTCGATCTTGGTCTCCAGCTCGGGGATCGTGTGGTATGGGTGCGGTGGCATGAGGAATAGCTCCAGAAACAGGATCAAGAGTGGCACAACAAGATAAAAGAAGAAGAATCTGGCAGGGGAGAAACCTCCGTCTGTCTTCTCGTAGGCCATGCGGTAGAACAAGAATACGGCAGCTGACGCGTCAAAGGCGCCAGTGACAAGAGCCACCACGAGACCAGAGTGCTTCGGGAAGGCATTGGCTAACTCGAAGCTGGATACGAATACGTAGGTCCCACCCAGGGCGAGGAAGACGTTGCCCGCAATGTAGCCATCAAAGTCGGGAATCGCGAACGAGCAGGCCATGAGCAAGGTCCCGACGGCCAGTAGGAAACTTGCCATGATCCAACAGAGGCGCCTCCCGTACCTATCGAGCGTTGCGCCGGCCAGCAGGGAGCCGACATTGGCAGTGATGGAGGCGACGACGAAGAAGAGGTTCAGACGTATGTTCTGCTGCGGGCAAGGCAGGATGGCCTTGTCGTGGTGGATGATCAGCTCCTCTGAAGTGCAGAGGTCGGCGTACACACCTTCGGCTACCAGCACGGGCTTCAACGCGGCGAAGCCAAAGACAATGCCGGACGCCAGCCAGTTGACGATGATCCCCGCTACCACCTGAGCTGCTGTGGTCAGCGTGGGAGCTCATGCGACGAGATGCGCGCGCACACTCACCTATCCTCTTTGTGTTTGTGACCTTGTATGCGGCATCGCGCTCCAAGGGTTCGTCGAGCTTGAGGTCTAGAGGCGCATAGCTCAATTCGCGCCATTCGGACATTAGGTTCAGGTCGTTGTTATCCTCGCCGCCTGCCTCGGACTGCGGCGCAGGGGCCCATAGCAAGCTCTGTCGCTCATTGTCCTGGTCGTCGCCGGCGTGGGAGCCGGCCGGGCCCTCGTAGTCGAAGCCAACGGCCTGCGTAACATGCTGGGCGAGCGACATGAAATGGGTCGATGATTACAATGCAGAAATCTCACAGCGCTAGAAGAAAAATGTCCGCGATAAGAGGGGCAGGAGGAAAAGGCTTCTACGACCGCCAGAAAAGCAAATAAAAAGAGGTCGACGAGGGGCCAAAAGAAGGAGAGTCAGAGGAAATCTGAGATGCGACGTTGGACAGGCGATGAAGAAAATCCCAACAAGGCTGCGCTGCTCTGCGTGCCCTGTCCGATAAGCATGGGTGGGTGCTGTTTGATAAGGTGGTGGTGGTGCGTCTTGTGACTCGATGAAGCTCGTCGTCGCACAGCGGACAAGGATGGGGCTGGAGATGGAGCTATCGAGCTGTTAAACAAGTGTCAATTGGCTTCGACTTAGTGGGTTCAGCTCATTCGTGCGTAAGGCAAGGTAACATGAAGGTCAGCTAGTATTGGATGCGTCGTCGAAATTGCTGGAATGTCCGATGCATGGCATGTGTGTGATGGACCTCAACTGGAAGGCGCTGCCGTCGCGGCTGCAGGCTGGAGTCTGGAGCTCTTGTCTGTGATGCAATAAATTGCGGTGACAGCTTCTCGATGGACCGCGATGACGACAGATCCGAGGTTCTCGCCGGGCCTGTGGAGAACCAGTCACGTGTACCTTGTTTGGTCTTCTGGAATCTCGTCTCACCAACCTCCTACGTGCTCGCATCTCAATACTACTAGGAGAGTTTGTTTTCATCATGAAATGGCGCTGCTCGCCCTCCTATATCCCGCGCTGCGGGCTTTGACAGCAGTGTTTCACCGAGATCGGTAGTTCGGCCCAAAGATGTCTCACCTCCAACGTTTCCATGCACGATTGGTGACCCCGCATTGGAGTGCATGTGCAGGAAATGATCCAGGCTCTCCAAGCTGCCTCAAATTAATGACCCTCCACGATGCGCAAGGAACGGTGAGATCCATTGGACATTGAGACAGCTTCAATGGCGTTTTGCTGGTGCTTACCCCCAAGGACCTGTCACTCTTTTCTCAATTGGTATACAGCGTCCTGTCCGCTTCGCGCTACATCACAACAAGACACGCGCACTAGTCTTTCCCAGGTCGTCAACTACCGAGATGCTTCCCCAGCGTGGGGCGTTCTCCCCCGTACTTGAGCCTAAACGACCGCGCTCGTTCCCATTGGAGGGGATAACAGCCTCTGGCCGTGATGCACGACAAGTCCACTTCAAGCAGCGATGCCTTGTCTTTGGAGATGGACTTGCGGAGCGAGCGAGCTCGCTTTCTCGCTTGGCTAAATAATCCTGGGCCAACAGCCGGCTATAAGTAGTTTGCCAGCGCTCGACACGCTCGAAAGGACCGATCCCGTATCTACAGGTACTCCAGATCTGCTCCGCGACATGTTGGCTGCCAAGAACCTCCTGCGGCTGGCCACTCTGGCGGCCCTTGCAGGGTCTGCCATATCTCAAGATGAGATTGAAGACTGGCCTGTGCTCGATAATGGCCTCACGGACATTGTCCAATGGTGCGACTGGCAATCCGCAGTGACTGACACCAGACGACTGACCGCAACAGGGACCACCACAGTTACTTTGTCAACGGCGAGCGACTCTTCATCTTCTCTGGCGAGTTTCACCCGTGGAGGAACCCCGTCCCCGAGCTCTGGCGTGATCTTCTAGAGAAGGTCAAGGCGGCTGGCTTCAACGCCTTCTCCATCTACAACTCGTGGGGCTACCACAGCGCCTCACCCGATGCCCTCGACTTTACGAATGGCGGCCACAACTTCACCTCCATCTTGACCCTCGCCAAAGAGCTTGGCATGTATGTCATCATCCGCCCTGGCCCATATGTCAACGCCGAGACAAACGCCGGTGGCTTCCCCCTGTGGCTCACGACTGGCGAGTATGGATCTCTTAGAAACGATGATGAGAGGTACACTAAAGCTTGGACGCCATACTGGGAAGAGATCTCGAGCATCATCGAACCTCACCTGATCACCAACGGTGGCAACGTCATCATGTTCCAGATCGAGAATGAGCTCAACGGCCAGTGGAAGGACATTGAGGACCGTGTCCTCAATCCCGACATTGCCAACTACATGCAGCTCTTGGAGGACAGCGCGCGCGAGTCGGGTATCGACGTGCCACTGGCGCACAACGCGCCCAACATGAACGGCTATTCGTGGTCGCCGGACTTTTCCAACGCGACGGGCAACGTCGACGTCGTCGGTCTCGACAGCTACCCGTCCTGCTGGAGCTGCAACCTGAGTGAATGCACGGGTACAAACGGCGAGTACGTGCCATACCAGACCATCGAGTACGGCAACTACTTTAGTATCCAGTCGCCGTCGCAGCCCAACTTTATGCCCGAGTTCCAGGGAGGCTCGTACAACCCGTGGGGCGGACCTCAGGGCGGGTGTCCTGGGGACATTGGCGCCGACTTTGCCAATCTGTTCTATCGCGATTTGATCTACCAGCGTGTGACGGCCATCTCGCTGTACATGCTGTTTGGCGGGACGAATTGGGGTCACAGCGCGTGCCCAGTTGTGGCCACCAGCTACGACTACTCGTCACCCGTATCGGAGAACCGCCAGCTGTGGAGCAAGTACTACGAGACCAAGCTTCTCGTCCTGTTCACACGTGTTGCGCATGATCTGGCGTACACCAACCGCGTGGGTAGTGGTACCGGCTACACGGACAATGACGCCATCCGCACGGCGGAGCTGAGGAACCCAGACACGGACGCTGCCTTTTACGTGGTTCTGCACAACACCTCCAGCTCGGATACCACTGAGCGTTTCAAGCTCAACGTCAATACCACCGAGGGCGAAATGACGATACCCCAGTTTGGCAACGCGATCACTATCAACGGCCACCAAGCCAAGGTGCTCGTCACAGATTTCAAGTTTGGTGACAAGAAGCTGTTGTACTCGACCGCAGAGGTGCTCAGCTACACTGTGATTGACGGCAAGGCGGTGCTCGCGCTGTGGCTGCCCGAGGGCGAGGCTGGTGAATTCAAGATTGTGGGCGACTCGGGTGCCAAATTGATGAGGACTGCTGCCGAAGACTCGGTGGCTTTGTATGAGGAAGATAAGGGATTAACCGTTTCCTACGTGCAACAGAGTGGGACCAATATTGTTGAGCTCGAGGATGGCACCCGCGTCCTAATGATGGATCGGTCCGCAGCATACCGCTTCTGGGTGCCTAGCTTGGGTAACGATCCCAAGGTGCCTGCAAACAGCACTGGTACGTGTGTCACTGCCTTGATGAGATGTTTCACTGACCGGGAACAGTGTTTGTGCAGGGCCCGTACCTGGTCCGCGGCGCCACGTACAGCGATGACGGGAAGACCTTGCATCTCACTGGTGACGAGGAGGACGACCACGAGTTGACCATTTTCGCGACCAAGAAGCTCTGCGGCATCACCTGGAATGGCGAGAAGGTGGAGATTAAGTCACGCAACGGGGGAATGTACGTCGTAGAGGCCAAGGGACCTGGCGAGTTTGAGCTCGACCCGCTGTCTGGTTGGGAGTGGACCGACAGTCTCCCCGAGCTGGCGAGGAACTACACTCTAAGCGACGATGTGTGGGTTGGTAGGTATTCCCCATGCTCCTGACCACTGCAAGATCTAACCCGGGACCTGCAGTTGCCGACAAGGACGAGACACCGAACCCCAGCAAGCCGGCCGACAACAACCCCGTGCTCTACGTCGACGACTACAAGATCCACTACGGCAACCATCTGTACCGTGCCACGTTCCCAACGACCGAAGAGGCGCCCACTGGTCTCTTTCTGAACCTCATGGGCGGTTTCGCGTTCGGGTACTCGGTGTGGGTGAACGCCGACTACATTGGCTCCTACTACGGCTTGTCGTATGAGGGTTCTCACTCGGGAACCTACTCGTTCGAGAATGCCACTCTCAAGAGTGGCGGCGACAACACCCTGTTGGTCCTCATGGACCAGTCCGGCCACGAACTGCGCGGGGCCGCCATTGACCCACGCGGCATCATCAATGCTACACTAGTCGGACCAGCTGAGGATGCGTACACCTTTTCCGAGTGGAGGATCGCCGGCAACGCGGGACTGGAGGAGAACATTGACCCCATGCGCGGGCCCATGAATGAAGGTGGCTTGTACGCCGAGCGTGTGGGCATGCACCTCCCCGGGTACCCCGACAAGGGCTGGTCGAGTGTCGACTCCGACGCAGGCACCCTCGTTGTGCCGTCGGCGGGCGTGAGAGCCTTCCGCACTGTGGCGCCGCTTGATGTACCCGATGGCCTCGATGTGTCCATCACCTTCCGAATGACGTCGACGTCGGACGAGACGTTTACGCCGTCTGACGACGCTTACAGCAACCGTCTGAGGGCCATGCTGTTTGTGAATGGGTATCAGTACGGTCGCTTCAACCCGTACATTGGCCACCAGATCAACTTCCCGGTGCCGCCTGGCATCTTGGACTACCACGGCGACAACACCATTCTGGTGACAGTGTGGAGCCAGGATGCCAACGGCGTGGAGATGAAGGTGGAGTGGGACTTGGACTATGTGCACACAACGAGCTTTGACATGGGATTTGACAGCTCGGAGCTGCGTCCGGGGTGGACCGAGGAGCGACTGAAGTATGCGTGAGTGATAGACTAGATGGAATTGTCTGTGGGGGACTGGCTCAGAATACTGGAACAGCGCTCTCATTTGGATTCACTGAGTGACATGCTGGTCGTTGATCCCTTTGCTGAGCGTCATTATTTGTGAATATGCAACCCTCGTCATGATTTCCATCAGAACCGGGGACCCTTGCGTGACATTCCAACCTTTTGATGTTTGGTGACCCGTCAGGGCCATCACAATTCGTGACGCTTCAAACGGCATTTGATTCACAAATGCAGTCAAAAATGCCATGCCATTATCTCCGAGAGCGCGTGCATGTTGCTCTTGTAAACATCAGGGTGTCATTTGTCATTGTGCGGTCGAAGAAGGGTTACATTTATCTGAGGCCGAGATAGTTGGATCGGAGTCGGGAGCTATGACCCCCACTATAATGGCTGGCGTCATCATAGTTGACCAATCACGAAGCGTTGAATCCCCTGTCTGATGGCTGACGCCAGCACCGACCAATGAGATGTAACACTATCCTCCGGGGCCCATATTAAACCCCGGCGCCAGACGACGCTGCTGGCGATAAGTCGCATAGTCTTTGGCAAAGCTGACGGAAATCCATTGATCTTTGATGAGAAATGGGATTCAATATTGGAGTCTCCTTGATGTTTGTCGGAGCCAGGGGTAGTTTCCGTAGAGCTGCTAGAAGTATAAGAGCAGACCATCAGGACCTCAAAAAGAGTCTCAGTTTCTTACCATCATCACCAACACCTTACGTACTTTACGCTCAGTGTCTCTCAGACAGTCTTGCCCCAATTACCAACACTCACAAGCCCCAACACCAGCACGATGCCTCGCTTCCAGGAGGGAAACACTGCTGCCGAGCTCGCGGCTCACTACGCACCCTCCATCACCGGCAAGACCATCCTGACCACAGGTGTCACCCCCGAATCCATTGGCGCTCGCTACACCGAAGCCCTCGCATCCCATGCCCCCAAGCTACTCATCCTAGCCGGCCGCTCACTATCCAAACTCCACAAGCAAGTCGAGATCCTCACTCAGGCGAACCCCGACGTCAAGACTCGCCTCCTCCAGGTCGACCTCGCCAGCATCGACTCCGTCACCAAGGCCGCCGCTGAAGTCAACAGTTGGACCGACGTACCCACCATCGACATTGTCCTCAACTGTGCCGGCATCATGGCCGTCCCATACGCCCTCAGCGTCGACGGTATCGAAATGCAGCTCGCCGCCAACCACATTGGCCACTTCCTCCTCACCAACTCCATCGTGCCCAAGCTCCTCGCGGCCAAGGTCACACCACGCGTCATCAACGTCTCGAGTAACGGCCATCGCTTGAGTGCCATGCGCTGGGGTGACATCAACTTTGACGGCGGCAGGACGTACGACAAGTGGGTAGCCTACGGACAGTCCAAAACGGCTAACATGCTCTTCTCCCTCGCCCTAGCTAAGAAACTCGGTAAGCGTGGGCTGTTGAGCTTCAGTGTTCACCCTGGTCTCATCATGACGACGGGACTGGCGACACATTTAGGTTGGGTCGCTGAGGGAGAGGATGATGCCATGACGACACTACGTGAGTACATACCTAATTTGCCTCCTCTTGCTTCCAAGGTGCTAACCAGTCTTGCCCTGCAGTGAAGAAGGACCAGGAGCTCGGCAACGAGGTCGGTTTCGGTGACGCCTGGTCCAAGCTCGTCGTGCCTGTCTCCTCCGAAGCCGGTGCCGCGACGCCAATGTACGCCTCTTTCGACCCGGAGCTCGAGGCGCACAATGGCACGTACCTTGAAAAATGTCGTCCTTCGGATCCCATGAAGGATATTTTTAGGCCGTGGGGACGAGACGAGTATGAGGCGGAGATGCTCTGGGCGTTGAGCGAGAAGCTTACGGGGCGAAAGTTTGACTATTGAAGAGGTTCAATGGTGATTGCCATGATGGGTCCTTTATTGAGGTGTCTTGGGATTTTGGTGTTGTGCAGGTGAAATAAGAATTAAGTGCTTAGCTATAGAATTATCGTGCAGAGAACCTACTATGATTATAGAATATTTACATGTAGCTTTCCCTACCCACTCCCTCAAACATCGAGGAGATTTATAGATATCACAAGCTCCACGGTAATTAAGGATCGATGAAAGCAACTCGCCAGGCTAATGGTACAGCCCAGGATCATGTAATCATGTACGAGGTGACCAATGATGACAGTCGCCAATGCTCACCTCAGCGGTCAAGAATGCGTGTAAGCACCAGCCTGATTGGCGACAAGACAAACAACAAGGCCAGCTAGCATGTGTGACCTTGCCTGCGGGGATCTAGACACCTCAGTGCTGCCGGTACAAATACCACGAGCATAGCCCACCCACATTGAAGCTATCATCTCCCATTTTCAGCGACCAAGACGCACTCGACTCCCACCATGGGCATCCAAAAGACCCTGCCCCCAGGCCTCGACGAGGTCGACGTCATCATTGCAGGCGGTCAGTCACCACGAAGCAGACTCACTCCTCGTCACTGACCACAGTTTCAGGCGGCACCGCCGGGTGTGTCATCGCTGCACGCCTCGCCTCAGCCCTGCCCAACCTGCAGATCCTCCTTCTCGAGCAGGGCCCCAACAACTTCGAGGACCCTTTTATTGTGAATCTCGGCCTGTTCTTCGCGCACCTCATGCCCGACGGCGACAAGGGACTCTTCAACAAGGCCAATCCATCCAGACATGTCAATGGTCGTGAGCTGACCGTTCTGTCCGGGGGTTGCCTCGGCGGCGGCTCGTCCATCAATATGGGCATGTACAGCCGTCCGCAGTGGTCTGACTTTGACGGATGGGGCGTGGAGGGTTGGACGACGGAGGACATGCTGCGATGTATGAAAAAGGTTTCTATCTTCAACCTTGACGCCGTAGACAGTTTAAGCTAAGTTGTGTATAGGTTGAGGATTACCACGACCCGGATCCAGAGGGAACGCACGGCACACGAGGGCCCGTCCAAGTATCTGGCGGGCTATACCGTGCGAAGCGCGCCGAGGAGGACTTCCTGCGAGCGCTGGATGAGGTAGGATGGCCCATCGTGGAGGATCTGCAAGACCTGAGAGCCGTCAACTCGTTTGCGCGGGCGAGGAGGATGGTCTCGCCCGAGGGAAGAAGACAAGATGCGGCGCATAAGTACCTGCATCCAAGGCTCAGTGACCGGGCGCACTCGAACCTCCACGTGCTGGTCGAGACGCAGGCTGTCAAGGTCCTTGTGGAGGATGGTCAGGCGAAAGGAGTCGTCTTCCGATCGAACCCCAAGTTTGGAGCGGCCGATGTCTCGGAGAAGGCAGTCAAGTCCCGAAAGATGGTTGTCGTCTCCGGAGGCTGCTTTGGGTCACCCACGATTCTTCAGCGCTCGGGCGTCGGACCCAGAGACGTCCTCTCCAAAGCTGGTGTACCTCTGCTGGTCGAAAACAACGGCGTCGGCGCTGGGTATGAGGATCATCAAGCTATGGCCTACGGCTACAAGACGAGTCTCGAAATGGAAGAGACGCTGAATGGGCTGCTGTTCGGCTTGACTGACATTGGGGAGCTCCTAAAGAACAATGACCCCCGTCTTGGGTACAATGGCCAAGACGTGAATGGCAAGATCAGGCCTACGGACGAGGAGGCGGAAACCATGGGACCAGCATTCAAAGCAGTTTGGGACGCCCATTTTCGGGACACGCCCGACAAGCCCCTGGCTGGCCTATCTCTGATCAACGGGTACGTTCAATCTTCACTGTCACAAAGTTAGTATGCGGAAGTTGTGCTCATCACTGCAGGATCCCCGGTCTGGCAAAGGACATCCCACCAGCGTCGTATCTGGGCCTGTCCGCCTTCTCCATGTACCCCCTGTCGCGTGGCCATGTCAACATCACCGGCCCTGACATGTGCGACCCAGTCGACTTTGACACTGGGTTCCTCGCAGACAAGGATGGCATCGACATCAAGAAGCACATCTGGACGTACAAGAAGCAGCGCGAGATCATGCGTCGCATGCCCTGCTACCGAGGCGAGGTCCCCTCATGGCACCCCCCGTTCCCCGAGACGTCAGACGCTGTCTGTCGGGACGTCACAGACGCGCTTCCTGATCCCATCGAGGATATCGTCTACACGCGCGAGGACGAGGAGGTGATTGGCCTACATGTCCAGGCCAAGGCCGAGACAACGTGGCACTCGATGGGGACGTGCAAGATGAAGGCCCAGGAGGAGGGCGGCGCTGTCGATGGCAAGTTGGGCGTGTACGGCGTCAAAGGCCTCAAGGTCGCTGATCTGAGTATCTGTCCGCGCAACGTGTCTGGGAATACGTGCATGACGGCTCTGGCTATCGGTGAGAATGCGGCGGATATCTTCATCCGGGAGCTTCAGTGACGGTCAGATGCCGGAGAGCAGTCATAGCTCAGCCGGGAATATACGTCGTTTATTACGTAGACGCAGTCGAACACGCGCCTGACCTCTTGCCACCAGATGAGCACCTGTCATATGTTTCTTGGACGTCCACGGTCCCGAGTCCGATATCACGGGTGGGGCTGGACTGGGCGGCGGATTTGGAACTGAGAATCCGGAGCCGGGGCCAATGACGTCTCTGCGAATCCGATGCATCCAATGGCGATGGTGAATGAGTCGACAGATTGCTCGATAATAGGAGGTCAGCCTGCTCCAGTCGCATAGGCCTTGTGAGCGCCTGGTATTGCCATTGCCTCGAAATGCGCTTCACAGCTCGACAGAGGGCGACTCGTGCTGTCAACTCGCTTGTAGCAGCCGTCGAAAAGCGAGATGGACCTCCTATCTCCGTCTGGCTGGTTGCCAGGCGCGACGTGGCTCACTGGCACGCTGCAGCACGTTGGCCAAGCTGGGCAGATGAGTGGTGGGTCCCGGGGATAACGGACGTCCGGCCACAGTGAATGGAAAGACGCGAGGATACGGTACGGAACGGTATCTGTTCGTACGCTGGTGGCATTGCCAGTCAGCTGGGCTCAAACATCTTGTGCCCGCGTGAATGCCGTTCTGTCAGAGGGACTGACTAAACTTAGTCGCACTCCTGAACAGGAATAACCACGAATAATCCCCCTGTGACAATCAAGGTGGTTCGAAGAATGGACGCCCGAATGTTCCCGAGCCAAATTTTTTGCCGGGCGGTCAGCCGTTTCTTACCGGATTTGCGTGGCGATTGGATTCTCCCATTGGCTGCGCAGAGATTAATACGGGTCCTCCCGCACAGTGACGAAGGCCGCGCCGAGCAAGCGCTGAGTCCACTGGCGCTGGCACTGCACGCACTGTCTGCCGGGCGATGAAGGAGCCACTTTACCTTGGCTGGCTGGCTGGACACTGTGGCTGGGGAAGGAAGGAAGGACCAGCCGCCGAAAAGACCTCAATCTGCCACGGCCGGCTCTGACACAATTTTCCTCCCTCTCCCAACCCATCACCAACAGCCTCTTTGTGTTTTTCCCGTCCGTCGCTGCTTGTCGTCGGTCTTCTTGCTCCTCTCCTGTCTATCACTCGATTGACATCTCCGCTCTTCATCATGTCGTCCACCGGTTCCGTCAAGGTCGACGCCGTCGTCGAGAAGGCCAAGGCCAACGCCCCCAACACCCCCCAGGGCGTCGACCTGTACTCGCGCTTTGCCCTCGCCGGTGCCATCTGCTGCTCCCTCACCCACGGTGGTCTGACCCCCGTCGATGTGTACGTTCTAATCCTGCCTGTCGGCTGCGCGCGCTGCCGTGTCGCTCCTTGCGCTCGAAGCGTGCGCGCGCGCGTATAGCCGAGATAAGGAAAACCCAAAGCTAACATACTCCCCAGCGTCAAGACCCGCATCCAGCTTGACCCCAAGACCTACAACCGCGGTCTGATCGGTGGCTTCCGCCAGGTCGTCCAGAACGAGGGTGCCGGTGCTCTCCTCACCGGTGTCGGCCCTACCTTTGCCGGCTACTTCCTCCAGGGCGCCTTCAAGTTCGGAGGATACGAGTTCTTCAAGCAGCAGTGGATCAACAACATTGGCTACGAGTCCGCCTCCAAGAACCGCACCGCCGTCTACCTCGCCTCCTCCGCCTCGGCCGAGTTCTTCGCCTCCATCGCCCTCTGCCCCCTCGAGGCCACCCGTATCCGCCTCGTCTCCCAGCCCACCTTCGCCTCCGGCCTCATCTCTGGCTTCGGCAAGATCCTCAAGAACGATGGCATCGGTGCTTTCTACGCTGGTTTCGGCCCCATCCTCTTCAAGCAGTATGTCCCTTTGCCCCTCTATATGTGTGAGGCGTGGCTAATCCCCCCAGGATCCCCTACACCATGACCAAGTTCGTTGTCTACGAGAAGGCCGCCGAGGCCATCTTCGGCGTCTGGGACAAGAACTCCCTCTCCAACGGCATGCAGACCGTCGCCAACCTCGGTGCCGGTCTCGTCGCCGGTTTCGCTGCCGCCATTGTCTCCCAGCCCGCCGATACCATGCTGTCCAAGATCAACAAGACCAAGGGTGAGCCCGGCCAGGGCACCATCTCCCGCCTCGCTGTCATCGCCAAGGAGCTCGGCATCCGTGGTTCCTTCTCCGGTCTCCCTGCCCGTCTCTTCATGGTCGGCACCCTGACCGCCGGTCAGTTCGCCATCTACGGTGACTTCAAGAAGCTCCTCAACGCCACTGGTTCGTGACCCCTTACTTTCCCCCGCAAAGTCTACTAGTGTACTAACAACGCGCGTGCAGGTGGTGTTGAGATTGCCAAGTAAACGAATTTGCGCATAGAAAAGAGTTCACGGGGCGATGAATGTCCATCTGGCCCAAGAGCTGGGCGGGATGTCACTCGCGCGCTCGCCTCCACGGTGAACATATGAAGGTGGTGATTGCCTTTTTTGTAATGAGGCTTTACAGGATATCGAAGATGGGGCGGTGATGTCGAACTGGCATCGCACTTGTTGTAGCGAAGGGGTGCAAGATTCGGACTCGAGACACGCAGAACAATCATAGAAAATGGGTCGGGATCCGGTTGCCATCCCAGTTGCTGGGGTTGTATTATAGGCGATTTCATGCAACTTTCATAATAGATCTGGAGAGTTCCACACTGCGTTCTGGTGTAGATTTTAAAGTCTCGCCTCATTCGAAATGCAGGGTATCAGCGCCTCGTCTCTAAACTCCAAACGCCGGCTCATAAATCACGAAAATTACAAACACATCAAAAGCAATCACTGCCTCTTGTCGGCACCCCACTCTTGCAACATTGTCGGTTCCTGCACCGCAAAGCCCTTGCCACTCAGGTGCGCCCGGCAGGCCTCGTAATGACAGTACGCAACCGGCGAGTCGTCAGTACACGTCCTCATCTTGACATCAGCCAGCGCAAGGACGCCTCTCCCGGCGGCGTCCCGGACGTGTACGTTGGCCTTCCCCTCAATCAGTGTCTTGACCGCCAGCTTGCGCCCGCATCGCACGGCCACGTGTAGAGCTGTCTCGCCGGCGCGATTGCGGGCGTTGACATTGGCCCCTTTCTCGAGGAGTGCCCTGATGATGGCGGGGCCGGTCTTGTAGTCGTCGTCCTCGGGCAGCTCCGCGCAAAAGGCCATCAGAGGCGTGTTGCCGTACGAGTCGTAATGGTTGGGGTCAACACCAGCATTCAGTAGACCCTCGGCAAGCGAAAGACGCAGCTGCAACCGCTCTTCCGAAGAGTCCAGCATCTCGTCCGCCGTTTTGCCCCTCTTCCTTTGTCGTCCTTGTTGTGTCGGCGCCATGCTGGCCTTGTTCATAAAGCTCTGTATGCTCAAGGATGCCATCGCCAAACAGTGCAGACCATTCCGACCATCAGCGTCCTCCAGTGCCGGCTCTTGCAAAGCGCACCGCGCGACTTGCAGGTATTCACTGTCGCGAATGGCGGCTGGATCCTCTGCGCTGGGCGAGCCGGGCAGCGCCGGAGGATCCAGGTCCATGTGTGTTGTGTCCAAGGCCGGCTTGACGCCAAAGGCATCGCGTGCACTCAGGGTCAAGGAGTTATGTCGATGTAGCGAGCCGAGGGAAGAGGGCGTCAGTGTTTCAGAGGCCATCCACGCATGTAAAAACGTCCTTCCGTAGTGGTCGCGTGCGAGCGCCTCAAAGCCATGCCGATCTCTGAGAACCTCAACCATCCCCAGCAGTGCCTCAATCATCTCAGCTTGGTGAAACCACGTGTCGCCAAGGACATGGAGGAATGTCTGGCCGGCCGTATTCCTGACATTGACCATCGAACCCCAGGAGTCGTTCTGCAAGGTTTGCAAAAGCAAAGACGGAGGCCCACGGGCTGCGAGTACGTGCAGCATGGTGTTGTCAAATTGATCTCGCATCCCCAAGTGACCGACGGCTGGTCCATGTGTCACGAGCTGGTGCGCATTGTCCGTCAGACGGTCGGCACAGGTCCAAACCGAGTGAGGGGCGTCAATACGCAGATGGCACATGCACCAACGCTTCTGGTGCTCCTCCGACTGAGGAAAGCAAGGATGCTGCCGCCGTAGATGGAGATCCATGCTGAGAAAATCGCCAGGCAGGGGATACGGACGGTGACTGTACGAGTGAGCTGCATCGACATCATTGAACCAGGTCTGGTCATTCGTGAACACATCCGACCGAGGCGAGGCGCATGAGCCATGGTCGCTGATGGGCGCTGTGTATTGTCGAATAAGCCGCTTGACAGTCCGCACGTAAACGTCAGAGTAGCCCTCCAGTAGCCGGTGGAGAGTGCCTGTTGTGTGATCGGTAGATGTCGATGCTGCCGATGATACACGTGCCAGTCTTGCGCTCAGACTCAGTCCAAACAGGTCATCCGAGGCCGATCGTTGATGAATACCTCCAAAGCCAGACTGCTCGACGTAAGGGGAATGGCCCAGAGACGAGTGTTGCCATGGAGGTACCTCCAGGGTCGCTGACTGTGTGTTTCCCTCGTATTTGATCGGTGTCGTGTTTCCGTGTGTGTAGAGTGGCGGCGCAGAATAGGACTGGTTTCGAGCGTATGTGGAGGCGATTGTTGCTCGTACGGGTGACCGATCAAGCTGTTCGCATCGTCGGAACATGTCCTCTTCGTTCTTGGGTTTGAGCCAGCGCGGCTCCTTGTCCAACAGCGCATTGAGCTTCTTGTTGGCCGAGTCTTTGCTTGACCGGAGGTCAGCAGGGCTCAGTGGGGCAAGGCATAGGTCTCCAACTTACCCAGGGATGGAATCAAAGGGGTTGGGATGGTGAACCACCTCCAGGATCTTGGTGATCTGCAAGGTCGTGTATAGATACAGCCGACACATCTTGCGTTGAGTCGAATCGGTCCATAGCGGCGGTCTACCGGTCTGCGTGTTGGCGCTTGGGGGTGAGATGGACGTCTGTGGGATTACCAGTCGTGACGGTGAGGTTGGGTACATTTGAGCCGCCTATCTGAGAGATCGGATTGGTCTGGCAATGGCACGCTGCTATTGTCGTCGTGTACACCGAACGCTGGTAATTCGCACTCGAGTGCCACGATCAATCAATTGTCGAAGTGGTAAGTGGGAGGACGCAACCAAGAGGAACCAAGGAGGATCTCCATGGCCATGGGCATATGATATACAGCGATGGATCTTGGGGATATGGAGGCCCCATGTTGGCGTCGGCGAAGGCCGAGTCTGGGGTTTGAGGGCATGATGGCATCGTGAGACCTGGTGTGGGATGTTGACAGGGAAGTGTTGCTAAAGACAGCAGAAAGCCACATTGCGCCTCAAGGCATGGAACGGGTCGACAGGGGAGAGCCACAGCAGCAGCCACAACAACAAGGGGAAGGAGCGGGCCGGTGCTGCGCCTCGATTTGCTAGCATTTGACGTAGGGACCCTCAAAATGCTCCTCCTACGGTTTGTAGAGTGACGCTCCATCGCTGAGATTTCGAGTTTAGCTCGACGATAATGAGCAGCTATACTACTCACTTGTTGTCGAATGCAAAATCGAATTAAGACCCGCTTCGCCAGGCACGCTGGCTTGTCAAGGCCGTGGCTGAGGCGAGGCATAGCCAAAGTCGAGTTGGTCGAGGACACTGACGTGTAGACGAGGCAAAGGGACCACAAAGCGACCAGGTACTATGTAAGGTGCACTCGCGATCTCTTCACAACTTGGCAAGTGAAGCAGGAGACAGTAATACCCTCCGAATAACCTTTAGCAAAGTGGTCGGTGGTGACGGCTCCAGACCATTGCTGCAGCCTTGTGGGGCCAGAACCGCAGTCAGCCACAGCGAGGCTGACCAGACAGGCTGGATGGCTTGTGATGTCATGCAGTAGTCTATGCACGTCCGCACTTCGCCGAAGAGCCCGTTGAGGAGCCTGGTGAAATTAGTAAATCATGAGATAAGATAGATACTCTTGGGAGGCCTGATGTTTACACAAAATCACCCGCCCGTTATTTGGGAATTTGTCCTGTGATGCTTGCTAACGTTAGAGTCTAGACGCGGGCCACTCAAGTACGTAGGTCTTTATGTCTGACTACCCTAGACTAGCGATACCGTCGCCGTTACGAACTCCCCGTCCCATTCATCCCAGTCCGCCCTTTGAACTAAGCGTATACATATTGAAACGTTCAGTGTTTCTAAGTTCACATGAACTTTTCTTTTGTGATTCGTGGGGTTTCTATGTCATCCGTTGGCAGCACTGAAATCAGTTGCTGACCAGAATCACATCCTGCCATGATTCACATGATGGATCGCATACTTCTTCAAACGAGTGTAATTCAGAATTGTTGTCTCATCAAAAAGCGCATTTTGATTTTCAAATTAATTCGAGCCTTTCTGATCTTTACATGTCATGCCTTCATCGCTGAGTCCCGACACAAACAGTAGCTCCAGCCGTTCAAGGTCCCCTGCTCCTGCCATCAGCACGAACACTGACTGCGCCACGCACCACATTCACCGCCTCGCCCATTATAACAACCATAATAATTATTCCTCCATCATCATTGCTTCTCATCGTCATGCTGCCCGACTAGAGCACCACATCCCGGATACCGCGATGCCTGGCCATCTTGGTGCCAGGCAATATCTCGCAATGCGTGGAGAGCCGGCAGTGCCCTCTGCGTTAATTTGCCGCGATTTCCCGCTCAGCGCTTAAAAAGGGTACCGACGCGCTCTCGAAGCCAGGCTACATAGCCGCCCGCAACAGGAGCGTGAGAAACGGACCCATCTACCGATTGGATAGTCTTTTGCTGACCTGAAACAGCGACCGCGCGACGAAAATTTCCCAATGAGAAGGACGGGTGAACAGCAACCGAACACAGCAACCTCGCTGAACATCGATGGTTACTGTGCGCCACGGTTTTCTACGAAAGACTTACGAGCCAGGTGTCATCAGAAACATCCGAGGCACGAGCAACGAGACGTTATCAACAAGAACATTAAGGTCTATTTGAAAGGTAATAAAAATAAGTAAATAATCCCAGCCACTGGATAATCAGCGACCATCAAGAAGAAGTAAGGGTCATGACATTATGTCCATCCAAACTCCAGAATCCAGGTAGCCAAAAAAACCGTATCTACAATGCATGTTTTTCCTTTTCGTTGTTTTTTTGTTGATCTTTCCAGCGCGATCACTATCACACTTTACAGCATGAAAACGGCAACACCGACAGCAGCGATGACAGCCTGAGCGACACCGACGAGACGGCCGGCGGCGCCAGAGGCGGGAGGAGGTCCGGTAGGGGTGGGGGTTGGAAGGCTACCGGTGCCAGTGGGCTCGGGGATGGTGATCGAGGTCGACCACGAAGGCTGAGGCACGATGGGGCAGCCGGGTGTACCAGGCGAGCATGGCTGTTCGGGCTGCTCAGGAGTCTCTGGCTGCTCAGGAGTCTCTGGCTGCTCAGGAGTCTCTGGCTGCTCAGGAGTCTCTGGCTGCTCAGGAGTCTCTGGCTGCTCAGGGGTTTCTGGCTGTTCAGGAGTCTCGGGAGTCTCTGGCTGTTCGGGGGTCTCGGGGGTCTCTGGCTGCTCGGGAATCTCTGGCTGCTCAGGAGTCTCAGGCGTCTCTGGCTCCTCAGGAGTGCCAGGGCAGCCAGGCGCACCAGGGGTGCAGGGCTCCTCAGGGGTCTCAGTCGGCTGAGGCTCGTCAGTGGTCGAGGTGACAGGGCAGACGGTGGTAGACAAGGGAATAGTCGATGTAATGGTGGTGGTTCCGCCGTTGGGGCAGTCAGGCGTGTCAGGAGGGCACTCGGTCTTGGTGATGCAGGTGGTGGTGTAGATGGTCGAGGTCGTCCACTCCGTGGTCTCGGGGGGCGCAGTGGTGGTGGCGGTGACCTCGGGGGTAGTGGAAGCATCCTGGGTCTCGGTGACCTTGGTAGGCTCCTCCTCGGGGCTGGTGCTAGGCGCCTGGGTCTCCTCGGGAACGGTGGTGGGTCCCTGAGTCTCCTCGGGGACAGTAGTGGTGGACTCATGAGACTCCTCGGGCTCGTCAGTGGTCGAGGTGACGGGGCAGACGGTGGTGGTCACGGGGATGGTCGAGGTGATAGTGGTGGTCCCGCCGTTGGGGCAGTCAGGCGTGTCAGGAGGGCACTCGGTCTTGGTGATGCAGGTGGTGGTGTAAATGGTCGAGGTCGTCCACTCGGTGGTCTCTGTGGCAGGCGTGGTCGTGGGGTGCTCATCACTGGTGGGTGTAGGAGTGGGAGTGTGCTCATCCGAGGTAGGAGTCTCAGTGGGAGTGTGCTCGTCGGAAGTAGGCGTCTCGGTAGGAGTGTGCTCCTCGGACGTAGGAGTCTCTGTGGGAGTGTGCTCCTCGGAGGTAGGAGTCTCGGTGGGAGTGTGCTCCTCAGAGGTAGGAGTCTCGGTGGGAGTGTTCACCTCCGTGGTCTTGGTGCAGTCATACTCGGTGCAAGGCAAGGTCACAGTGGTGAAGGAGGTCTGTGTGCAGTCGTCGCAGTCCTCCTCATCGGTGGTGGTAGGCTGAGTCTCCGTGGTAGTAGTGTGCTGCTCGGTGGTGGTCTCGCAAGGAGTGGTGGTCTCCTGAGTGGGAGTCTGCCCCTCGGTGGTTGTGCATGGAGTGCTGGTCTCGGGCCCCTGAGTAGCAGTTTCCTCCTCGGTGGTGGTCTCGCAAGGAGTGGTGGTCTCCTGGGTAGGAGTCTCCTCCTCGGTGGTGGTCTCACAGGGAGTGCTGGTCTCGGGCTCTTGAGTAGGAGTCACCTCCTCAGTGGTGGTCTCGCAGGGAGTGCTGGTCTCGGGCTCCTGGGTAGGAGTCTCCTCCTCTGTGGTAGTGCAAGGTTCGGTTGTTGGGCCTTGCTCCTCCTCGGTGGTGGTGGTTGTGCAGGGCTCCTCGGTGGGGGAAGGCTCGTGGGTGGCCGTGTAGGTGATGCACGAGCAGACGGACGAGACGCTGTGGACATCGTTGTCACAGTTGACGTACTCTGTGGGGATGGCCTCGGGGGCGGTGGTGGTGCCGGCGAGGAACTCGAAGCAGAAGTCGACGCCTATCTCTGCAATGTCCTCACGGATCATGTTGCGGTAGCAGTTGTTCTGGCTGCAGTCTGGCCACTCGGTGGCGGAGGCCAGGCCAGCGGCCATGGCAACGAGAGCGAAGGACTTCATGGTGGATGAAACGAAACGAAACAACGACACTGTGGTACAGTGACAGCTGGGCAAATATTCAAGGGGGTTCGGGAGAATGGGATCCAAGAAAGACCGAACCCTTTATGAGCGAGAGTGTTGGTGAGTATCTGGGTACTCAAGCGAATGTATGAGTGACAAGAGAGAAGGAGATGCACACACAAGTCGGACAGCAGTGAGCCAGGACCAAGAGGAATAAGAGGCCGCAGGAAGAGCCTACTGGGGACGGATGGCACATGTTTCTTATAATGGCCCTGGTCGTGGTGCTGCCAGCCAAGCGCTGGCCAGCCTTGGGCTTCCTCATTGAGCATCGATCCCTCGTCCAAGGTCCACGGCCTGCGTATACGACAGGCCAGGCATAGGTGCGGACCGTGCGGTAGCCTGTAGGTAGGTAGGACCCCCTGCGCAGCAACGTCGACAACTGAACAATATCGCTCTGGTCGGTAGGTTTATCCTGTTCTGCCTATAGGGCCGGCGGTTTCGACTGAGCGGTAGGTCGAACCCCTGATTGGCCACCGGGAGCCCCTGCGTTGGCGCTGGGATCTCCTGGCTGTCCAGGTGGAGCCGCCCCGGCGAGCCGCGCTGGCTGGAGCTTGGCGCAATCTGTCAGTCTCTTTGTCCCCCCGTCTTTGCCTCTTTGTCGCTGGTCGCTAGAGTTTAAGTTAGTGCTGGCGTTTTTAGGCGCCATTGCATCAAGATCAGCGTCCTTCTCTATTCAATCTGGACGTCCAGTCTCTCTCATGGACCGACAACAAAGCTTCCATGGCCAGCAGCCGCCCTGAGGTACGGGCGCTTCGCATGATCAGCATCGCAGTGGGACGCCAGGGCCAATTGCTGGCTCTCGCCCGTCCGGTACGAGCTTAATCTGGCATCAGTGACAATGACGGACAGACAGGCAGCCAAGGGCAGTTGTGTCACGCACTCATTGGGCTGAGTGAGCCCTGGAGCTGGGGCAATGGGCAGCTTTCTTTTTCGTCCTGCATCCAACCGTAGTAATAATAATAGACCTGGATGTCCGCTAACACTCGCGCATCATGCAGAGCCAAGCTCGTGTTGCACCGACGGGTAGCAGCGTCACAACCACTGCAGGGCCGCAATCTCTGTGCGCTTCTCGACTCGGCTGCGCACAGGCAGATCGGATGGGTGCTTCTCATACCTATTGGCCTTTATCAAGCCATCAAGGATACATGTGACCAGCCGACGACGTGGACAATCCCAGCCTCTTCATGTCGTGTTGGGACTTGGGAGTCTGGGACACACACAGACTGCGTGCTATTGCACTCCGACCAGTGCAGACACGAGATCCCCCAGCATTGTGAGCCAGATCGATCGGGAGCTCACCCTCCACACCATGACCCTTTGCTTGCTGGCTGCAAGACTTTTAGCTGCAAACCAATGCCTCACCATCTCGCTCCTTGCGTCCGCTTTCGCGGACATGGTGGAAGAGTGCGATGGGAGCGGCCACGCACGGACAGAAGCAGGGATGGAGCCTCCACCTGACGATCCGGCCATTCTGCCGAGCCCATCCAAACAGGTTCTTGCATCTCCCTTGACTCAGAAACTTGTGCGACGGAGGTCGTTATTCTCCGTCATGCCTTTCTTGTGGGGTACGATCTGTGGTTAATGGTTATCCCACTGCACCCATAGATGCGGTGCTGCACAGCTGCCCTGTTTCTCTCCAAGTCAAGACATTTCGATACGAGACATATGGAGACAGCCGACGGACACGATCAACGATGCACGATTGTGAAATGCAGGGCTAACAATGCATGGTGAAAACTCATTACATATCCAATGGACATACGGACGGCAATGTGCTTTGGTAATTACGGATACAGCCAGCTCGAATGGATGGAGTAAATGGGAGCGGGCAGTCGGGCCAATATTGACATGGGTCACTGCTCGCTCCCGGTGGCCCTGGATTTTGCATTCCAGCAGGCCAGAAACTGCCGAGACAAAGACTGGCAGACAAAGGGGCCGCATTCCAGTGACTTCTTGAGCTACCTTGTTCATGAGGCTATAAGGTTCTCACCATGTGGCCCCAGTGGCACATGGCAGTGATGGCACCGCCCAGAACCCGCCCGTCCCTCCAGACTTTTCCCTTTGGCGTGAAACATGCCCGCTTGTACCGATACGGTCTAACGTTGACTTATTTCGGGGTCCATCCGATCCTTTGCTTCCACCGATCATTGTTCGCTCCTCTTCACACAGTAGCGGAGGACGATGGACTGACTGGCATTGCTGAGCATCGGGTTGGTGACGCAACAATTTGTTGTCTCCCGCTTTGCGATGCTCCGTTATCGTGCAGGCTGGTGAATACGAGAGCCTTGGCTGCCGGATGGCTGTGCAGTCATCCCAGACTTGACGGACATTGGCTCGGGGACGGGTGGTGAGGCCTATTTCCATATGCATAACACGCGGGACCATGCGTATAATCCCCGGCCTGGGCTTTGTAAGTTCGTATGAATACGCAATGACCTATGCGATGCGGATGGCTGCGTCCATGCCTGACGGCACACTTCAAGTTTGCGTGGACAGCTTCCAGTCCAGCACGATCGCGAATTGTCTCTCCTCTTCTTCTAGCAGCCAGCCGTCGTGACAAAAGGTCTCGGGGATCGGTGGTCGGCCGCCAGCCGAACGAAAACAAATGTGACCGCGTGGCGGCGTGTCTAACTGAAAAGCTGGAACCCTGGTCCCTGCTGCATGTGGGGAGTCCCGCCCTCCATCAACGTCGCCGGATGTTTCACACATTGGTGAGTCGTGACTGACCTGACCTGACATATTTCATACTGGGGGGCATTTATACCCAAAATCGTTCGTCAAGATATTGCAATACCTATGCAGGGCGTAGTTCATACTACCAGTATCGAGGCCATTATTGCCGTGTTGAGATAATATAGGTATACGGACACAACGGCGCAATCCGAGGAGATAGCCAGGGACATCGTTGGCATCCATTCTGCTGGCCGCTGGCGAGGCGCCTCCAGTCGTTAGTGTTTTCTTTCGGGGACAGACAGTGCACTTGCCTCCACCGGCCTGAATTATTAACCACAGGGTAGACCAGGGGTCGTTCACTGTGAAGAACACCGGGCTGTATTAGCAGCTGACACGTTCTCCTAGGTGCGTCCAACGTTCTGTAGAGGTGGCCCACGACCCTTATCAGAGTAGCTATGAATACCATAAGTAGTACCTTCGGTATGAAGCTCGCGATAGCTTCGTTTCTTGCGATCCTAGCTCTTGGTTCTTTCTATATTTTTCAATTGATCAATTGGCCCCTTTCAGCGTACCATTCACCAGTCGTCTGTATCAACGAGGTATAGGGGTGGCCGGGTTCGACATTGGACCAACCCATCATCCTCCATTGCTTGGAGTCCGGGGATCAAGCCCCTAGCGGGACCCAGTCTGGGTGCCCGCGCACAACCTTCTCGCAGCAGCCGTAATCGTCGAGAACTCAAAGCCGTTCTATTTTTCGCATCTGGCACGATATCCACGATGATGTCTCCGCCCACGGCAAGCCGTCGAGCCCCTGCGTCCACCAGTGCACGAATTGGACTATCGTCAGACACGTGAAGCAGTGCATCGTACAGAACGGTGACCCCTTGGTTGTTGGCAACGTTCAGCACGGCTTGCAACTGACCGGCCCTCTCCAATTCCGCCAGCATCGGTCGCAGACCGTCCTCTTTCCTGATCTGATAGTGCAGTACTGTCTTCCCCGTGGAGTCGCAGGCGCGAGCATCGGCTCCATACTGCAAGAGAACCCGCAGGCCCGGCACACTGCCCTGTGCCAATACGGCTTTCATGAGGCAGGTTCGCATCCCGTCGTGTGAGTCCTGCACATTGGGATCCGCGCCATACCGGAGCAACAGCTCCAAGCAGTTGACTTGGTCCGCGCGCATGCATTGCAGGAGCGGGACGTGGAGCTGACGCCGCGAATCGCCTTCAAAGCAGTACCCATTGGGGTCAGCGCCGGCAGCCAACAAAGCACTGACCCTGTCGTGCGTCGTGAGAGAATAAAGTCCGGCTTCGTCTTCGTCATCGTCATGTGCATCATCTTGGAGAGCATACACAAGCGGAAGCTTGCCGGAGATCATCAAATCATCGAGGTCCACACGCTGCACGATATCCAGGAGGATCTTCAACAGGGTCTCCCTTGTGATCGATGCCCCCTTGAAAAGGACGAGCAGGAAGCTCACGGCAGCGTCCCGGAGACGTCGAACGTTGTCGGTTATTCTGGTCGTGCCCGTGAGGCTGGCGGTGACTGTTTCCAGGGGTCGTGGCGGAACATATATCTGCCAAACCGGCCCGCTGAACTCGAAACCTTTCCAGCGAAAATGCAATAGCGAGTACAGTCGCATGGTCTGTGCAGTGACGAGCTCGAGTGAGCGTCGGTTGGTATCATTAAAGTGGCAGGTGACCAGTGGCCGGTGTCCTTGGTCGATCGCCCAGCCGAGATTGTCACCTTGGTCTTTCGCTGAGCTTGCGAGCACGCGGAGAGGGTCGTTCCCCTCAAAGATGGACCCGTACATGGACATAAGCCGCCGCCCGAGACCGCTGCTTTGCGCAACTGGCTGCGCTGCCACGTGGAATATGCCTCTCTGTGGCCTGTCGGCAGATTTCCTCTTCAGGGTGGTCAAGTCAGCCAGTGCAGGCATGTTGAGGTATGTCAGGCACACCATGGCCACCCGCTCCTCAGCCTGCTCGTATTGGAAGTGCATCGCTGAGGCGAGCTCGTTGTTCGGCAGTCCGCACAGATGCAAGGCAACCGTTGGATGAACCAGGCGAACCTGTCCGTCTTCCGGATCTGTTTCGAGCAGGTAGCGCCCAAACTGCCAGCAAAAGTCGGCGGCAATCTTGCTCGAATGCAAAGGCCTCCATGTAATATCGCCGGGGATGACATTGGCCGCGATGCGGAGTTCTTTGAACGTTAAGGGTGGCTCGGCCGCCGTCACCAGCTCGAGTACCGCGCGCGCCTTGACACCCTCCGTCTCTGCGAGGTGCATCAGTGCCCTTGTGTATAGCTCAGAGAGCTCCTCGTGTATTCTGGACAAGGCGCTCGTGAGCTCAAGAGGCGAGTGCTCCAGATCTTCGCGCAAGAGTCGCAACTGTAGACTGAGCCACAGGAACATATTCTGCCATCCGGCGAGGAGCTTCTCTTGAATGAGGTCCTTGGCGTCACCCAGATACAGGTCCTGAGATTCCCACATGGTAAGCTCCCTTGTAATATAATCTTTTGCTTCGGCTGTGCGATCCGTGTCCTCGATCATGACAGTGATAAATGGGATGGGCAAGGTATCACTTGCCAGACGCAGCTCTTTCCAGTTCGGGTGCGAGGAGCAAAGCAGCAAAACTCTTCTTGCGGCTGCGAGACGCTTGAGTTCTCGGAAAATCGTGTGCACCTCGCTGGATTCACAGTTGCCCAGGCCGTCGAGGACGATGAAGAGCTTGCATCGGGGCGGGACGACGGCAATGAGCAGGTCTATGCAAGAGTCGTTGGACAGCTTCAGCGTTTCGAATCCACCAAACCTCTCCAGATGGGCATCCAAAGCAGGCTCCATCTCCTTACTATGCAATATCTGGTATGCAATGTTTCCCAGGATGCTGGAGGCGGTGACGGCGGTCTTGACGCCCTTGCGCCAGAAGTAATGCGCAATCGCGGAATCTTCAGTCGAGACTGTCTTTGCAAGTCGGAACAGGTTCATCACAAGGGAGGCCAGTATAACGGACTTGCCAGACCCGAGTTTGCCCGTCACCCATAACGTACGGGAGGCTGAGGACTCTTGCCATTGTATGTACTCGTCCGTCTGCAGCATCCACGTTGAGGTACCCTTTTCACAATAGTACCTTAGATCGAGCGTGTGCTTGATATCGCCTTTGCTAATCGCCTTTGCCACTTTGTGCTTCCACAGATCCCGACTCCCCTTTGTAGTGACCAGGTCCATGTCCTTGAGTCGACACATTATCTGCCCCAATTTGCTTTTGGTATCCCTATGTCCTTCTTGGCTGAGACCAATGGCCTGGGTGTTGGCGGCTTCGCTGATGGCGGACGCGATGGACTGCAGATCCTTCTCCAGAGGCCCGAACCTGGTATCGAACGTCGAGCCGAGCGCAGACATCAACTGCGAGGGCGCCGACTTGTGGGCGTACCGGATGACTTCGGTGCAGATGGCAATCAAGCCAGACAGGTATTGGAAAACGAGAGCCTTGAGTCGTGGGTCTGCGGGGAATAGCACATGGTAACTGTCGTTGGCATGGGTGAAGCGCCCAATCCGCGACAGCATCTCGGAGAGTTTATCGTAGAAGAACATCAAGGTCAATGATACCTCGCGCAGTCAGTACATCTTCCGTGAAAGGGCCCAGCAGTTGCACACTCACATCGATAGCAATCCGAAGTGCCCCCCATGCACCGCTCACGGCCATGTTCTGCGCGCCGCCGACGAAGACATCGCCTACAGAGGCAAAGTCCTTGATCCGCTCGAGACATTGACCGCAGCGGCGCGCCCACTGATACGAGTTGACCGGCTGTTTCCTGGCGATGCTGTGCGCAACTTCTTGAATCGCCGCGTGGATGTCGGCCGCGTCGAGCCACCCGTCGCGGTGCAGGCCTGCTCAAAGTCGCGGTGCAGGTTCTCATTGTACTTTCGCAGCACGCTGCTGAAGCCCTCCAGAGCCTGTTGGTAGCCCTCGCGAGCTGCGTCGACCTCCAGCTGTACTCTGGCCGCGGTGCTGGACAAGGCGAATATCCGAGGGGCGCCCACGCGGGTCACAGCAGAACTCGACGCCATGATGGCACGCGAGGCGAGCGACGATGAAAGTGGTTGCGTAGACCATCATGGCCGATGAACAGTTGGCACGGAAGATGGAGGGCGGGGAAATGCGCCTCAGCTGAGGTCGAGGCATTCTGCACATTGAGGTGCATGAGGGTGGCGCAAGGCTCAAGCCGGGGGAAGGCACGGTATATGAGGGTCTTTCCTCGGGGATGTTCACGTGAACCTGGGAGCAAATCACCGCAGCATTCATCTACCCAAGAACTGACTATGCTCGACAGACAACATTGAAGCTCATCAACAGGAAACCCTTCTATGACTTCTTCCCAGGCTTTTCCACGGGGTATTTCTCCAACGCCTCATACCAAAGCAGCGCACTGCCGACGAAGAAGGCAGCGGACGCCCAAAGCAGCGTGAGCTCGCCCTGATATTCGCACCAGCTCGCGGTGCAGTATCCAAACGATGCCGACAGCGTCCAGCCGACGGAGCCGATCATGTTCCAAAGGCCAATGTGCCATCCGAGGACGTGCGGCGCCGGGGTGTACCAGTTGGGCTGCGTCTCGAGCATGTAGAGGGCGGAGGAGAAGATGAACAGAACGCCACCGACGAGGTACGTCAGCCAGTATACACCCCTGGCCACGCCGACACTCATGTTTTCGTATATACCTGGCAGTGCGCAGATGCCGGAGACGTAGAAGATGGTGGCGCCAAGGGAGAGGGATGTCGAGGCGACGAAGCCAATTTCGCGAATGTAGTGCGTCTTGAGCTCGTACCAGGACGGCCACCACCTCCAGCGCCATTTCGACGGAGATTCATTCACGGAGCTTTTGGGTCCACGGCGGCGCTGGTGATGGTGATGGCACCCGACAGGATCTTCTTGGGCCAGCATCATGCCACGGTGAGGGGTGCTGTGTTCATCCCAGCCCATTTCGTGGAGCGCCTGATGGAGGGCCCAGCCAAAGCAGCCAGTCTTGTCCTCATTGCAGGCTTCGAAGACGAGGAGGACAGCCCCGATCTGGAAAAGGGTGGCACCGACAAAAGCCGTTACGCCGCCCGCAACCGTTGATTCCCCAGGGAACTCGTAGCGGGAATCGACCAGAGGGAGCCAGTAGAAGAGTCCGCAGGCAATGAAGATGAGGCAGCCAACTGTGAAGGAGACGGCGACGAGGTACGAGACATCCCAGTACGGGCACTCGGTGGCCATGCGACGCAGGCCTCGGAGGACGGCTCGCAGCGTAGCCGTGTGAGCAGCGCCGCCCTTCTGCTCCTTGCGATCGATGAGGAGGGCATGTCGTCCTGTGGAGGCCGGAAGGATACAATGTCAGCTTGTTCTGCCAGGCTCAAGGAGATGTCGACGACTCTTGCGCATCACAAACCTTTTCTGTTGTCTCGTGAGCGCCAGCGGATTTCGGTACCGGGGATGAAGATATCGGCGCCTGGGGCAGCCTCTTCAGCTGTGGGCTTCCAGTCCTTCTGGGCGGACTTTTTGACGCGAAAACGGGCGTCGGTCGGATTGAAGAAGGGAAGGGGACCGTTGATGGTTCGGTCGTCAATCTCGAGGTTCGCGTCGCTCGAGAAGGGAGTCGGGCGACCAGGCGAGGCGAAGGCCTTGTTCCGCGGCATGCTGCAGCAGAAGCGATTGCGATCGCAGAATTGACGGTACGATAGAAGAATCAAATGAGACGGACAAGTGGAAATGTCTTCTACTCGCGTTTGCCGATTGTCTTCACGTGAAACAGTGGCTCATGACGGTTGGTTTGTCTGGGACTCTGGGTGATTCTCGCGCACTTTTTGTCGTTCCAGCATGGTCAGCGCAGTAGATTGCCAGGGAATAATACTGCTGCTGGCCCAGTCACGGTTTTCATCGTAAAGAAGTATTCTCGATCATGCATGACCATAAAGGACGTCAAAAGGTTTAGGAAAGGTTGAGGCCTCACACACGTCATAATCGGAAATACGGCACGCTGCCGCGTCGCGGAGTCAGACCCGACTCGTGGCCATGATCCATCACGAACAGTTATCTATCCGTAATGACGTAAATTTCACCAAATCAATCATTCACGTCGGCACGACGTGGAATATCCAATGGGAGGAATAAGTATAATTGTCAACTACGTAGTGGGAAGCAATAGAGTGGCTGCGAAGGGAGTCGTCACTTCAGCACGGTATGAGCGCGACGGGACAATGACCTGGACCACGACGCGCCCCTAGTACTCGTTGGTTGATGAATATACTACGAACTACTAGTCCGGGGAGTGCGCGACGGCGTGGATTTACTTTGACTAGCTTATACCCATTTCGTAGTCGCACTACTCTATGATAGGTCTATAATAGGTCACAATCTTCTCCTGAGTAGCACATGGCTCCGGAGAAGCAAGTCTGGCGTTTCATCTTCAAAGACACGTCTATCAAATGGTTTGAAAAGTCCGGGTACAAAAGGCGATGCTCACCACCCAGCTCAGGGCGCCTGGCTCTCCGCCCACGCCGCGCGTTTGCGGTAGATGTCGTGTCGAAACGTCTGCTTCAGCTCCGCGATCGCCTGCCCATCTACCGGCAACTTGGCCTGCAGCGCGCCTACGCCGCACAAGTCATTCTTACGGTCGATAAACCACGCAAACGTGAGCCCGCCACCCCAGGTCAGCGTGCGCTCGCCGTACCAACCCTCGACATCCTCCAGCGTGAGCAGCCCGCTGAGGCCGTAGCCTGCCTTGGCATCGAGCGCGGTGCCGACTCGGATAAAGGGGCCCAGCGGTGTGGAGGACACGGCTCCGAAGGACGCGGCAGAAGCGGGCGAGAGGTGGTTCTCAAACATGTCGTCGACTGTGGATGGTTTGAGGAGTTTGCCATCGTTGGCGAGGATCGACTGCAGGATCTTGAGATAACCGGGCACCGTCATGAACAGCCCATGCCCCCCGAAATCCCCCTTGGACCACCTGTTCATATCACCGCCGCCACCGAGGACCGCTCGCCCTAGACAGCCCGGATCATCGGGATTCAAGTCAACAAGGCGCTCGCGCAGCCTCTCATCTAAAACAGGGTAGAACTGGGCGTCCGTGATATCCAGAGGCGCAAACATGCGCTCGTGCATACGTTCACACAGCGTCTTGCCCGTGGCCCTCTCCACGATGCGACCAGCCCAGTCCAGCCCGGGCCCGTACATCCACCCCTCGCCAGGCTGGTATCTTAACGGATACGAAAATGTCTCCTCGACACGCAGCTTTGCGTCTTCCCCGGGATCAGTGGGCCTCGAGACAAACTTGGCGTGCCATCGAGCGAGATCAGCATCGGCGAAGTGGTAGTTGAGGCCCGCGCTGTGCGTCAGCAGCATCTCCAAAGTGATGGATTTCTTCTGGGGTTCCATCACAGGCTGGTCGTCGTCAGACCATCCGGTGAGAACCTCCTTGTTTGCAAGCTCAGGCGCCAAGGCAGATACATCGCCCCGGAGTGTGAGCAGCCCATCCTCGACGCACTGCAGCGCGGCAATGGCCGTCAAGAACTTGGTCGCGGATGCGAGGTACACCACGTCGTCCGATTGGTGTGGGCGCTTCTCGCCCGAGAGAAGCGTGCGCTCGCCAAATAGCTTCTCGTAGACGAAGCGGCCTTGGGCATCAGTGGCACTCAATAGCGCACCGTTGAGTTTGCCTGCTTCGATTGCCGCCGGAATGCTAGTGTCGATGCTATCAGCGGCCATGGTGAAGGTGAATTGTGAGCTAAATTGTAACGAGATGTTGAATGAGCTGCCGCCTTAATGATCAGACAGATTGAAATCCATGAGAAGGTAAGCATTGCAGGCGATGGGATTTTTATTTGTCCGACGTAGATACGTCGGCGGAGAGTTGCTAGGATTGATCATGATTCCCGCCGTCGCGGACTCAACTCGGGGCATTTATTCAGGTAGTCTGCCACGAAACCCTTAGCACCGCCGCTCTTGCTCAGGCTTTGATCGTCCTTGCTTACTGAGCGTCACTTTTGATCACCTTTGCACCTTAACCTCGCCTATCCCTCCCGCGGGCTGCACGCCAACCTATCACCTCTTACCCACGCGATATTGAATTTGCACTGTATCATCTGGAATTTGCGCGACCTTTGCTATAGCTTAGGATCCGGTTGGACGCGCTAGGGGCAAGGTGTAGGCAGAGCTTGCGATGAGCCTGGTTTTTAGCGACCCTCTTTATTCTCTTGAAACTTGGATTGCGGACCTGAGTATTCACTGTATAAAGGCTTAGGATCTCTGCCTCTTAGATAATACACTTGGAGTGGAGAGCTAGTATTCTTAAAGAACCTTTTTTCAAGAGCATGTCCTTGAGATATACCCATGGAAGCATAGAAATAGCTATAGTGCTTAGCAAGAGGCTTTGCGCTCTTAGCTTTTATGCTGGGTGTGCCTGCTCGCTGACTATTCACGACTTTAGAGCTGAGGGCCTGTATTAGATTAGTATGTATATTCTTATTCTCTTCGCTTGACCTTAATCTATAGCTTTACTAACGATTCCCTAGACTAGCTCTACTCTGTGGCTTAGACGATAAGCATGCGGGCTAAAGAGATACTAAGACATATCATAACTATTATATGCCTAATAATAGCGGTACATGTATTTAAGGTAGCTACTTTAGCACAGAAGTGCGCACCGTTATTAATAACCTTTTTTGTGGCTTATTTATTATTTAAAACCTATATCTAGCGTAGTCTTTTCTAATAAAGGAAAAGGACGCATTATACACCAGCCCTAAGTTTATGGCTATTAAAGAAGAGCTAATAAGCCTGCGAGGGCAAGAAAGTAAGAAGTAAACCTTCTGCTATAAAAAGCTTTATCTAGAGAAACAAAAGCTAGTAGATTAAGAATCCCGGGAACGGCGGAAGACTTAGCTATATCGACTTGTCACAGCCTTTATTAAGAAGTTCCGTTTATGCTATTACTAAAGTATATTTAATTGTGTTAGATTCCTTATGCTAGAGCAGGACTTTCTTATACAGAATCTGTTCTTGACTAGCACCTTGTGAAGCTTGACTGGACTTTAGATACTCTGCGATATAATTGCTCTATGCGAAATAGATACTGAAGTGAAGTTTCGCCTAGAACTGGAACCAGACCTGTGCTAATGTGGCAAATTAATACACGGACGAAAACTACCTGAATCTGCTTACGCTGCTAAAGAACTAAAGTCTACTAGCAAGAGTTAATAACAAAGCTGCCAGTCTACATGTGTGGTTCCAGCGGACGGTAAGGGTGAGGGAAGTTGTCATCTTCCTCCTTGCACATCTCCTCCTTGATGACAATGCCCTCAGTGATGAAGAAGGACTCAAGGGCAAGACGCAGCCAAAGGACTCCTGTTGGAAGACAAATGGCTCACGGTGCTCAGATCCCGGGCGTTTGGCAGACAAGTGTGCGAACCACATTGCACATGCAATTGCCTTTTGACACGTCAGACGGACGCCTTGGTCTAGGACCCTCACTATTACTTAAGCGTGGGACTTACTAAGCCTCGCTCAACACTTTCCAGGATTCTCTCACCGCAGCTGACTCTCCAACTCTGCCTATGTCATCCGCGAGCCCTGCGCAATAAGTCACATGAGATGTTCCTGGCACTTCCTAGAATATCTATGGAAGATGCCCGCTAACACGTTGGAATAGATGTTCGAACTTCAGCAATGTTCTCGATCTATCGCCATGGAATGGCTGATCCGCAGATGATCTCTACCTTTCTTAACTGTGCATCACCCTCATCAGTGTAGATCTCTTCCATTATTTTGTGTTACAACGGGTACATTGGCTGGTATAGTTATTATACAACACGCTGGACAAGAAGCTGTCTGATGCGCAATGTGGCTCTTTCAAACACTCTTCCTGAGAACGAGCTTGAAGGCATAGATGATGCCACGAAAGAGTCCCGAGGGATTGAGCATTTCCAAGAAAGCACGCCACCCGAGAAAGCCGCCTTGATAATGGGGGACTGCGCTGTTTGACTCATCATCTGCTCTGCGAGACTTGGAGTATGTACCCCAGTGGTAAGCCCAGACAAAGAATAAGGAGAGAGGCACCATCTCCAGGCATGGAAGCATGTTGGGGATGCCAATGTGAAAATCGGCCCATGTCATAGTTGATGAAGGGTTCATAACATCGGTATGATCTTCCAGGATCCAAAAGATGATCTACGATACGGTCAGTTCTTTGGGATATCATGGTGAGAGTCGGTGACTTGAAGTCATAATTGACACTCACCGACTGAACAACTGTCAGGAAGATTATAATCTTGAACGCAATGAACTTAAGCATCGCGTTGTGGACAGCGAGCTCAGGCTTGAGGTGCTTGAAAACCTGGAGGAGCGTCAAGAACACGAGAACTAGTGATATCATGTTGAAGAGATGCAGCCAGAATTTGGCGAAGTGGATGCCTCCAGAAAATATGCAGTAAACACCAGCCGCCTGGGTGATGTCCGTCAAGATGGCGATGAGGAATGCGACAACCGGGTATTGGAAGACGAGGATCCATCGAACCTGTGGAGAACATCTGTCACTTTACTTGTCCGTCGCTACAATTGTCAAAGATGGGCGTAAGATTGGCGTACCTGGAACCATTTATGCCCCCGCATGGTGCCCTTCTTCTTGGGGATGTTCTTTGCAGCAAGGTAGGCGTCTCTCTCCCTCTGATTCGGTGCCAGATATTCAGAGAGCAGGAGGAAGAATGAGCAGAGACTCCAAGCTTCGAAAACGTGAACCCAAGGTTTGATGTACGGATACACTACCGGGAAGGCCAACGAGAGCCAGCTGATGAGAACATAGATCGGAATGAACAGCGAGACTCTCATGATGCTGTTCACGAGGAAGGTCAGCCAAAATACAGCATTTCTGTACATCAATGCTTGCACATGATGGTGCTGACACTTACTTTCCCTGGTGCTTTGGGTTAGAGAAGTGAGTCACATGCATCATCATGAATGCCAAAATGACAAGAATGACAAAGGCGGCTGCTGCACCGGATATGATCATGTTGAACGTATAGAAGGACATGCCGCCGACGGCAGGCTCCTGGGCCTGCTCTGAGAGGTCTTGCGTAGGACAGCTGTGCGCCCCGTCACCGCCTTTCTTGTTGAAGAGGCCCATTGTGAGATGGTTATGGTTGTGATGGAACGATGATGCACGAGAACGAGGGTCTCAGGAGGGGCAGGCGTGTCTGGCACTGCAATAAAGAGTGGTAAAATAGTTGCCTCGTTCGCTTCAAATGAGGCCGGATTTTTGAATAGAAAAAAGGTTCAAGAAACGGGGACGGTGGCTTATACGTGATGACCACGCCGCGCTCGATTTCGAGGGACTTGACTTGGTGATCGTTCCAAGATGAGGGTTGAGGGTCTGAGCGCCTATGCCTGGGTCAAACTTGCAGACTAGGATCGTTCTAGGAGTGTCGGAACTGGGAAGAAGCCAGGAACCTTGGCTTAAGCTCGCGCAGCCCGATCAGACCTCCTGACCATCGCCATACGTGCTGCGCCATTCGTAACGAATCGCCGGAAACGGGCTATTGCTGAGTTGATAGTTCCTTTCGCACAGCATCACAGGGTCCAGCATCCGTGCTTCATGTGGCCCGAACGGGCACGGGCATGCCGTAAGGTTCACTACTTGTCAAGCCACTCTCTTGGCACCAAAACATCAATGCTTCAGGATCGGCGAGGTCGCGCCCCCGTCTTGACACAAAATCGAGAGATGGTGATCTTTCAAGTCTAAGTCCTTACTGCTTACTGACCGTTCACCAACACGGTCCTCTCGATATATCCGCGACGTTCGAAGAAACGAGACGACGTTCTAGACATAGACTGAAACTGCAGCCTTTTCGAGACGGGGGTGCTGATCCGAGTAACGACCGGGGGCCTTTTAGAGTCCCTGTGGCGCTTGTGGGACCAAACGAAAGCGAAAAGGTTGCACGTGCAGTATGTGATCTCTAGGCCAACTCTCAAAGACGGGACAGATATCTAGGACTCAGCCAGTGGCGCCTTAATTAGACGGAGCCTCAGCCGCAGAAAAGCTATCCCGCATCTTGGGACTCACGGCATTCCATCGACCCCTAATCTGGCTTCGGCGCATTCCAGTGCCACTGGCACACAGGAATTCGGGTGGGGATTCTGGGGAACCTTGTCAATTAGCCTCGAACGACTAGGCATCATGTGAGATATGCTGAAAGTTAAGCCTATCCATTGATTCATTGCGTGGCACAGTCGCACTTGAGCATGTTCGCCAGCATTCCTCAGTAAATCCGCCTCGAACATCTCATGGCCTTCCAGGACAGAGCTTACTTATATGAATGAATGCGTTCCTACCTTGGCTGTAACCCAAATCCCGCAGTCAACTTAACCAACTGAAAGACGCACCACTTTCATCACGACTTTCTGCCTTGTACCTGTTGCAACTGCTCTTCTGAGACTTTGCGACTGGTGGCCTGTCCTCCCTCTTTGCAGTCTTCCAAGGCCATGAGCGAACGCATCCCGGGTCCCAAGGGCCTGCCATTGGTCGGTAACCTCTTGGATATACAAGATGAGGTACCTTTACACGCCATTGAGCGCATCTCCGATATATATGGTCCTCTGTACACTCTGAATTTCCCCGGCGGCGGGCAGAGATACTTCTGTACAGGATTCGAGCTCTTCAACGAGCTATGCGATGAGACTCGCTTCTACAAGCTCGCCCCGAAAACCTTGCAAGACCTGGGCAAGTCAGGGAGCCAGGGCTTGTTCACGTCTGTATCAGAGCATGATATAGACTGGCAAGTTGCGCATCGAATTCTCTTACCGGCTTTCGGACCGCTTGCCATTGAGAGCATGTTCGACGGTACGCCAACCCTCCTGCTATCTCGGTCTCAAATACTCCTGATTTGCACGAAACTGACATGAAAGACCAGGCATGTACGATATCGCATGCCAATTGACCCTGAAATGGGCACGTCTGGGGTCTGAAGTAGTCATTGGTGCCACCAGTGACTTCACCAGGCTCACGTTAGATACGATTGCCCTCTGCGCCATGGACTACCGCTTCAATTCCTTCTACCAAGAAGGCTTGCACCCTTTTGTCGCAGCCATGACTCGTGTCCTGAGGGCCGGATCGGAGGCAAGCCAATTGACAGGAATCCTTAAGAGCATGATGCCCTCACATGCAGTTGCTCTGCAGAAGGACAGAGACATACAGAAGCGAATAGCCATGGAAATTGTGCAGAAACGAAAGGACAACCCCGTCGATACAAAGGACCTGCTCAACGCAATGATTTATAATAAGGATCCGAAGACAAATCAGACGATGAGTGACGACCTGATTGCTGCGAACATGCAGACATTCCTCATTGCCGGTAAGTCCATAGCCTTAGAGCTCTACTCCCATCTTTTCCCATACCCCCAAATGCTTCGTGCCCACACAGCATTGAGATGACTGAATCTGACATGTATGAATGAAGGACACGAAACGACCTCTGGACTTCTCTCATTTGCCTTTGCCCTTTTACTCAAGAACCCCGCTACCCTGTTCAAAGCGCAGCAGGAAATTGATAAAGTCGTTGGCACAAGCAAGATTACCGTCAAGCATCTCAGCCAGCTTCCCTACATCACGGCCGTACTGCGTGAGACACTACGTCTCTATCCCACGGCCCCAGCCTTCAATCGCGGGCAGCGTCCTGAGAACAAGGCGAAGGAGCCGATCCCTACTATTGGAGGCGGCAGGTTTAAGGTGCCTGAGGAGGGCATCACCTGTCTCATGTCTAAAATCCACCGCGACTTCACTGTTTGGGGTGCGGACGCTAACGACTTCAATCCTGATCGAATGACTGACGGCAAGTTTGAGAAGTTGCCCCGAAACGCATGGATGGTACGTTCTTCCTCTATCTACCTCGACTTCCTTCACCTGTTCTTGAAGTGCAGCAAGCGTGGCCCAATCTCGTTGCTGACGATGCTGCAGCCTTTTGGTACTGGATCCCGATCATGTATCGGTCGGTCGTTTGCCTGGCAGGAAGCCATGCTGGTTCTGATTATGATCCTCCAGAACTTCGACGTTCGACTCAAGGATCCCCAATACGAGATCAAGGTTGATCAAAATCTCACCATCAAGCCCAGAGACTTTGAGATCCGCGCCGCTCTACGTGCAGGGCTCACTGCTTCGAATCTTCAGAATCTTCAGAATCGTCTCTACTCAAATGGTCCGTCAAATGGCGACACCTCCAATGACACTCATGGCTCGCATCAATCTGATAGTAACGGAAAAAAAGGGAAGCCTGTTCAGATCATGTTTGGTACGACTACGGGCACGACTCAGCACCTGGCAACCAAGCTTGCAGCCACCCTTTCAGGCCACGGATGGGCTCCCAAGGTTTTGGACATGGACGAAGCCGTCAAGAAGATCAACAAAGACGCCTTGCAAATCTTCATAAGCAGCTCGTATGAGGGTATGCCTCCCGACAATGCGAACCTATTTGTATCTTGGCTGCAGTCCATCGAAGACTCACAACTGTTCGACGGTGTCGAATATTCAGTCTTTGGGTGTGGCCACAGCGATTGGAAGCATACGTTTCAGCGCATTCCTACGATCATTGATGATGCCATGGCGGCGGCTGGAGCTAGGCGCGTAGTAGACCGAGGGTCATCAGACGCAGCCAAAGGTGACATTACTGGTCAATTTGATGACTGGGCAGACAACCAGCTCCTACCGGCTGTTGTATCGTCTGGCCCTCACTCGTCTGCTTCAAGTGGTCAACAGGTACCCACTGTCGCTCTGACCTCCGCTGTGGCAATGGAGCTTAAAGAACAGGGTCGTGCGGCTCATCTTCAGCAAAAGGTCGACTGGGCAGTGATCAAGGCAGCTGGATGTCTCACGCCACCAGGAGAGCCTGAGAAGAGACATCTGGAGATCAAGTTGCCTGAGGGTGTCTCCTACAGTGTTGGCGATTACCTTATGGTTCTCCCTCGCAATTCCGAGAGCCAGATTCGCCGCGTCATCCGAAGGTTCTCTGTCCCTTCTGACTCTGTCATCACTATCTCGGACGGAGGCTCGACAACTCTTCCCGTCAACGTGCCACTCCCCGTCTCTGAGCTACTTATGGGATATGTCGAGTTGACGCAGCCTGCGACTAAAAAGGACATTGCCACACTATCATCTCACACCAAGCCTGGACAACAGAAGGAATATCTACAGTCGCTCACAGCAACCGAGGACACATACACTTCCGAAGTGTCTGACAAGCGAATCAGTTCACTTGACCTATTGGAGCGATGTAATGATATCGAAATCCCGTTCGCGGGCTTCCTTGCGTTACTGCCTCCGCTTAAGACTCGGCTATACTCCATCTCAAGCTCACCACTAGCGAGTCCGAACACGTGCAGCATGACCTACACTGTCATTAATGCACCTCATCTCTCTTCGCGAGCATCTGACTCGCAGTCCATTGAGGATCGCGAGCTGTTCCATGGCGTGACCGGAACTTATCTGCGTGACCTCAAGGCAGGTGATCAGATCCAGGTCGCGATCCGGTCCTCCAACAAATATTTCCGGCCGCCGGTTGATATGACGGCGGTGCCGATGGTCATGATTTGCGCAGGAACTGGCTTAGCTCCATTCCGGGGCTTCGTTGAGGAACGCGCTGTTATGATCAAAGATGGGCACCGTGACCTGGCTCCCGCTATCCTGTTCGTTGGCTGTCGAGCTCCAAGCAATGACCAGCTCTACAAGGACGAGTTCGATGAATGGGAGCGCATTGGAGCTGTCAAAGTACGATATGCTTTTAGTCGTGCTCCTGATGCCAGTGATGGATGCAAATATGTACAGGACCGCGTCTGGCACAACCGCGAGGAGGTATCTGAAGCATGGCAATCTGGTGCAAAGTTCTACGTCTGTGGAAGCAAAGAGATGGCAAAGAGCCTTGGTGAGGTCGCCCAGATGATAGTGGCTGAACGCCAGGCAGGTCAGCATGATGTGAGTAAGGCAGATACGGAGGCGTGGTTGGATCAGATGAGGAATCAGCGGTTTGTTAGTGATATCTTTACTTAGGAGTTCGAACTCGAGCCGGTTAAAGAAGGATTGCAATGCTTATAGGCAGTTCGTCCGTATGTATACCCCTAGAGATACCACGTATCTCTCGAGCCCCTTTACCTGAACTCGACTAGGCTGTGACTTGTACGGGATGATGACAACATTTTAGCTGAGTTTATGGTCTCTAACGTCACTAACACCGTCGTAGCTTCACAGCGTAGTAAAGACTTCACGCGCTTTGACTCTATGCCTTGTTGCTGCGCTTTCCGCAAGTCATACAGAGTCGAAACACAAGACCCATGCACTGTCGCAACCTGCACGAGTAGGTTTAGTATATTGGGCTTAAGTAGGTCATGCAATGTATTCACCTTAAGCTTACTAATTATATGGAGCTGTTGTACAAGTTAGCCCTGATGCTCTGAGCGTGGACGGCGCGGATGTCGCCCTGACGGTTTACAGCGGTGGCTTCGAGAAGGATCCGTGGAATCACGCCTTTAATGATTACAGGTGAGCATCTCTTGAAAGGTTTAACTGAATTAATACTAGATCTAAGAATAGGGTAACTTGCATGTTCTCTGCATAAGGTTCTTGTGGACACTCCGCACAAAAATAGATACTCGTTTATGTTTACTTAAAGTTATTTATCCAGACATCTAATATTGCAAGGGCGCAAGCTCACGACATTATTTATGATAAACTGCTTTCAGCTCTTTATAACTCTTTATTAGCAGCATGAGAGCCTAACAGCCTTTATATTTACTCTCTCTTCTTAGAAACTACTACAGACTTTATTATAGCTTATGTCTTTAGCTTAGGAGGCAGTATAAACTTGATTAAAGAAAAGGGATACTAACAGCATTAGCTGCATCTCTAGAACAGCTACAACGATCATTATTTCTGGTCCCAGGAGCTGCCCTGGCTTACTAGTGTGCTGAAACGCATTAGCACGTAGCTCAATAGAGCGAACCATGTCGTCAGCCGCGCTTGTTTCAACCCGCGCCATTTAAGAGGTCGACCTTAACAGCCTGCTGAGATTGGTCTCATTTTAACGGGTTCTTAGATGACCTGTCGTTGTAAGCGATCTAGCTAATCTCGATTATGTTGTGTGTCGCCAATGCCAAGATCCCAGGATTCAGGAAATAGTTATATACTTGCTCTTAAGCTTCTTTAGATAGAGATTCTAAAGTCTTAATTAAAAAGATATAGAAGACAGAAATGAAGGTATTAGAGTGAATATCTTAAAGTTCTTATATATTGGACTAAGAAAGATCTATAAACTGCGAAAGCTAGTACGATTATAGCTATAGTATATGCACCTACCCAACCCCTAGATTTCTTACACAAACGATATAACTATAAATTCTAGCTCTTCTAATATCTAAACGCTAATAGAATATTCTAAGTAGTTTAATTAATTAAATTTAATATAAAGTTAATTTATTTACTTTAATATTTTACTTATTTACTATTTGTATCTCTTAAAGGAAGTAACTTTACTAGGAAAATCATGCGTGGTAGAATAGGTTCGAGTACTATGTGATAATAAGCTAGCTAATCCTAACGGTTACCTATATATAACTAACTTGAAATCCTAGCGAATTTAGTTCAAAAGATCAGACACTAGTACGATCTCACTTAGAGCAAGAACAAATCCTAGCTCTAAGTTATTACCGCGCATCCTTTGGATATAGGCTTATTCAGAATAACCGCGCCGCTAGACAGTTAGATCTAAGCACTCAGGGAAGGCTTTTTAAATACAGAGCCAGTATAGCGGCAACGCGCCTTTGTACGTGGTTCGAAAGACCTATTAGCACGCAAAATATCCCAGGAATCTGCCCAGGAATCTGGGAACATATCTGATGTGCAGATTGCTTTATTAAAGAGAATGTTTAATAACAGGTAAGAGAATTGTTCTCTCTAAACGTGTTCCCACTGGTACACAATGTGTCGCTCTCCAAGTACCGACTTTAGCACTAACAGCAGATCATCAACTGCGGTTAAGAACTTGAGGTGCCAGATCATAGCAACGCAGTAACGTCGATGGTGTCCATCGCCAATATGCATCTTGGGGGCGATAGCAGCCCTCAACTTCGTGGCGGCATACGACTCGACGGCTCGAGCGATCAATGGGGTAGGTAGCCTTTCGGGGAGGGGAGATCCTGTTCTGAGTGCCTGTTCAATGATTGCCAGTACGGCCATGATATCTCCTATCGCTCGATCATCCTTGATGCCAGTTGCATCAGTCAGGACTTCCTGAATCTCCAACGGGAGCTCTGCTGCGAGCTCTAGGAGGCCTCCAAGTGCCTGGTTGATGTTCTGACATTGCTCCTGAGCTTGCTTGAGGGTATTCTGGTTGAACGGGCTAGAGCTGAGCTCCAATTTGAGGTTGGCGATGGTTGGGTCTAACGCCAGCAGTCTGCTAGCCACCTTCAAGGTGATCTGGCCAGAAACAACAGCTAAAGCATGAGTATTCTTATCTGACCGCCCCCAGTGCGATACCAGAAGTGCGTAGTGATCTGAAAGGGTACGGATTGAGTTTGCAAGAGTTTTGCAGGCATGTCTCGTGGCTGAGGGTGGTCTAGGGATTACCTGAACAATTGAGGCCGCCAAGAATCCAATGAGCACGGTCACAACGCGCTTCCAAAAACACTCGTAGCCTGTTCCTGGAAGCCCGTATTGCTGAAGGTGGCCTTCGTCCCAGCTGAAACCTATGACAAGGCCAAAGGTAGCTGAGCCCATGATGATTGCCGTGGTAAATGCCGGAGGCATGTACAGTCGGCACCATACTATAGGCAAAAGCATTGCTCCAGTGATGGCTGCCATTCCATAAGGGTTTCCAGGACCATTGCCGGCGCCAATGTACCATGCCACCATTCCCAAGGCGCCGCCAAAGATAGTTCCCAGCGTACGTGTGACGAGTGAGAAGGTGAAGTCGGACATGTAGACAAGCAGCACAAGCTGAGCGCTTATAACAGCCCATATACCTTTTTCGCGATAAAAAAAACCAGCTGTAGCAGGGAGCGTAGCAGGGATAGTCAAGGCGATTGTCACGATCACCATGCGCAGGGAATACATCCCAGCTGGATTCGTGAGCCATCTGTAGGAAGCGCTGACTGTACGACTGAACTTGTTGCGTCGAGCTGAGGAGCCTTTGAGTCCCCGAGTGGTCTCAAGTCTTCGGCGAATCTCTTCAGTGTGTTCCAAGACCTCATCGGGGTCTTTGTCCATCCCGGCGCTGCTCTCGCCTGCTGCAGCCCCTTCGGGTACAGCAACCCCTCCGTGACGTACCCAGCTGAAGGCGTACTGTAATCGTGATGGAAACCATACTCGGGGAGTTTGGCGACTCGAGCAAAGTCGTTCAAGGTGGTCTAGCAACTGCTTGGTCGCTGTTGCAAAGCTGTTGATGCGCTCTTCGAGGACCATGGCAATAACCATACTAGGCAGCAACGGACTCTTGTTGTCCACGACCTTGAGCATACCCTCCTCGTCAAACAGTTCTCTGTGTGCTTCCTTGACACGGTTCACTGTCATCTTGATGCTCTCCTCCTGCAACACCTGAAGCTGTTCTCGCTTGTTGCGCAGTTGGACTACAAGAGAGTCGAATCGAGCTGGCTCCGGCTTTCTGAACCATCTGCAAGAATTCCCGGTATGGATGCAACCAGCAGCAAGCTCGACGGCCTCAGAACTTATTTGAAGTATGTGTTCGGTCGACTCCTGCATGGCACGGCGCGTCTCTACTTGTATGTCGTGCTGCTCGGGACGCTGCAATGCAAGCAGGATATCCTTAGATTCTTGCCGATGACGTTGGCCGATTTGATATGTATTTGAAGTGATGTTCGTGTCGTGAGCATCCTCGCTCTGCAGCTCATCCTTTTCCTTCAGCATCTCAGCTGCGTTGAGCCTAGCGATATGGAAGTCGATCAGGTACAAAGAAGAGAACATGAGCTTCCTGACATGCCTCTGGAGGCTTTGAATGTCATCTGCGTTCCATACGCCGCGTGAAACGTCGAGAGGTAGGAAAGCCATGTGAGGCTGCACTGCTTTGAGTGTTGCAATCATTTGTCCTCTTAGCCTCTTCGCTTCGACAATAGTGACTTGGCGATCGTGCAGCCGTGCTAGGGTGACTTGAAGCGCGCTTTTCGATAGGCGTGTCAGGTTTTCTGCCATCGTAAGGGCAATGTGCGACGTTGATCGAGGCCAGATCAAAAGGCTGGAGACCGCCCCGAGGCCAATGCCAATAGCTGCTGGCTTGACCAAGACGGATGGTATGGTTCCATTGAAGCTCGGTAATGACGTTCCAAACTCCATGAAAATGTCGGTAACAATGATGCCGAAAACCTGAGTCAGGGTGAATTTCGGGTTCGCACATCGCAGCCGAGACACAGCGTAGATGAAGATGCATCCCATCACGTAGAAGATGATCGTGACTCGAGTGTCCAGCATGAACCCATCGTAGACCATAACTTGTGCCTCCCAGGCTACCGACTCACCCGTCTGATTTGCCGTTGCGACAGCCTGTTGTTGCAGCTCTGCTAGCTTAGCATTGGTTGTTGAGTCTGGTCTCGCTGCCAACGCAGCTTTCATTGTGACAAGTCCCCATGCCCACGCAAGGCACATGCCCAATAGCAGAGACAATGTTGCAAGCAGATAGATGAGGACGGTACTAGCTGGGGGTACAATAAAAAGCACCATAGTCGCCAGGAATGCAGCGAGGCCAATGTGATTGAGAGCAGGCTGAATGAAGATGAGCAGCATCGACACCCATACTGCCACCCAACATCTTGCAAAGACTTTGAGGTCAGCCGCATTGAAGTGATTCAACCACTGAGGCAGGCGATGTCTCTGTTTTTGTGGAGAGGGATGCTCTCCGTTCTGGTGTCTGTGCATTGCGACTTCGAGCTAGACGCAGCATTGATCGTTGCAGCTCCTCACTCAATCATGCATGAGTTTCAAGACCATCTGAGGCGAGGGATGGAGTGTTCATTTAATCTGATCCTTGTGGAATTGGCTTTCTTCTTAAGTGAAGTGAATGATGGCATCCGCTTTGCGCGTAGTCGCGAACCTTAAGCAGTTGCCCGCCTTTTAAAGCTGGATCGGCTAAGCCAAGTCCGGAGCTTTGGAAAGAGCGGCCGAATTAACCTGCATAGCCTTGTGCCATCACTGCCATGTGCGCGTGAGCCGCGTGACACCCACCACAGATGCCAAGGAGCCTGGAGCCTGGAGCTAGCCCGAGCCGGGGTCATGGCACACAGTATTGCATGCCAGTAACTGTGTGTAGGGGCCAGAGGCAGGGGCTAGTCACTCAGCTCAGGGTTTGATCACCTCCAGATGTCCTTGATCACCTCTGCTCAGGGTAAAGCAGCGGCAGCTCAGGCTTGGCGCCGAAAACGGACTAGGAAAGCAAGGTCTGTCGGGGATGACTATAAAGGTTGTTGGGTTTTACCAATGGCGAGTTGGAGAGCAAGGATTGCGAGGCGATTGATAAATCTATATGCAATGAAGCTGAAAGGGATATCTAGCGTCGGGATTTTATATTCTACCGTGGCCTGAATATGGCTCACAGTTCCAGAACCTGCAATGTCAGCCTCCAGACGCAATCGAGATTGGTGCAATGTCAAGGTCACTCACCATGTCGTACCAGCCGCCGCCTCCGAAGTTGCATGGGCTGGGGCCGAGGTTTATAAAGCCAACGCTCTCATAGAATTGCAAAAGGTGGTCGTGTGCGATGATGGCGACGCACTCGGCCTTTTGGTCCAAGTTTCTCAGGTACTCAATGTACTTGTTCAGCAGAGATCGACCGAGGCCTTTCTTCTGGTGCTCCGCGACGATGACCAGACCGTGGACGCCGATACCACTCCCATTCGCGTCGTTGCCAATCACCAGGCCGTCATCAGCTTTGACGACTTTCCGCGAGCCGTCCCAGTCCTGAGGCATTTCCATAGAGTCATCGGTGACCCGGTCCGATGTGATCCTGGTGGCTATCACGTGCCCTATGAGCTCATCATGGCCCTCTTCGTTAATGAAAAGCCCGAGACAGAGTTCAGGAGACACAGTGAGGCGGTATTTGAACTACAGAGAGCGAGTGTGAGTGCTTCTCGGGTCACGACGGCTCACGCCTCGGGCAGATATCAAACTAACTTTCTCCTCAGAGCATCGCTCTGGCTCTGGGAAGGTGGACTCGACACGAACGCAAGCATCCACGTCCCCGACGGTCAGGGGCCTGACAAAGGCCGTTTTGCCGCTGAGGCCAGGAAAATTGACAGTCTCCATGGCTTGGGGCCTGTTGCTGAGCGAGCCAGCAAGATCGGTGCTTTGGAGGTTGACTGGCGCGCTTTGCTAATTTGTCGAGGACTAGAAGTTCCAGTCCCTTCTCTGAAACGTTACGATGCAGGTGGACGTCCTGTGGGAGAACGGATGTCATATGTTGAAAAAGTACGACAAAACAAAAGCGCGTACCTCTTTTGATGTTCGCGAAGTGGCAGAGACATGCCTACCCTATATCTTTCAAGACCCCTCAAACAAGCAGCCCCTCTTCCGATCACGTGTCCACCCACTTGCGTTACACCGTGATAGCTTGCCTTGGACAAAGTGGCCCAGCTGCTCTCTTCCAAAATATTGGGGGTTGAATTCAAAAAATCAGTCCCCTTCCGAGATCGAAACGAATTGTGGCGGAGGACATACCTGGCTTGCGGGACCCAGGAATGGATAATGCAGATGTCCCCAAAGACCCCAACTCAGGAATATACGCTGTGTCGCGCTCGCGTGGCAAGCAGCCAGGCGAATCTCGTCTCACTGCTAGAATCAGGGAAAGGAGAAAGGCCGATGGGAAAGCTCGCTCTTCGGATGAGTCAGAGGCTGAGGATGAGCTTGCCTCAGGTTGGTCCGCAGGGAGCGTTGATTCTGTGTCATAACGTCCGTTTAGCTAACGAGTAGGCGCTGTGGTACTGCACAAATTATTCAACCGCAGTGTCGTTCTATATCCCAACAACACTGTCATCAAATCAGGGCATCGCATAGTGCTCGGAGAAGCAGAGGCGCTGAAGACGGCCGCGCGCGCTGGGGTCCTGGTGCCTACTGTCCACAAGGCATACACAGCGCCAGATGGACGAGTGAACTTATGCATGGATTACGTCCCAGGGGAATCCCTCGACAAGCTATGGCCAGTCATTTCTGATAACGAAAAGATCAACATTGCGCACCAGCTACGGGCAATTCTTGAAAGAATGAGATCCGTGGACCCGCCTCGTGATCTCATCAGTGCCTGTGACGGGACCGAGATCCGAGACTCGCGTGTGTACTTTACGTACCATGCGCCCGCTTGTCGTGGCGAGCATGCTTTCAACGAGTATTTGTTGTCATCCTTAGAAGCGCCCACGCCGCCACTCGTGCGAGAAGCGCTCTCTCGAGGACTACGGACGGACCATCGGATTGTTCTATCCCACTGCGATCTTGCGCCACGGAACATCATTGTGCAAGACGGGAAGATCACCGGGCTGGTGGACTGGGAGGACAGCGGGTGGTACCCTGAGTACTGGGAATACGTCAAGTTCTTTCAACGCCCGTCAACCCACGAGTGGAAGCGGTACGCCGAGCACATATTCCCAGAGTTCTACCATGACGAACTGATACAGTACTTTGCCATGGCGAGGTGGCAGAGCTCTTAGCCAGCGTTTTCTTGGATACGAGTGAGATAATTTCAAGGTTCTCTTACCTATGCAGATTTCCATATTTTCTTTGCAATTCGCAGCTGTTCTCGTGTATCGTGACAACGCCTATTGCGAGACGCTGCACTGGCCAAGTGATCAGTTCGCGGGGTCGAAGTACATGTATGCGGAGAACGCTCTGATTCCCACAGTGGAGTCATTTTTCTCTCATTCCCTTGGGCAAATGTTAGAGAGCCCAAATCACTTCAAGAGACCGTCCGCGACGGGATCCAGAAGTGGCAGTTGACTTTGTGATCTCGCGACTGATTAATGCCGTCTGAGTCGTGGCCATGACGGCATGTGTGTGGGGTTCGGGGTCTTGGGGAAGTGGGGGGATGCTTCGGGTGATCGACACGATGAACGATAGGATCCCAGGAAACTTAAACTGCAACTGTGGAAGAAACAATCTCCCCCTTCCCAGACGAAAAAAAATCCCCATTGTACTATCGGAGAGGCCCTTGTATAGACCAGAATCAGAAACTTACGAATAGTAGCGCAATGTTCCGATATCTACCAGGCTCTGATCTCGTCATGTCTGTCCCTGCCAAGCTTTGTGAGTGTGGGGTATAGCTTGCTACGATGCAGGAGGGGATGGACAACATTTCGCATGAATAGCGATGATCCATCTTCCTCTTGAGGCACGATAATTAACCTCAGACCCCAAAATTCAATTCTGCACATGCACAGTTGGCCACGTCACATGGGAATTCCCGAATATCGAGGGCAGAAATCCAGGAACCAGAGAACGATGACGGCATGGCTGGCGGTTCTCGAACATTCAAGCGCGCGGAGCATCTGGTCCGCCATCGCTGATTCGCCAATGGCACAAACTACCGAAAACGGCAGGCACGTCATCCATGCGTACCTGTAGCTCGGCTACCGTCGTCATCAGCTCACCTTGGACTTGGTCTGGGCTACAATTTTTATTTATTTCCTCTCCCTTTTCTTGAACCGTACTCCCACCTCCCACACTCACTCCAACACACCTCATCACACCACCACAACAAGACCACCTCCATCACCATGATTTCCTCTAGAGTCGCTGCTCGCACCGCCCGCCAGACGGCGGTGCGGTCGACGCGCCTGCCCTACCGCCAACCCGTTCGCTTCCAGTCGACCGCCTCTTCCTCCTCCTCAGGCGGCTCCTCCTCCAGCGGACACCTCGCAGCTGGTCTGGCCGGTGGTGTCATTGGCGCTGGCGTTTTCTACTCCCTCTACACCTTCACCCCCGCCGGACGCACTGCGTCCACCATCAACAAGACCGCCATGGAGGCGAACAAGAAGTACAAGGAGGCTGCCCAGAAGCTGCAGGAGAAGACCCCCAACGCCGACCAGGCCGTCGACTCGATCAAGCAGTTTGCCTACTCCTACGTTGCCTGGATCCCCGGAGGCCGCGCCTACGTGGATACCGCCTTTGACGACTGGGAGAAGGTCCGCCAGAACCACAAGGAAGAGGCGGACAAGCTTGTCAGCGATGCGTACAAGCAGTTCCAGGACGTGGCCAAGTCGGGCCTGAGCCTCGAGACGGCGTCCAAGGCCTACGAGGTCCTGGCCGACCTCGCCAAGAAGGTCGCCGACCTCTCAGGTGATGCCTTTGCCGACATCCTCGACAACCACCCCCAGGTCAAGGAGAAGCTCGGCAGCAATGTCGACCAGCTCAAGCGCATGGGTGAGGAGTACGGCCCCGAGGCCAAGAAGCAGGTGGACGAGACCTGGAAGCAGCTCAAGGACATTGTCGCTGGTGGCGTTAGTGTCAGCAGCCTCAACAAGGCACGCCAGCTGATCGACGACAAGGTCAAGCAGGTCAAGAAGCTGGGCGACGAAGCCTGGAACAAGGCCTACGAGCAGGCCAAGCCTGTTCTGGACAAGAACCCCAAGGTCAAGGAGATTATCGAGAACAACGCCGATGCGCTGAAGCAGGGCAACGCCAAGGAGCTCTTTGAGAAGGCCAAGTCATCCATTGACTCGGGCAACGTCGACGACCTCAAAAAGTACGTCGACAGCGCCGTCAGCAAAGCCAAGGACAAGGCCTCGTCCGGCTCGGGCGGTGGCATCTGGGGCGAGGTGGAGAAGTACGTCCAGATGATCCCGCAGGCCGACGAGATCTTCCCCAAGCTCAAGCAGCTCAGCGAGGTGGCCGAGAACCACAAGGAGGAGGGCGAGAAGCTGCTGCGCGAGACGGCCGAGGACCTCAAGAAGCTTCTCGAGGAGAAGTCGAAGAAGGGGGAGGAGATTGTCGAGAAGGCCAAGAAGGACGCTAAATGAGCGCTCCCTGAAGATTAGACTACTGTACTCTACAAATAAGCATCGGCCGGCGTTGGTGGAATGCAAACTGTTATTTTGTCAAAATTAGAGGTTCATCGATGTTCCCCTCTTGGCTTTGAATCTTAAGTTGATATGTACAAAGACAGAGAATGCAGCAACCCCTTTCCAACGCCCACAATCCTTAGTTACCAAGGTTGATATAAATGTCGCCACCATTATCCCACCCGTAGCACCCTCCCTCAGGGTTACCATTCACCCAGCCCGTCCCGGAATCGGGGTTGACGTCCGGCGTGCACCTGAGCAGGTCATAGGAGCCCGACTCACCACACTCACTCAGACCATTCTTACACTGAAACGAGCACCACTCCATATCCGCCAGACATCCTGCCACGCGAACTGACTGTGGGTTTCCATTCATGTTGACAAGTCGACTGACGTCGATCGTCGCCGACCCCGGCCAGCCATTGCCTGTAGTAGCCTCGCCCCAGGTGTTGAAGATCTGACCCCAGCGCGAGAGCGTCGTCTGGCGGTTATTAAGCGTAGCGTAGCCGAGCGAGATGCCACTGCCGACAGAGATGGTGACAGAGCTGCCAGAGCTGGGTAGGGAGTAGGAGATCTTGGGGCGGCGGACGTTCATAAAGGAGGATTGGTAGTCGCCGTCGGCAAAGTCCCACAGGATGAGAGTCCTGGGCACGCCACCCGTGTTGGTGAACCGGAACCTGTTGGATCCGTCGTCGCCGATCCAGATGTAGCCGTTGTTCCAAAAGGGGTTGTCGCCCATGCCGGCCATGCCAATGTTGTTCATGTGCAGGCAGTCCTCAAAGGACAGGCCGGCCACGGGGGCGTTGCAATCGGCTGCTTGTAGGGAGATGGTGTCGTTTCTAGAGGTGGTGTCGTTTCTAGAGGTGGTGTCAGTGAAGCACGGGATGGACATAGAGATGCTGTTCTATCGTACTTGGAAGTTGTAGAAACCGGTGCAGTAGCAGCTAAGCCTGCCAGCACGGCCAGAAATAGGAGACCAGAGAGCAACATTGTAATGAGTGAGGGGCGACGGAAAGTAAAGAGTGACAGTCAATGAAGCATGAATCAGAAGTTCAAAACGTTGGTAACAGGCTTGCCAGAGCACATGGCTCTCCAGCAGCTGTTACAGCATCAAGCCTCTGGTTATTTATACACTCCCCTGGGGCACGTAGTTACTGCTGAATATTCTGATGATCATACACGAGCGAGTGCCCCTGTCTCGTACATACCTCTGTTGCCTTTCGCGCCGAGCTTCCTTCCAATAATTCGGCAAGGGCCCTAGTCCTGAGGAAACGTTACCATGTTACTTACGTGAAGCCTACATCCAGACTCTACATCAGTCAGAACCCTTGAGACATGCTTGAAAGTATTGGGAAGCCTACAACAACCTTTATTGAGTGACTATGCGCGGGGACTGCAGGCAGGGACGGCGGTAATTTCCGAGTGGTAAGGGGTCGATTCCTTCGACGCTGTCAGGTCCATACAACAAGCTCAGCTGTGGCACGCCCAGCCGAGGAAATTATGCACTATAAGAGCTGACGACCTAAAAGGGCCGGAGCTCGGCAGCCTGCCGACCGTGGGAGGGGCCAAGAAATACACTGAACCCTGCCAGGGGTCGAATCTGACAGGACAAACTGGCTCACGATCTACCGTATTCGGCTGCTACCGAGAAGCAGCGCCAACTGCGTGTAAGTGGCATGGCTAGAGAAGATGTATGAAATCAAAGTTCATAAAATCATATACACGTATGTTTAGAGAGCCTCGTTGATCGCCCAAGTACTGGTTACAACCATCTTCTCAGCCTTGACGTCCAAAACGGTATCAAGGCCGGATCACAACGCTCCTCTGCAGTCTCGACTCAAAAAACAGAAAGATGTGGCCCAACAGGAATATTGACAGGGGCCGAATGAAGAGGGTGGTTACCTTGGGATGCTTAGTATGGCCGAGTGCCAAGGGTTTCGGGTCGTCTGATTACATGCCATTGTCGCATGGCTCGCAAAGCCTCCCAGGAACCTTCAGGTTGATGGTCTTCTCTGGCTGATAACGAGGCATAAAATTTTACTATAAAGTTATTCTTGATGCCTCGCCTTAAGGGGCATCTTGACTACTAAGACCACGGCCTTCTCCTTTCTCCTTGCACCCCGACTTGACTGCCCATCTCCAGCCCACTTGCACCCTGTCTTCCTCACCATGGTCAATATTCCCCTCTCTTCTGTCATTGTGGTGGCCATGCTCACCCCCGGAGCCTTGTCTAACCTGATGATCAACAATTGGTGCGGAGCCGGTGTCAGCATGGTCAAGTCCAAGTATGGCAACTGTGACCATGGTCCCGACGGCCGTTGCATCAGGGACGGCGGAGTTCCATGGTATATACCCCCAGGATCTGGTCAGTCCATCCTCAGCCACGCCTGGGACGGCGAAACGGTCAGCCTGAAGCTGTCCAAGGACGGTAGCCCCCCCGGTGTACTCCAGTTCGAGTACTCGCAGACCTTTGGCGAGTGGGGAGGTATCTGGTGGGATCTGAGCGACCTCGACGGGAGCGGCAATGGTCTGGTCGGTACCCCTTTCCGGAACGACAATGTGGGCGTTACGCCGACGGGCAGCGGCTCTGGTCAGGGGACGTGCGTCAAGATCCGCTGTGGTGCTGGCAGCGTCTGCCTCGACAGCTACCAGCATCCAGACGACCCCAACACCAAGTACTGTCCTCTCGACACGGGCGACATGTGGCTTGATCTGTGCATGCCGCCGGATCTGTTCTACCAGCAGAGTCTGGTGGTTCTGGATGAGAAGGACAAGAAGAACTTGACGGATACCAAGCCGCCGCCGAGTTTGGAATATCGGGTCAGGCCAGGCAGTGATCATGCCCGTCGGGGTGGCGGTCACAGGATGTATTTTGAGTCTTAGATGCGTCCAAGGGTACAGTTCGCACACTTTTTAGCTTGGAACTTGGATGTATTCTCTCATATACTTTGAGACAGACTCCCGGTCCCATCCTTGAAGTCGCAGTCCAAGAAACATGCACTGAAGCACCAGCTGTGCAAAATGACCAGCGTGAAACCGAAAAACACAAAATGCCTAGTCGATTGGCTCGAGGATATACCTATTGATCTCCTCTCCTCACATTTGCTACTCCATGGCATGAGTGCGCGCCTCTCTTCATTCTTGGGGGGGCTCCAAGTGATCATGATAGTGATTCGCCGGCTTCTCAGGAGCGACACACTACATTCAATGTAGTGTGGGATATCTAGAGGAGCAAGCGCCACGCTAGATAGAACATGGACATGGGCCTGTCCCCTGAACTGACACAACATCAAGATGTCCATCTTCCCTTGCGTTTTCTCTCTTCTTTCAAGCCCACTTTCCTGCACGCCTTGTCGTTTGGCGGAAAGTGATGTGCTCCCAGACTCTGGGCTCATCATCATCGCCGAGTCCTGGGCAGCCAATACTGGTTCGCGGACATGCCCAGCTACCGGAAGTCACCGACGGTTGGACATGAATAATTGCGCCATCGGCAGTTCATTCACGAGACTGCAAGGGACCTTTGACTCGCAATCTAACTAGGTGTGTCAAAGGGCCCAGACGGTAGTTCCTCGTCATCTTTGCCAGTCTTGATGATTTCTGCCAATGCCGTACTTCAGCTCGTCGCGGCTGTGTGGTTGGTGAACACTGCCGAGGCTCTCACCAGTTAGCACTCGAGCTCATTTCCGTGAGATGGCGTGTCAGTTGGAGCAGATTCCCTAGGGGATGTCCTTTTTCTCCTGCTCTCTGATGTAATCTGGCAGTGTGTGTGTCTTGCCTACCCTGGTCCCATGCCGAGGCGGCTTGTCAAGCACAGAGCTGCTTGCTCTAGCTTGCAGTCGAAAGGTCCGATCGAGGGCAGGCTCTATCATTGTCAATGTGCACGAAGAGCCGAAGACGGGAGCAGAGTGCTCGTCTCCGAGAGCCTGGAATTGGCGTGGACCAGGGATCGTAATGCCTGATTCATAAGGACAGATAGACTCGTCAAGGCCGTGGACTATGATTACCTACTAGGACCGACTCGGATCCGCGACTCCGTGTACCTAGTCGTGAAGGCGCAAAAAGCCGCAGATTCAAACCAGCCTAGTCGAGCCGTCTTCTGACTTATCAGTATGCCAGCGTTCCGGGACCAATCAGTGGCCGTACAGCTCCCATGGATCTATGGAGAATGATGACGAAATGGCATCGCGGGCGGCGCTCGAGAACTTTTCTGTCTTGGACACTTTTGAGTTTGGACGCGGATGTGGGTATCGTTGACATCAACCACTTTTCCACGACCCGTCCCCGGTCTCCATTCGATCCATGCCTGCCAGTCAAGTCGTCCATGATGCAGGTGGATTACTTCGTCTCCCACGAGCCGGCAGTCTAGCGCCGTCTCTTCCTCGTGGCGTTAGCGGACCTAACGCGAACAGACGCTGACCTCCCTCCGCGACTCCGATGGCGAGGCAGATGCAATGACGCCAGCGCTCGATGATGTGGACGGCTGGCGGCCTGCGAGGCGGGAGGGAGATATAAGTGTCAATGGTGGCCCATCGTTCAGTCTACTGGTCTCCATCACTTCACAAACCGGTTCGAATAGTCTACCAAAACATCTAATCATCATCATCCACCACCACCATGGCCGAAAACACCAACTACGAGTTCAAGGGATGGGTCGGCGAGGACCCCTCGGCGGCCGAGGGCAAGATGCAGTGGAAGACCTTTGAGCCCAAGCCCTGGGAGGAGACAGACGTCGATATCAAGATCACACACTCTGGCATCTGCGGCTCAGACATCCACACCATCAGCTCCGGATGGGTACGCCTCTCTCTCCTCCTCTCTGACAGACGCGACCACGACTAACACAGACAGGGCCCCGCTGACTACCCGTGCGTCGTCGGCCACGAGATTGTCGGCGTCGCCGTTCGCGTCGGGTCCCAGGCTGAGGGCGGCATCAAGGTAGGCGACGTCGTCGGCGTCGGCGCGCAGAACGACTCGTGCCTGGGCCGCGACGGACCCTGCGACGCCTGCGCCAACGGCTCCGAGCAGTACTGCAACAGCAACGTCGGCACCTACAACTCCAAGCACCGCAACGGCGGCAAGTCCATGGGCGGCTACGCCCTCTACCACCGCTGCCCCTCGCACTTTGTCATCAAGATCCCCGACGGCCTCGCACCCGAGAGCGCCGCCCCCATGCTCTGCGGCGGCGTCACCGTGTACTCCCCCCTCAAGCACTTTGGCTGTGGGCCCGGCAAGAAGGTTGGCGTCGTCGGCGTCGGTGGTCTCGGTCACTTTGCCGTCCTCTTCGCCAAGGCCCTCGGCGCCGACGAGGTCGTGGGTATCTCGCGCAAGGCCGACAAGAAGGACGACGCTCTCGCCCTCGGCTGCGACGACTACATTGCCACCGCGGAAGACAAGGATTGGGAGACCAAGAACAAGAGCCGCTTCGACCTCATCATCTCCACCGTCTCCTCCCCCAAGGTCCCCTTCAAGGAGTACATTGACATGCTCCGCATGGACGGCACCATGGTCCAGGTGGGCGCCCCCGAGGAGGCCCTGCCTCTGCACGCCTTCTCCCTCATCCCCAAGCGCAAGCGTCTCGCCGGCTCCATGATTGGCAGCCCCTCGGACATTCGCGCCATGTTCCAGCTCGCCGCCGACAAGAACGTCAAGCCCTGGGTCGAGAAGCGGCCCATGAGCGAGGCCAACCAGGCCATCATCGACTTCAACGCCGGCAAGCCGCGCTTCCGCTACGTTCTCGTCAACTAAGGGGGGCAGGGAACAGAAGAGAAATGTAGTACATACTTGCATATAGATGAGTCAATGAGAGATGAATGTTCATAGAGAAAATTGCTCCTGTCCTGCTGCATCGGCACTCACTCACGTTATCAAGTTGGCCAGCTTCATCTTCCGCCTCGACGCCTCCACCGCAATGTCCTCAAACACCTTCTCCATCTTCCGCAGCTCCTCGCTTCGCAGCGCTGCTTCATCACCGCCTGCTCCGCCATCCACGTTTGCCCTGCTCTCGGGTGCCTTTGTCTGTTGTCCCTCTTTCTCCTCCGACTTCTCTGCTCCCTCATCCTTATCCCGTTGTTGTTGGTCCAGCACCATCTGACGGTTGCACCATGATTCCACACACTCACGAAACACGGCAATGACACGCCAGCCAGGCCGGCGGAAGAATTTTGGCCGCAGCAGCCCGTCGATATGGTTGAGGACATAGTCCCTCTTGGCCGGGTTCATCCGCCGCTCCTGGTGCAGCAGCTGCAGCGCCTCGGCGAAGCGCCAGCGGAGGTTGGTGCGGGTCATCGGGTCGTCCGGGTGCTCCCAGCTGAAGGAGCGGATGATGTTGTACACGTCCGACGATACCTTGTCCCGGTTGTCTGGGTCCCGATTCCGCGAGATCATCGTTGGTGCGCCGGGCCACATCTTGATCGGTTAGGTGACATGGGAGGAGAGACCGAGAGGAACGGCGCGTCCCGTCGCCTCTCTTTATACAGCCGCTGCGATTCGTGACGGTATGCCGGATGGTCCCTCCCCCCATCACAGGAGGAGGGCCGCAGACGGTGCCAGTCAATCACCTGTGCCACGTAGGATCTGTGTAGCTACCACATGCAGCCCGGGCCAGCATATGATGGAGGCAGAACGCGCCGACATCGCCCTGGTTTGTAGAGGAGCAAATCAACGTGAAGAGGTATGCCCGCTGATAAACTGGATTTCTATTATCGTTGTCTTCCCCCCATCTGGTGCCGCCCTTGCGCATTCTGCGCTCTCTCCCATCATGGCCCCCTAACGTTAGGCACCGTTCCTCCGCCGCCCGCCTCTCGTGCTCTTCTCCACGTGCGCCTTGAGCACCTTGCGCGTCTCCACCAGACTTCGCTTCTGCTTGCTCTTGGCCTTGCCCAGCGTCATGAGGAAGTTCTTCTTGCGCGCCTTCTCCTTGTTGCTCGTGCTCTTGCCCGCCGCCTCCTTCTTCGACTTGTTGATGGCCTGCGTCGACTTGTGCTCGTTCCGGTCCGGACGGCCCTCCTTGGCCAGCGCCACACGCTCCTCCTTGGTCAGCTTCCGCAGCTTCGCCGGCGCCTCAATCTGCTCCGCCGTGAGGCCGTCGTCTTGGTGCCGACTCGCGTTCGCGTCGTCCTTCTTGCGGTTGCGGCCCATGGCTCTGTCGATCGCGGCCGCCGCCCGGAGCTCCTGGAGCTTGGCAAGATCGGCGGGCGTGAGGATCGTCGTCGTGGCCAGCTTGGACAGCCGCTGCTCCTCGGCCTTGTCCTCTTCCTTTTGATCGCCATTCTCTTGATCATCGACATCCTTCTCTCCAGCTTTGCGCTTCTTGGGCACAGGCGCCTCTTCCTCGTCATCGCTCACATTGATCCAGCCACCCGAGTCACTGCTGTCGTCCGAGTCGACCTCCCACCCGTCATCTTCGCTGGCCACATCCTCCTCGTCACTGGCCGCGTCCTCGGGCAAGCCCCTCTCGACTCGTTTCCGCTTCTTCTCCTCCTCCTTCCACTTCTCCAAGAGGTCGAGACCTTCAATCTCGCCCGTGTCCTCATGACCAAATTTCCGGATGAGCAGTGACCCGTCCTTGAGACCAATGGTGGCATCCTTGCCACGGTCCTTCTTCTTCAGCAGCTCCGGGTCCACCTCACGGAACAGCGACAGCAGACCCTTGGCCGCCATCATCACACCCTTGTCCTTGCTCTTGCGGTACTGTATCAGATCTTGGAGCAGTGTCTCAGTCATGGCCAGTGGTTGTCGCGCGCAGATCTCGCGGATCGAGTTGAGACCCGCCGCGGCCACCTCGTTCGCGGCCGCTTCCGACACGAACTCGTTGGCAATCTTCTGGATCAGCGGCTCGAGCGCGTCGGGCGGTACGAGGTTGTGTGTGCCCTGCGCCAGCGACGCCAGGAACGATGTGACGGACTGCTGCCTCGGCGTGAGGAACTTGATGAACCACGAGTACAGCGCCACCACGGTCAGCTTGTGCAGGCCGATCAGGCGGGTCACCAGCTGCAGGACCAGCAGTTTGGTGTCAAGGCTGAGCTTGTTCTTGGTGCTTTGCAGATGTCTCGAGAACAGCTCCTCGGCAAAGGTCTGGGGGTCGTGCAGCAGGTGGAGCGCGGAGAAGTTGAGGGGATGCGGCTTGTGCTTCTTCTGCTCCTGCTTGTGGAGCTTGTCGACGGCCTTGCTATACTGCTTCTTTTGCTTCCTGCTCTTCTTGTTGATCGTCATCTGATGCTTGATCTTGGACAGGTCGACGTCGTCGTCGCTCTCCTCGTCCTCGAGCTCCTCGCGCTCCTTGTCGCCGCCGAGGAAGAAGCGGACGCCGCCGACGACCACCTTTTCGTTCTCGGACAGACACGCCTCCTTCATCACATCCACGGGCTTGGCGTCTGTCCAGATCTGGCGCTTCCATAGCTCACGCGTCAGTTTGATGGCCCAGATGGCACGCGGTGACGACCGGTCCGCGGTCACGAGGTTGTAGAGGACGGTCTGGATCGTGCGGTTGAGGGGGTGGTTGATGGAGCGCGCGTTGGAGTTGCGCATGTCGTTGAGGATCTTGGAGAAGAGCTGTGCACGGAAGGTCTTGCTCGGCGAGGAGACGAGGATGGGGAAGAGGCAGGTGAGGACGTTAGCTGTGTCGATGATCTCCTTGCGTCGCAGGATGATCAGGCTCCCCACCAGCTTCTCCCGCAGCTCAGAGCCCAGGACGGCGTGGTGTAGCGAGAGCATCGTCTTCAGATCATCGGGAAAGGTAGCCGTCGCCTCGGGGTAGCAGTCGGCAACGTGCGCAATCAGGTTGACCAGGTTCTCGAAGTGCTCCGTCGCTTCGGCCGTCGCCGTGGTCGGCGCGACGAGAAAGATCTCGCGCTGTGACTCGTACTGGTCCCATTGTCGTCGAAAGTCGTCCACGTACGACTTGGGATCGCGACGGATCTTGTTCTGCAGACTCGGGCTGCAAAAGTGTCAGTGGTGAGCCGTTCAGGGGAGCGGTGTTTCGTCGTCGCAAGACTTACAAATCCGCATCAATCTTTTCGAGCGCCGCAACCTTGCGCTTCGGCATGCTGGGCAAGAGGTGAAATGGAATTGTACGACTTCTGGAGAGCCGTGAATGGGGATGTTGATGGCGGGGAGCGCAATGGGAAGGAAGCACCCAGGTGGTGGAGGTTGGGATTTTTTTAGCGGGGCTGATAAGATACGGCAATCGATAGTGCCGTGGGATTCTCCCATTCCCTTCTCGAAATTCGAGTTCCGGTTCCCTCTTGAAGGCTGAAGCTCACCCTAGACCATTGGTCATGGGTAATTGATTGCAACGGACGCAGCAGCGTTGATGATAACTGATAAACGGAAATATGGAGGATTTGAGAGCCACCCCTCCAGACCACTGAAAACAGCGATCGCGGATCATATTTCCTCAATGAATATGATACGTTTATTACGGCGATGGACCCTATTTGCTAGCATGATAGCCGGCAGACATGGTGCTATCAATGGTGGTTTATGGACAGAGCAAGACAAGGCGGATTGATGTGATGAACAGGACCCTGGACAACCCACAGTGGACGAGATCCGCCTTCTAAGCACGTCAACCAATCAGAGAACCAAGAACCCGACCCTGCGAATGACGGCCATCCAACATCGATACGGAACCCTCTCTCGTCAGCAGCTTCAGCTCCAATTCAACGACTTGCGCATGATGCTTCCCAGTGCCATCTCGACGCCCGAGCTCTCACCCCACTCGCCAGGATGACTCGGGCGATATCGTTGCTCTCAACACATGCACATTGCAGCCTGTGCCTGAACCGCTTTCAGTCACCAGCATCGCAGCAACTCAAGCGAACATGGCCGAAGCAGCTGGTCCAACGATGACCAAGGCCAGAGTCGGGCGCTCGGGCCCAAAAGTCAAGTCTGGATGTCGCACATGCAAGTCTGTCCACGCCAACACAAAGGACCACAAACCGCGTCCACTGACCAGTACCACAGGATCCGCCGGGTGAAATGCGACGAAGGCCGCCCTGCGTGCCGGAAGTGCGTCTCAACGGGCAGAAAATGCGATGGCTACGGTATCTGGGGCGGTGGGAGCAGCACCCACACCCACCACACGGATGGTCGCCTGGCCCTGAAGCGTAACCCGTTCCCCCTCTTTGTCGACGCCCCCGGCGAGGATGAGCACTGCTGCTTCGAGTGGTTCCGTTCGCGCACCGCCAAGAAGCTCCCGGGGCCCTTTGAACCTGTTTTCTGGGAGACCGTCGTCCTGGGCGCTAGCTTTGAGGAGCCTGCCGTGCTTCACGCGGTCCTGGCTCTTGGTTTGGCCCACAAGAAGGAGAGCCTCGAAGGGGACTGCCAGGACGTCGCAATGGACGCCCCGGACGAGGAAGAGCAGTTCATCCTGCGCCACTATAGCGAGTCCATCCGTCAGCTTGCGCCGCATTTTGTCAACAAGAGCAGGTCGTCGATACGCGTCGCGCTCATCGCATGCATGGTCTTTGTCTGTCTCGAGTTCATCCGTGGCAGGTATCGGACGGGCAACGAGCACTTGAATAATGGTATGCGACTCTTGGGGCAGCTCGCAGGGCAAGGAAGCACCATTGACCTGAAGGCGTCTCGTGACCCGGTCGACACCTGGCTCCTGGAGACTTTTGCCAAACTCAACCTGCAGTCCAACCTGTTGGGTCAGGGCACCCGCTTCCTCTATCAAGCCCGGCAAGGTCTCGATATGTATCCTCTACCCGTATTGTTCAAGACGATGGGCGATGCAAGGAAACGCCTGGACTGGCTGCAACATGAGATTGGACAAATGGCTGGCGAGCGGGAACATTGCTCAGCGGCCAGCCCCCAGCCTCTCCAAGTCATGTCATGTAGACAGCAGCTTCTTGTGACCCAGCTCATAGCTTGGAAACGTGTCTGCGATGTGTCCAGGTCGACCTTGTTGGCCTCCATGGGACCAATCGGTCGCATCATGTACACCATTTTGCACCTGTACTATCACATGGCATTCATCATGGCCAGCACCTGTCTGGCTGACACTGAGGATGTTTACGATCAGCACACAGAAGATTTTCTGGAGATTGTCAACGAAGCAATTGCGTTGCACCAGTGCATCGCGTCAGACGGTCTGGGCGCCTCCCCCTTTGCGCATAGACCAGATGTAGCCCCTTTTACCTCGGACAAGGGCTGGATACCGCCTTTGTACTTTACAGCAATCAAGTGTCGCGCTCACCGGGTCAGGCTGCATGCTGTTCGCTTGCTCAGCACTATACCAAGCAAAGAGGGGATTTGGGATGCCAAATTGGCGGCCACGATAGGGGCTGAGGTCATGCGGCTTGAAGAACAGGGCCTGGATCCAAATTTGAAGAACAAGGACAACTTTGCGCCTCATTCGGCGCCCTCTGCTGATGAAGCCAGGAGCTGCTTTGCCCCGTGCGAGTCGAGGTTGAGGCATGTGCAGGTCACGCTGCCCAACGGTCGTCACGACAAGACCGCCATCAGATGCATCCCTGTAACCCGCTATGCGGTAAACGATGCTATCTTGCGAGAATACGATCCCGTTCAGAACGTATGGCAAGATGCTCCGGAGTCTGTCAATGTCCCCATCGGGTAGCCGGCGTCGCATTTGCTGGCACTCTATTGGTTCGGTCCGGCCCGGGGATCCAGGGAATACTGCGAGGTGTAAGACGCTTTATACGCTGGATATCCACTCGTTACGCAAATGGGAGCTTCAGATTTGCGAAGTACACCTCCATTTGTGGAATAGATCATACTAAGCAGCGGTATTTCGGTCCGCAACGGGCTCTCAGGTGATGATGCCGCGTCTCTCAAGGGCCTATAAGGAGGAGGCTCAGCCCTGGATACACAAGCGTCGGGGTTTGTCACAATAGGACCAGTCACCTACAATCTCACCATGTCTATTACATTCGACCCTTCCGTCGACATTCCTGCCCTCAATGGCAACGTCATTCTCATCACAGGCGCCAACGCTGGCCTCGGCAAGCAGGCTGCAATGGACCTAGCGAAGCACAGCCCAGCTCTCATCATCATGACCTCGCGCGACGAGTCCCGTGGACAGGATGCTCTAGAGCAAGTGAAAGCTGCTGCGAAAGAGGGTACGAAAGTATCCTTGGTGCTCCTCGATCTGGCAAGCTTCGCATCCATCAAGCAAGCTGCCCAAACTGTCATGTCACAGACAGACAGGCTGGATGTTCTGAACCTGAATGCCGGCATTCTAGGGGCGCCTGCTGGCCTAACAGAAGAAGGCTATGAAATTACCATGGGCGTGAACCACATCGGCCATGCCCTTTTCCTCAAGCTTCTTGCACCCTTGCTTGAAGCGACCAGCAAGTCCACCGGGACACCCTCTCGAGTCCTGAGCATCAGCTCCGTCGGGTGGAAATATCTCGAGCAGCCGACCATCAATTTCGACGCGCTCAATACGCCCGACGCCGGCCTCGCAAGTATGCAGCGCTACATGCAGAGCAAACTGGCCAACGTCTTGTACGCCCGCGAATTCGCCAAGCGCCATCCCTCCGTCAAGACTGTGTCCCTGCACCCTGGAGAGGTGGACACCGAACTGTACTCGCGCGAGCCTGGCGACGACTTTGTCGTGTACCTGCAGAAAGAAGTGGCGCCGAAGCGCGTGGTACCAGTGAACGAGGGAGTCAAGCACGAGCTGTGGGCCATGACTGTGGCGGACGAGGAGCTTGACAATGGGGCTTACTACGAACCTATTGGCATAAAGGGACGCCTGGAGAAGGGGGCGGCGGACAATGAGCTCGCTTCCAAGCTCTGGGACTGGACGGACAAGGAGCTCGAGGGGCATGGTGTATAATCATCGTCAGCTTTGCGGGGATTTGTCACAGATTCATGCTATTCTGCGAGGCTTGACGGCAGGCCAGTGACGCTGAACTTTGCCATATAAGTAGCTTGTTTGTTCAGACAATTGATTCCTATTCTTAAACTGCACTTGGGCTTTGACGTGTTCTTTGTCACTTTGTCCTCATCATAGCAGAATGTGCAAACAAAAGATCTCAGAGCCGTGCCTCAAAGCCAAAAGGATGCCTCAGAACACTGGAAGCTACCAGTTCACGAACAACAATTGACAGAGAATGGCAGATGTATGGGCTAACTTCTTGACTATGAATCATTCGAGACTTAAATTGTTACATGACGAAGATTATCTCCCACGGATCTCTTGACATCACCAAGCCATTACACCGTAGACAGGCCTATTACCATGCCCAAACGATCAACGTCAGAGGAGCCATACTACCTCTCCGAGCCACCGTCCGTTCCATCCAGAGGCTGGCGCTGGCAGTGTAAATGCAGCGCCACCTACGCCTTTGGCATCACCCTCTACTGCCTGCAGTGCGGGAGACCCTACCGCGGCCGGCCTGCCAGGAAGATGCGAGCTTCCGCAACACAATTTGACTATGTCGCATGGGCAAGGCGCAACAAATGGCGTCGTCTCCAAGCTATCCAGGCCATTGAGCCTGGCGTGGTACACCCAGAGATGGAGACGTACAGCATCAGCGCCCGCATCGGTGGCAGGACGTCAAGTCCTCCGCCCCTACGACGTGTGCTGGAGGCTGCTGAGCAGGCTCGACTGCGCAATCTTGCTAGAGGCTCGCATCACTGCGAACAGGACTGCGATTACCCCAGTCAATGCAGTGTGCTAGCTGCGGAACACGCCCAGGAAGCAAAAAAACGCGAAAGCGAGAGGACTTGCGCCGCATACCCAAGTCCTGATAGCAGCGACTAGTCCAGAGGTTAAGAAGCTACCGGATCACTGAGAATGCGTCTTTCTTCAACTGCCTTGTTCGTTAGACAAAAGATAAGGAAGGAAACAGAATGCAAGCCACAACCATTCGCATTACTATACTTTGCATCATACTTGAACTTGAACATGGATTACCACGTGACCAGGAGTGTCGGTCGACACAAATCCAGATGTCCCCGCGGTGGATGACGCCCGCGCAAAATCTCCCTGCGGTCACTCGTTGCTCGCAACTCCCATCCCATCTGGCAAGGAATACCTCGTCTTCACAGCCGTCCCACACAAGTAACAGAACCAAAACGCGCGCCCCTTTCAACCCTTACAATAATCAAAGCAAATCGAGAAAAGCAAAAGTGCCTCGATTATTCCTCGTTGAGCTTCGCCTTCTTCTTCTGCTCGACCTTGAGTAGTAGCGCACGGTTGATGTGTGGCAGGACACCACCGTGGGCGATGGTGGCGCGGATGAGGGTATCGAGTTCTTCGTCGCCGCGAATAGCCAGCTGGAGGTGGCGAGGCGTGATACGCTTGACCTTGAGATCCTTGGCGGCATTCTAGGAGCACACGTGTTAGCGCTTGAAAGAAGGGGAGGTGGGCCGTGAACGCCCTCCGGAACGACTTACGCCTGCCAACTCGAGAACCTCAGCTGTCAGGTACTCCAGAACGGCGGTAACGTAGACAGCAGCCTTGGCGCCAACGCGCATTTTGCTCTGGGTGTTCTGCTTGAGGAAACGCTTGACACGACCGCAGGGGAACTAGACGTCCATGTTAGTGGGACTGGTACAGTCTGGCGCGTGAGATGTGCCCAAGGATGGGTCGCCCTCGCCCCGACACTTGGGGTGGGATAGGGAGCGAGTTGGCGCGTCATTGAGCACCGTGTGCCAGAGTGTGAACGCCGCGCTGTCCACTTGATGGACCCCACCCCGCGCTCGCCAAAGGACAACCGTCGCCGCCGAGGCCTGCGTTAGGTGACTCAGAGCGAGGACGCGAGACTCGAGTTTTTCCCGTCGCTGTCCTCCACGTCGACATTATCGAAGCGGGCGGGACGCAAGGCCTGTGATCGGGGACGTGGTGCCGGCAGCAAATAGGTCGACCTGACTCACCTGCAAACCAGCGCGCTGGGAATGGCTCATCTGCTTCTTGGAACCCTCGGCCCCGGTCTTGCCACCAGAGCTCTTGCCGCCCGAGGACTTGCCCTTACCGCCAGGCATGTTGATGAATTCGTCGAGGATGGAGTGGGGAAAAATTCGGGTTGATCGACTCGTTACGTGATCTACGGCGCGACGCAGATGATAAACGCGATAAATCTGTTGGAGCGCGAGGAGTTGGTGGTTTTCGAGTTCGCGTCGTGCAGATACTGTGTGGTGATGTTGGTGGCGGGTTGGGTGTTTTGTTTGCGATGCAATGGAATGGGAGAAAAGCCTTCCAAAGTTGCGCTGGGCAGGCTGGGCTGGGCTGCACCTCCAGCAGGCAGGGCCCTCAGGCAGTTGCAGCAACCCGGAACGGTCGCCTGATTTGTTGTTGTTTGCTGGAATCGCGCTAGTTCCGCATTCGAGCTAGCGTATTCTGACGTTGAACCTGCGCGTTAGACGTGTCCATCATATGATTAGGTAAGCTCCCCTCGTTGTGTGACGAAGGCAGGTATCAGAAGGTCCAGAGTGACGAAGGGCATCATGGCAGTGCACCAGTCCATCTCTCTCAGACTTCTGAAAGACTCTGATGGACTGTACTGAGATAGACTCAGTCAGTAAATGCAATCTGCCAAGCTCAAGACTTCTTGCGCCAGGACCATACTGACCTGACTATCGCCACCTCAACCGGGTGGACGCATCAGACTGTGCAAGGGATGCTGTGCAACGAAATTGAGAGAGAAAAAAAGATTGAGGCATGTCCTTTTGCATGCTTCTGCTGCAATGCCATGACTTGGGAACTTCATTCAGACTCTGGCGTGGTTGACTTGCTGCGACCATATCATCGTGTCGTCTGAGTTTGAGGTCCCTCTGCAACACAATTTACCATCACGTCACGTGCGCTTCAGCCACTGCCCATCGTCAAGCCACAGATGAAGGCCCTCGGTGATGCACGGCGCCAGACCACCGTCAACAACAGCTCCCAAGGACGGACATGATGACTTCGCTAATCACGCAGATATGTTGGTGGGCTCTGCATCACAGCCCTTTGCTCTTTCTCTTCCGCTTACTTTGTTGTCACTCACGCACGTTCGCTCATTGTGAGCACACTTTCGCGATGGATGGCCAGAACAGCACGTTCGCTCCTCGAGCAGTCTCCGACAAGATCTACGCAATGTCCTCGAAGGAACAATGGAAGGCCACCACACTTTCGTGCTCTATAGCCCGTTTCCCTTTGCGCGAGATTCCTTGTCCGGCCTTGCTATTGTGAGCAACAAAAACTGGTCGCTTCAGCTTGGAACCGGCGAAAAAGTCCGTCCTTGTTCGCAGTGTCGGTCTTTGTTGAGATGGCTGTCCAAGAGAGATGGACGTCTGCCGTCCGTGTTCTATAAGAAACGCGGCTGCTGGCTCGATTGCGCGCTCTTGGACTTCAATACCGTCCTCGCAATACCTGTGGCTAATTCAACTAGACCGACTGTACCATTTTGTGATATTGCACAGTACGTTGCATCTGAAATGGCAACCACAAACATACCCACTCGACGCCAAACACCAGCCCTCCGTGGACGTGTGTACGGAAATGGACTTGGTCATTTCCATGATCTGCAGGAGAATCTCGCTGATGATCCTGAGCAGCTGCCACAATTCCTTCCGCGCACTCAATGGCCCCAAGATCACGACGCCGGGGGCCTGTATCGTCATGAGAACCGTTTCCACAAGCGTCGAATCCATTGGTGGCCACGCGCAAATCACCCTATTAACGATGAAGGAGCCGCCATTCGTGACAAGGTGCGACGCGCATATCCCCAACTAAAGCCCATGCCTCCCTTTCAAAATGAGAGGACCCGAGACCCCAATGATCCTCGCAACGACAACTTGCACAAATATGAGGATTCCGTGTGGTTAGACCACGTCGCCATCCTACATGGCATCCTCATGTACACTATTGGCGATCGACGGCGTCCTCATTACCTGGACAACGCGGAGATTCACCAGCTCCTCACCACCATTTCATACGGCATGCATCAGAGCATGGCTTGGCTTGAGGCCTGGTCAATCTCTGGCCATCCTGCCCCCCGCACAATCAAGCATGAGTCTCGGGCCAGCCATCATTTCGTAAAGCAATGGGTGCCCGCGTTTGACATGGAGATGTATGAGGGCGCGTTCTCGTTTGGCTCCACGGAACCTGGCTGGGAGCATCAGATGCGTACCCGCATCCACGGAAACCGCTACATTGTGGTTCCCATCTGTCAGTTTGAGATGCACTGGATGATGACCATCTTCGACCGCAAGGCTGGACATTTGTACATCTTTGACGCTGTCAAAGCAGATCGAGAGACTCGTGTCGAGGCTGCCGTGCATAGATGGGCTCAGTTTTGGGATCGTCTGGGATTTCCCTACCACTTTCAGTACTTTGCGCCCGCCGTCAGCGTTCAGGCTGGCTCCTGGGAGTGCGGTTTGATTGGTATTCATTGGGTGACCAACACCTTGCGGCACCGCGTAGGTGGAACGGAGTACCGTGCTGACGATGACACTATCGCTGTCAAGGACTTTAATCTTCGCGACCACGACCATGCGAATTACCCCCTGGAGACGGCCTCCATCCCAGTTCATGACTGGGTCCCTACCGATGTGGCTGTGCTCGATGCCCTGCCACCTGGCACGGGGCTGTCTCTCGCCAAGTCCGTGGAGTGGATTTGTCTATATTGGAAGATTATCTGTGCAAATGAGCTTGGCATTTGGGAGGCCAGGAGGGTACTGGAGCCGCATGCCACTTCGAGCCCAGTCCCGCGAAGTGTGACCGCCAATCCCCTCGAACGATCCGACTCCGTCGTTCCTCCAATGCCCAAGAAGGCTAGTCACAAGAGAGACAGGCTGTGTGCAAAGCTGAGCAAGTTGATCACTGGCTTCGGTGGTAAAACTTTTGCCCATCCTCCAACTGCCGCTGCGCTTGCCATGGTCAACGCCAAACATTGGGAAACATGCGTTAGTAGCAATGCCTTCCCGCTGGAGGCAGGTATGGTCACGACGTACACCATGTGCGGCGTCAATGAACAAGGGGCCCTTGAGATTCGGCATATACTTGACGTCGAAGTCGACGAAGAGAGTTCGCAAATCTCCACGCCCACTCTGTCTGCGGCATTCTCCAACTGGGTAGCCAAGGTGGCGCAGGACAACCCTGCCGCTGTGGACGCTCAAGTCCATCGGGGCCAAGGGGATAGATTCCCTCCCGCGAGAACGTGCAAGCGCACGCGTGATCACGGTGATGCCGCTGGAGTTGATAGTTCAAGCGCACACCGGCCTGCCAAGCGGCCTTGCCGAAAAACTGTCAAAGCCTAAAGGCCGTTGGCTAAGTTCAGGGAGTGAACGCTCAAGAAGTCTTGGGTGGTTGAGTATAGGTAGCTTCGTGGTGCCTCGGGTCAAGTGCCAACGATATGACACCAAGGTGAGTAAGTTGTGGTCATGGATGGGGAATCAGTGTTTCATGATTCTACTACTCTTGTATTAATCTACGTTACAAATCTAATATTTTACCGTTTCCCGCCTTTTCCTGTTTTCACACTGATACTGTTGTCACGCTTGTTGTTGGATGGAATTCCACGCCCTCTGCGCATTCCATGCGCATTCCTGGCTGGCCTGAGCCACATCACTGTGACACAAGGACCAGATCAGACATTGTTCCGACTGCCTTTATTCGATCATCCGCTGACACAAAATCGCACATAATACCTAACTTACCTCTGGCGGCCACATCATGTCGCCTCACAACCGAACTGGTGTGATCGCGCCGCCCACCGCTCTCCTCGAGCCACTAGCCATACCTTTCTCTGCAAGAAACCAGTCGACCGTCCTATCAAGGCCCTCCTCGAGCTCGACTTTCGGGGCCCAGCCCAGCACCCTCTTTGCCAATCCAATATCAGGTTGTCGCTGCGTCGGGTCATCTTCCCGCTGCGGCAGAAACGTCACGTCGACGCAGTTTGCTTGTCCCATTTTCTCCGCGACCACTCGGGCGACCATGTCCGCAATCAGACCAATTGGCATCTCGACGTCACTACCAATGTTCACCGGGGAGTCGTGGTCGCTGTTCATGAGTCGATGCAAGCCCTCGACACAGTCCGAGGCGTACTGAAAACACCTCGTGGCATTCCCGTCACCATACACAACGATCGACTGGCCCTCCATAGCAGAAGCGATGAAGTTGGGCACGGCCCTTCCGTCGTGGAGCTGCATCTGCGGTCCGTACGCGTTGAATATTCGCGCAATACGAACTTGGAGTCCGTGCTTGTGATGGTAAGCGTAAGCCAAAGACTCCGCGATGCGTTTCCCTTCGTCGTAGCATGATCGTGGCCCGAAGCAGTTCACGTTGCCTCGATACTGCTCTGACTGAGGGCTTGTCAACGGATCTCCGTACGTTTCTACACGTGACTCAGTAAAATGGCCTTGTTACGACGTCTTTGCTTCTGGTAACTACCTGATGTGCTTGCGATGAGCACGCGAGCGCCACGTTTGACGCCTAGATCGAAGATGTTCTTGGTGCCCTGGAAGCAGGTCTCCAATATCTCCACAGGACTCTCCTCGAAGCGATCCGGGCTTGCTGGGCAGGCTAGGTGGTAGATTTGCTCGATGTGCCCGACATCTGGCAGTCGTTCTCTAATGTCGCAACTTTTCCATTGTTAGTCCTGGAACTTTTCCCATTCATGGAACATCATCGACGACAGTCGACTTACTGTTTGAATGTGAAGCTGGGATGCTTCTCGAAGTAACGGACATTTTTCGCCGAACCCGTCCACAGGTTATCGAATACGATGACTTCCTTGCCCTCGTCTAGCAGCAGCTTGACGAGGTGGTGTCCGAGAAATCCTGCACCCTATATGCACACTTTTGTCAACTCTAGCGGATGGCTCGTGTCTGGTGGTGATACTAACCCCGGTCACGAGAACAGCCATTATACTTGGTAACTAGTCCAAAGTGATGCCAGACAGGTATACATTGTTCTCTCTTTCGCAAATGCGTCTCCCACGGCATTGTTATATAGCGTCAGGTCCGTCTGAGCCCCCTCAACGGTTCTGCATTCCAGATCCCCGACAGACATCCCCTGGTGCCGTCATCAGCTCTGAATCAGACTCACATCCATCATTTACGGTTTAAGCTGATCCTATCCTGGCAGCGATCGCCGCGCCTGGCTTTGCTAGCTCTGAGCTGAGTTGATAATGCCGAGCCCACACAGCTGCCATGATCTGCGCCAAGACCTGCCATCGCGCCATGTCTAACATCTTCATCGCCTGTATAGGCACGGCGCAAACGAATAGGTTTATGGTCTCGAGTATTTCTAGGTCTTCAATATGACGCTATGTTATTTCGAGATGGTAAAGTATCGCAACTGTATAGTGCGATTGCAGATGATTGAAAGGCCAAGGCTTTGCAAACACTGTAGGGACATGCAAGTCTCGTAGGGCAAGAGGGCTCTCTGTGAGTCCTATGTCATTGTCTCACGCAGGCCTTGGACAGAAGTCTTTGAAGGTCTTGGATTATGGGCAGCATGTGGCTCGGACGTCCCTACAAGGGAGCACGATTGGCCCCTGACTGCAGATGGGATATGCAGCTTGCTTCTTCTGACCTTGACCGCATTTCGAACATCGGCTCGGGACTTGCCGATGCTTTTTGAAGGTCCAATCTACGACGCTTGTACAATTAGCAAACAAGCGTTTTCTGCTGTGCTGTTGACGATCTAATCATTGTGCGAACGTTGTCGGTTCTACGCACTTTGCAGTCTTCAAGACCAGCAGCGCGAAATGTGGCCCGCCTTTGCTAGAAAAATCTTAACGACTAGTGTTCGTCACTATGACTATATCTTGTTTGCTTCTCAAAGCCATTAGGCTGATCCAGCATCTCTAAACCATCACACGAGACTGGTCAACATCGCCGGGGATGAGTTTAGGGTAGGTAGTAACCGCATCGCACAGTGGCATGAGATGGCATAAGTACTCCTACGTTAGTAACAGCTCAATACCACATCTCGGGTGGGGGGAAATTAGCGTGACTGACAATCTCGCTTCGCGTAGTCAATAGACGAATGTTTGAATGTCAGTCTAGGTCTTTTGACTTGTGAGTCTGTGACCACGTGCAGATAGCATCGAGCCGTCTTGCAAGTTGCAACCCCCCACCCCTGTGCGGCTACCGTGACCTTCGACGCCTCGAGACATGCGCCACGTGGTGCTAATCTGATGACTGGACTAGGTTCCATTCAGCTGAGACTGGTTGAGGTCGACTCCGTGTCTTTTGGCGAAGCGAGTGGTCAAGTGTTCATCCCAAGTTCCCAACCGTTATCGCGGGCAGAGAATCGTCGGTGCACACGATCAACGGTCGATCAGGGGCTTACCGTGACGCATTGCCCCGGCGACGATCCCAAGGTTTGTGACTACCGTGGTGCTAGCTGATTACAGCAGACTAACCCCTCCGCGGCCGGGCCGTCGCCGGCCGCGACTGGCGTTGGGACGATGGAGGACACCAGTTGACTAGCGGGAGGAACTGCCGCAGCAAACACGGACACGGTGATACCATGGGATGAGCACTGTCGATTATTGTTAAAGATCATTGGTAGATTTTCAAAGCGGTAACCCGAAGCGACTGGAATGTGCAACGCTACCTTGCGATCTGCTGGAGAGCTGGAGCAGATCAGGCACCATTTCGCCACATGCGTTTGCTTGCCAGTAAGCGATTTGCTGTAACCGAGCATCAGAGTTCTGGACGTGATTGCGAGCGACGAACCCTTTTTACATATTCCAGGCAATGCGTGCATAATCATGGCCCGTGTAGGACCTCGGAACGTGGAATTCTTTTCCGTAGCACACCAGGTACCGTGGGACGCTCGCTGCACGCATGACGATGTCACCAGTTGACTTTGAGAGTTTCTTATTGTTTCAGCTCAAGACGCTGAAGTGATAATTAGGTGACGGAAGTTTTATTTCAAAACATTTGTGCGTAATTAACCCTGTGAGCATCTCAAGCACGTTAGACAGAGTCACGGCTGGAGATGCCAAAGGGTTCTCGTTCAATGTTCCATAATGCTGGTGTTTGCGTTGTGCGACACGTTCAGGAACAGGACAATGAGGGTACAAGCGCCGATGAAACTTATGAATTCCGCAAGCTCCTTTACGACATGCTCACGGAAGGCTCAGAGTATAATTAATTATTACCCATGTTTGCTCGCCGTAGGTAATATACTACGTAATGTGACGAAGCAGCAACGTGGACCGTGAGGCCCCTGAAGATGGAGGCCCATCAGGTACTCGGCGGTGCCCTCGGCACTGTGCAGAGCACTGAGAGCCCCCACTTCTCCTGCCCCTCGACCCCGAAAGTTCAAGGTGGTGAGGGCAGTCTCCTCTGGCGATCCAGCCCAGCAAGCTGCCTTCGGAGCCTTCGACGACAGACTGTGAAGAACTATCAGAAGCTCAGCGGAATCGATTGCTCGGATACTGGGCGGATTGTGCGTCGAACCGGGATCTGATGCATCGATATGCGACCGCATATGCAGGCTTGATCTCGCTGGATGATGTGCGGTTTCGCGTGTTTGATGGACCGTGCATTCAGGTGCACTCGCACACTGTCCCGTCATCCCGTTCATCAGCAGCAAGTTGAGATCCACGGACAGTACCTTATTGCTTTACCGCACAGCTCGTCAGGTGAGCAACTTGCGCTCGTAATAAGAGTCGTCATCCGCGCACGTCTGATGAGGCCCAATCATTTAATTATTGTCATCTGATTGAACCGATGGCTGGACGCTTTGCAGCGGACCAGTGCACACGTCTGGCGACTGGACAGTGGACAGGCGCTTTGGCCAGCCACTTGCAGCTGAACCCCTAATTCGCAACTTTTGGGTGGCACCTTATTTTGCATCCGGGCCTGACTGGCACCTGACTAAAGTCCAGCCCGGTGCGTGTCTCCCCTGTAGGCGGACCTGCCGCCCGGGGTCGTGGCAGGCGGATGCCACTGAAATCTGCGCCCAACTGAAAGTGCCCCCACCGTAATTAGTGCAGTCCCCTTTCCTTCCTGGACCCCCGAAGCCAATCACAGGGCCCGTCTCCAGTCGTCTCCTCCCCTCTCCTCGCCAGCCCAGCTCAAGTTTGGAGCTATACGTAGTATGATTTATCCCAGGCCTGGCTGGCTGGCAGGCAGTGGAGGAGGGCCCCAGCGCCTCAATTTTCCCAACGCCAGGCTTGTCCCGTCCAGTCCATCCCTTTCCTCATCGCTCGCCTGCCAGTCAGTCCCCTTCTCTTTTCTCTTCATCACGAACCGCTCCCCCATCCTCCTCCCTTCCGCCCACCCTCTCCTCAACCGACTCTCACGACACACGAGTCGGGTGCGACCTTTGCAGACGGACAGAACACGCAGAGGATTCCACGTGACGACGAACACCAGGGCTCTCCCCTCTCCCGCCCGTCCATCCACACCTACTAGATCCTGATACCCTTCCTGCTCCTCAAGGGGCTCGACCTGATTTGCCAGACTAGTCACCGCACCGCCACAGGCTTTGACATCTCCAACAACCGCAAGCCGTCCGCCAAAACAACCAGCCAACCAACCATTCGCACACCAGCAGCAACTTGGCCGTCGACGTGACCTGCCTCACCCGTGCCACTGCTGCCGTTGCCGCCCGCTTGCGACTGTGTCGTGACTTGATCGCAAGAGCTGGACTGCGTCTGGCATCTTGCAACGACTTTGAAGCTCTGGCTTTTGACTCACGCTTCCCACCATTCGACCACCGTACCGATCGCGCGACATTTGTGGAGTACACAGCTATATCGATTTAGTTTGACGCCGCGGTCTACACTTTGACTTTGAAGAAAAAGTTGGAGCACGGCTATACTGCTCTGCTCGTCACACAAGTACGATTTTGGATCATCGCTTGACGACTTAGCTACTACTACGTATTGCTCGGACGTCTCTGCGGCATCGTACACCGCTCCAGCTGTGGAAACTCTGCCACTGTCCATGTGGTGGACCGGCCCGAGCGACTCCATTTACCATTTTTGATCCGCCCGCGCGATATTCCTACGTACCCTCAAAGCCACCTCTTCCTCCAGCTATCTCGACCAACCGGCCACAAATCTCGTCCTGCAGCGATGGCACAACCACCTCAGGATCTCGGCTACCTCGACTACGGTACGCCTGCAAACCGTTCACCCGGCACGCGCCAGAACTTTGGCCCCTTTGCCGGCCACTCGCTATCTCGTCAGACACAGCGACCTTTTGAAGCGCCTTTGGGATCATCTGCCTTGTACGGCGCGCCCGACAGGAATGGCTCCTTCCACCGCGGTGGCATGGAGACGATGTCTGGCAACATCCCAAGCTATCTCCTCGATAGCCACAGCCCGCAACCGGGATGGAACTACAACGGTGGCGGCGTCGCGACCGTCAACGGCGCTGTGAATGGGCCTAGCAGACAGCGCAGCGTCAATCGACGGGCTGCTCTTCCCCAGGTGCGTCTTGTCATGCTCAAGCCCCTTTTTCTCTTGACCTTGCTGACCCAGATTGTAGACTTGGACAGATCAAAACATGGGACCCTCTGGCAACATGCAGGGCTTTCCCACTGGCCTGCCCAACAGCCCGATGATGAACAACGGCCTCAGAATCGACCATCTCAACTCGCACGCTTCGCAAAACGACCTCCGATCCTCCCCATCTGACCCCGAGTCGCTGATTCCGACGGCCATTGTGATCAAGAACATTCCCTTCGCCGTGCGAAAGGAGACTCTGGCCTCGATTATGCTCGAAATGCAACTGCCGCAGCCATATGCTTTCAACTATCACTTCGACAACGGTGTTTTCCGCGGTCTTGCATTTGCTAACTTCCAATCGGCCGAGGACACGCGGGCGGTGATTGAGGCCCTGAATGGCATGGATGTGCACGGTCGGAAGCTGCGCGTGGAATACAAGAAGATGTTGCCCGAAGCGGAGCGTGAGCGCATCGAGCGCGAGAAGAGGGAAAGACGTGGTCAACTCGAGGAGCAACACCGCGCTCCCATGCTGCACCAACAGAGCTCGATCCAGTCGTTGGGCGCGCTGTCACAGAGCCAAGGGCGAGCGGGATCGCACATTGGCAGGCCTTCCTCTCGTCGCGACATTAGCGGCCCCAACCAGGTGGGCGATGTGGACCTCAACGACCCCCAGACCCTCGATTTCTACACCGAGCTGGCCATGTTCAAGCGGGATGAGACACGCGAGGTGCTCGTCTTCCCCACGGGCATGGCCCCCGAGCACCGCCGCTCGATCCACATCCTTGCACACCACATGGGTCTCGAGCATCAGTCCATGGGCGAAGCAGACTCCCGTCAGCTTACGGTGCTGAAGCGTCAGCCTTCGCCCACGATCAATGCTCCCATGGCAGCCAACCCTCTCGACATCCACAAACGTGGTCTCAGCCGCGCGGCCACGTTCGACTTTGCCGCCGACCGCGAGCACCGGGGCGCCAGCAACAACTATTCTCACATGATGGGCCGCCAGAACCCGACGTTGGAAATACCTGACAGCCCAGACGCCACGGCCATCCCCAACAACCTACGTGCGGCCAAGAGTTTCGCTGATCTCAGGTCGTTCACGCCAAGCCCTTCGCAGGCCTCTTCCAGCTACTTGGCTCCGGGCGCCAGCCTTGGAGGTGGCTCAGCCCGCTTCGGTGACTACATGAGCGCTGGTGGTCACCCTGGCCACGCAGGAACCCCCAGTGGTCGGGAGAATGGCAATTCGTTGATTGGCGGTCTCAACAGCCTCAACCTCGGAGGCTTTGACGGAAACAGCCTCCAAGCCCAGGCACGGAACACAGCCGGTGCTATTGGTAGCCAGCGCCCTGGCGCAAGCGGAACCAACAACGCGAAGAATGCCCCCGACAGGCAGCCACGCAACCCCGAGTGGGAGAATTCGGCAGGCTTTGGAGCTCGTCGAGCCAACGGCCACATGGCTCGCGGTAGCGGTATGTGTCACTTTGACTTGCCTGTTTGCAGATTGACTAACTCGTTTCTAGATTCGTCCGACAGCGGCGCCCGCATCGGTGCTACTTCAACCGGCTCGTCGAGGTACCACTAGGCACCACGTTGCACACGCCTTGATTTCCTTTTTTTTGTGCCATTTGACGCATTCTTGCATCTGTACAATTGTTTATGGCGACCGCATGCAAGGCTCACGGGCCGCTCATCTCGCCAGCGGAGAGGCGCCACGCTCTGCCTGCGGTCAGGCCCTTGTTTGACGACGATGACGACGCTACATGGATGAGATGAAGGGCCTGAGGAGAGCGCGGACCGCGTTCTCGTCGGCCTGGGGTAGAGAGACATCTGCCCGAATACCCCTTATTTGGAGAAGAAGTATGGGACAAAGCAATTTTTTGAAACGCCATATCCTTTGACGATGAACGACGCTTTCACGACCTTACGTCTAGACAACAGCGACACCGGCTATACTACTTGTATCCCACACCTGTGGCGGCCAGGAGGGGGCAAAACAACACACCGCGTCTGACCAGGACGACGACGACAGATTACCGTCTTGCCATCTTTGTTAATAGCGGCAACGCGGGATGGCTATGGATTGGGGCAGCGGCCCGACAGCGGATGGATCGCATTGATATCCTTTTTCTGACATTTTGCTGCGGGGAGGAGGGAGCTAGAAGCGAGGTGATGATGGGTGGCGCCAGCAGTGCTGCTGTGAAGATGGTGTGCTTGGAATCAGAAGAGAAGGAAGAAGAAGATGAAGATGAAGAAAGAAGAAAACGAACCGAAAAGTGTTGCAATGTTTGGGCTGCATCATTTCTGCCATCAGTCACACCGTGGAGAGACTGGCCAGGGTCTCTGACGGGGCTGATGTAGATTTACCCAGTGGGAAAGCTGGGTGGCGTTGGTTGGGAGGTCAGCATATGCTTGGTTGGACTGCTTTTATTTCCTTTGCTATTTTATTTTACCTGGGGCGAGGGGGAAAAGACCATGGTAGAACCGTTGTGGTTGGACTATGACTAGCTTGAATATGCACAGTAATTGATCTTGAGCCTGGGTTGGAAGTTGGAGTGCGTCTTGTCACGAATACGGATAGATATGTTGGCTTACGATTCCTTCGGACATTATCAAGTACGTATATCTTCACTCCTCCCCCGTCAATAGTGATACTGACCAGGCAGCTCATGCCTCTCCGAGGCCCGTACACTACCTTGCATCTCATGCGGACGGTCCTCCACCACCATCTCGTGCTGACCAGGCACCACCACCGCCGGATACACTGTCTGGGTAGGAAAGGGATGGATCTGCTGCCCAGCAAGCTCTCTCCGGATCCCCTGGCCCGCGAGCTCCAGCTTGTCCTGCTGCGTCTCGACAACCTTGTGCACCGACGCAGTCTTCTTGCCTGTCCCACCCGCCGCCGGCACGACGTCGACCTGCGAGTAGGAGGGCGGTCGTTGTTGCTCCTCCTCTGAAGCCACCTGCTTGCGCCGCCGCTGACGCATGCAAAGCCAGATACCCGCACCGACGAGCGCGAGCACCAACGGCACACCAACCCCAAGACCGGCCCCGAGAGCAGTGGTGTTGACACCACCTCCGCCGTCCTCTTCTTGTCTGGCGTCGGGCTCGGCCGTGTTGTCGACCCACAAGATGGACGTGCGGCTGACGATGACTATGGGACACAGAAGAGGATGAGCCAAATGTACCATTTCACTTCTTGCTACGCCTACAAAAGCTGCAGAGCAATCGCCACCAGGGGCAAGGCGAGCAGCAGGGACAACTCACCCCTGGAGATGGACGCGCTGTCATCCTCATCCTCCGGTTCGCGCGTCTGCGTGGCCACCGTCGTGTCCGTGGACGTCTCCACGACCTGCCCCTCCTCGCTCTCGCTCACCTTCTCTGTCTCCTCGACCGCTGTCGTCTTGGTGGACTTATCCTCGTCCGTGGTGGTCGTGGTCGCCTCTGTCGCCTCGGGCCCCGTGGCCGCTGTGTACCACCCCTCGATGAAGTCCTGCGTGTACCCCTTGCCGCGGCAGTAGCTGGCGTATAAGCTGCGCATGCTGCTCACGTCCTTGGTGAGGTCGCCGGCCGAACAGCTCGTGGATGCGCAGTTGTTAATGTGCTCGCTGACGAGGGTGAGGGAGTCGTCCTCGGTGGCGCAGTAGCAGTCCTCCTCGTAGGGGTCGCCGCACTGGAGGGCGACGCCAATGTCGGTGCCTACGCCAAAGGGGTGCTGGACGCAGTACTTGACGCAGCGGTGGGCTGCGTAGGGGACGTCATCGCCGACGGTGACGGTCTGGCCGAGGGCGGCGTGCAGCAGGGCCAGGAGAAGGGGTACGTAGACGGTGTTGGAGGGCATCTTGGGTATGTGGGTGGACACTGGGGATTGATCTGTTTGCGTGAAGCAGCCTGCGATCATGGCAGGCAGCCAGCAGCGGCAGCAGATACATATAACATAGGATTGGGAGCTACTCCAGCGACGAGGGAAGGGATCGATTCCGCCCTCCGTGTCTGCAGCCAACCTCCCATTTCCGCAACAAGCTCGTTATCCCACGTTTCTAACCTGAAAGAAAACCAAAGCGCTTGTGACCCCTACCAGCTGAAATGCACCTAGACCGCCCTCGCGGCAAGAGAGTAACTGCCGTTGGACGGGCGGGTTCAGCCGCACGCGTGGCGTGTTGCATCGACCCAGGGTTGATGCAAGCTTGTTTTATTGTCTAATTCTATTCTAGACTGAACGGCTACGTAGATACCTTGATCACAACCTTGCCAAAGTGCTGCCCGTCCCGGACAAAGGCAAAGGCGTCCTTGGCCTCGTCAAAGGTAAACGTCTTGCTCACGACGGGCTTGATGCCCTTTTTCGCGTAGAAGTCCAGCATCTCCTCGAACCGCTCCCGGGGCCCGTTGAGCATGCCCTTGAGGGTGACGTTTCTTCGGAGCGCGAGGACGTTGATGTTGAGCCGGTTCACCTCGTCGCTGCCGTCCTCCTTGCCGGAGAGGTAGCCAATGCAGGAGATGAGGCCGCCAAAGGCGATGCAGTCAAACGACTTGCGCAGCGTCTTGGCGCCGCCCGTCTCGAAGATGATGTCCGCGCCCGCGCCGTCGGTGGCCTTCATCACGGCCTCCTGCCACTCCCAGTGCGTGCGGTAGTTGACTGTCGTGCCCGCGCCGAGGTCCTTGGTCGCGCGCGCGAGCTTCTCGTCGGACGAGGAGGTGACAATGGTGTTGAGCCCCGCCGCGCGAGCAATCTGCAGACCGGCGACGGACACGCCACCCGTGCCCTGGACGAGGAGCGTCGGCTTCTTGGTGTCCGAAGAAGCGGACACGTCGAGGTACTGCCCGAGGGGGTTGAAGGTGTTGATCGACATCCACGCTGTCACCGCCGCAATGGGCAACGTGCTGGCCTCCTCGTCGCTGAGGTAGTCGGGGCACTTGACCAGGCCCTCGCCGTCGAAGACGCGGTACTCGGCCAGGACGCCGCTCAGGGGAAAGCCCAGGCCCGAGGCCATGTCAGACTCCTTGACCTGGCCCTTGATGTGCGTCTGGTTGAAGATGGAGAGGACGCGGTCGCCTTCCTGGAACCGGGACGACTTGGACGAGACGATGACGCCCGCCATGTCGGAGCAGGGGACCAGAGAGGAGGACTGCGTCAGAGACTGGTGGTGGGCATAGTCGCCCGAGACGACTGCATTAATCAATGTCAGAATGAGGCCCCCTACAGAGAGAGCACAGAGTAGACTCACCCTCAATGTCGCGGTAGTTGAGGCTCACAGCGCGGATCTTGACGAGCACCTCGCCCTGCTGGAGGTCGCCCGGCATGGGGGCCTCGCCCATCTTCAGCTTGTCCACGCCATCGAGTTCCGTCGTCCACTGCTTGTAGGTAGGCGCCATGGTGAAGAATCAATTCAAGGTGTGCATGTGGTGTCTTTTCCCAAGTCGCTGGGAGGGGCCGTTTATGATGGATGCGATATGTAAAGAGTGACGTCTATGATAGATCCACTCCGGTGGGTTCGACTAGCAAAGGTTCTCCACGTTGTCCTGGATCGCAAATGCCGAGGGACGGAAAAGCGCGATTGAATTTGCAGTCAATGGTGGTGAATGTGGGTGCGAGGTGTCGAGACCATCGGCGAGGAAATCCCGACGAGGCAAGATTTGGCCCGGAATCTGTACGTAGTATCGCAAGGTGCTTGTTGGCCTGCCAGATCACGCTGCACCAACCCTTGTTATCTTGACAGCTGGCTGGGTCTCTGATGAATTCTCCATCCTCAGATCATCACTCATTCTGAGACTGTTCCTGAAAGAAAATGTCCGCAGACTATTCTTATGCCACTGTCTATCCCAAGTCTAAAAGCTCTGCCATGGTCAAGATCAGTCCCACCCCACATTAATAATACTCGTACATCCGACTCTTCCTAGTCCATTCTCCCCTTCCCACTCTCCATCCCCTTGCCGCCGGGCACAGCCCTTGCGCGCTCCTCCTCGGCACCCGCCACGCCCATCCTCCTGGCAATCGGCCCAAAGACCCAGTTCTGCACCACGGCCAGCTCCCCAACCATCCACTCCAGGCGCCACCCGACCAGCGGCACGCACGCGCCCACCATGGCGTCCATGAGGAAGTGGTTCGCCGTCGTGACAATGGTCAGCAGCATCATGGCCGGCCAGAGGGGCGCCAGCACCCGCACCACCGCGTGTGGCGCGAATCGGTACAGCGAGACGGCGAAGAAGAGCGCCGTGCCAAAGTGCAGGCTCGGCATGGCCGCAATCGTCAGCTGGAACCGGTTGTTCTGCCACGGGTTGTCGTTTGGGTTGACCTTGGGGTGCAGAATGTCCACGAAGCCGTACTCCTCCGGCAGCAGGCGCGGCGGGCTGCACCGCCAGAGGGTGACGATGACGAACGCAACCGCATTGTCCATGGCAATCGTCCGGCGGATGCGCTGGTAGGTCGGGAACGGAAGGTAGGTGTACGTGTATACGAGGAACGCGATGCCGACGCAAATGTGCGAGTGGTAGATGTTGCCGAGCACGGACATCCAGTCGGGGTAGTTGTTGAGGAAGAAGCGCTGCACGCTGAGCTCGACGTCGATGCCGAGTAGCTGCTCGATCGAGAGGACAGTCAGGGCGTGCTGCTTCGCACGCTCGAACACGGAGGCATTGTCGGCAATCAGTCGTGCGGACACAGCTCGTAGCCCTTGGTACACCCTGTTCTCTGGTCAGCATCTGTTGGTTGGCTGGGGCCGTGCACAGAACGCACCAGTATGTCAAGTTCCAGTACCAGATCTCTGGCAAAAAGGGGTATTTCCTCCAGAACCTGCGCAGCAGTTCCCACACAATGTTTCGCTGGTGGCTGTCATCCACCGCGCTCAGCGACGGGGACGAGGAGAGACTGCTCGACTGCGTGGACGGGTCGCCATTTTCGCGCACCAGCGGACGGTTCTCGACATCGATCGGGGAGCGGCTGTCACGACGTCGGTTGATGAGGCACCCTGCGGTGAAAAGACAGACAATGACTGTGCGTGTCAGCTTGTTGGCGATTCGAGTCCAGCGTCCTCGACCGGGGCGTCTATGTGCATACCTATAGGCTCAAGGACCGTCTTGCTCAGGACGGACATGGTGAGCGCGGAAAGGAGCGAAATGAACTCAGCAACAAAAGGGTCGCGTGAGTAGTAGTACAGGATTGGGTATGAAGATGAAGAAAAAGGCAATAATTAAAGTAAAAAGCAAAGGATGGTCCGGAATGTGGAGAAGGGGGAGGACGAGGGTACCTAGGCACGCGAGCAGCAGTTCATTATTAGCGACCAACAACTGCGCCAGGGACGGGGCATTGCCAGCCAGCCAGATCCGCCCAGCGCAAAGGCTAATGCTACCGACAAATCCAGGGCGAGGCGATCGATCTTCTTGGCTACCATTCTAGTCATGTGCTGTGCCTGGTCATGCATCGCGTTGCAGGGCCGACGTAGCCGAGTGCGTGAACAAAATTCGATGCTGTATATCTTTTGACGACCGGACTCGACAAGTACATAAGTAGAAATTATGATGGCGGCTCCGCTAGCGACCAGCCATCAATCGGTCATCGGGGATTTCAACCATGCCGACGCGTCCAACTCTAACGTTAAATGGTGCCGCCGGAGGAGAGCACTAGCACTTGCCACTAGCAGAATCAACCATGTAATTAGAGGCAGGAGGTCGCGTGTCTGCCTCCCGGACAGTGGCTGAGGCTCCCCTCCCGCTCAGCCGCTAGTTGGGTGGACCCGGCTTACCTCATCACCTCCATCGGTTTAGCACACCTGAACAGCCGGGCAGCCCCCACTGTCCACATCATCGTCACAGCCACAAGTCGACAACCACCAGCCTACACTGCATGGTGACACTTCATCAAGCATCAGACAGACATCTCTCTTTCATTCGCTACTACACGTATCAAACACAGCTCACATCCCCCCTCACTTCTCCAATCCTCGTACGAGGCCAAGAATCTCTCCAACTTGTGACACCCTTCTCTGCTGTCGAAAAACAAAACATGGACCCAAAGCGAAGGGGGAGGCTCTCTCCCGTGCGTCCCCCCACACGGGCCGGAAAAAGAATGCAGAACAAGACAAGAGCGCGCGCCATGCCATGTGAACCCTCTCGCGTGCTAACAAACAGCCAATACTATGTGCGTGAGTGGTATGATATACATCATTTAGTCATCGACCCCATGCTGGTCGGGGGATCATGTCCCCTCCGTAGTGAAAACAGCGGCAGAAACAAATCAAGTCGCCGTACGCCGGCTCATATATGTATGTCGTAGGAAACCAAGCCGCGATGCAACGGTCACATCGTCATTATGCTCCAGATCATTCGTAGTGACCCATGGCCGCAAATTTGTGCAGGATGTTGTCCGACGTCCGCACAATCCAGTCCAGTTTGTTCTTGTCCACATTCGCCAGGAACGGGTCGATCGGGTACCCGGGCTGGATCCCGCTGCTCAGCGCCTGCATGCGCGTCACGAGCAGCTGCATCGTCTGCTTGCCGCTGCGGGCCACGTCGCGGTACGGTTGCGCGTTCCAGTCCTGTCTGCCTGTTAGATGACTTTGTGTCCGCCAGTCAGGAGCACCGCAGAGACTTACGTGATTGTGAATGTCATTGTCAAACGACCGGATGGCCATCTCGATCCAGTCCACTTCCTCCTTCAGGAGCGCGTTGGGCTTGATGTCCTTGGAGATTGTAGCAATCATGACGAGAAGCATCAGCGGTGGCAGGTTCTCAAACTTGGAGGGCGGGTAGCGAGACATGGTCCGCTTGAAGATGAGATCCTCGTGCCCGCTCTGGATCCATTGGATCACGGCGTCCTGTAGCCGATCCTCCTGGATGAGCTGGTCGATGCGCCGGCTGCGCTGCTGGAGGTCCTGGTCGGCTTGCGCCTCGGGCCGGTTCAGCTGGCTGGCCAGGGTGCTCGCAATCGCCGACACGCTGTGCTGAGAGCCGGCCAGCTGCTCAGACTGCGCGTGAGAGCCGGGAGGGCTGGTCACAAATTGTCCGCCACGGGCGTACTGGGGGCTGCCAGCGTAGGTGTGCGCGTGGCTTGGGGCCTGGCTGGGAGCATAGCTGGATTGCTGACTGGGCAGCATCGGCCCCGGCTGGCCGTGAACGCCACCGCCGTAGCTCTGTTGAGGACCCGCCATGCCAGGATGGCCCTGCGGCCCTGGGAGACCCGGAAGCTCGTGTACGGGGGTTTGCTTAAGCTTCACAATTTCAGCCTGCAGCGCCGACTGCGACGATGCCATCTGCGAGATCATATCCGCCATCTGCTGCACGTGCGTCTGCAGCTGATCAATCTTGTGCGAGTCAGCAGCACGCTGCGCCTTGAGATGCTCATATTGCTCGTGGTACTGCTGGCGCAGGTCGGTCGACATCTGCTGGGTCGATTGCGTGACGGCGTTGGTGAGCGTCGGCGCGAGGCGCTGCGTGAGCGAGGCCACCACCTCCTGCTGCACAGCCTGCGCAACATGCGGGCCAATGCGATCGGTCACGCTCTGCACAAAGTCGTTTGCGCGCAGAGACCGGTTGACGGCTTGCGGCAGGGTGTTCTGAATCTCCTTGTGCACAGCCTTGGCGACATTGGGCTGGAGCTTGTGGTCCAGCAGCTCCGTCACAGCCCTGCCAGCAGTCTCGCCAATCGCTGGGATGACCTGCTCCGTGAACTGGTGGTGAATGAGTGCCTGCAGCACCTTTTGGGTGTTGTCGTTCAGAACCTCGGACACCATATCCAGTAGCTTGCGCTGGTGATCATTGAAGATCACGTCGCGCTCGCGAGCACTGTCGTCGATCTGCGTCTGCAGGCCCTTGAGGGAGCCCTTGAGAGCATCGGCCAAGCCCGCCGTAATGCGCGTCTCCATGCTGGCGACGGCGCTATTGAGTGCTTCGTTGGACATGCCTGAGCCGTTCCCACCCTTGCCTGCATTGGAACCACTCGATGCTCCGTTCGTCGTGGCATCCCCCTGGTTGTTCGCGGCAGCCGCGGCAGCAGCAGCAGCACCCTTCTTCTTACGAGGCTTGCGCTCTGGCTTCTCGGGCTGGTTCTCCTTGGCCGGGGGCGCCACGGGCGCCTCCACCTCCTTGGGCTCCGGCTTGTTCTTGGTCGAGTTGTCGGGGTCAACGGAAACGTCGACGGATGGGACGGGGGCAGCCGTCGTGTCCTTGGCCCCACGGTTGCCGTTGCGAATGGGGACAGGCGTCTCCTTGACTTCGGCTTCCATGGCCTGGGGTGTCTTCAGCTTGGAGACGGTGACGATGCCTTCACTGACCGCATCGACAGGGGCGAGCACCTTGTTGTCCTTGGACCAGCCGAGATCGCGTTGCTTGATCAACAGGCAGGCAACTCCCTTGGAGTGCATGGCGTACAGCTCGAACAAGGCGGCCTCGTCAGTGTCCTGCGCTATCGCGGGCTGCGGCAGGATATCGAGACTGCGGAGGACTCCCCGGTTCTCAAAGGAGTACTCGCGGACTCCACTAATGACAGCAGTACTATCCGGCTGGGGGATGGAGGAGTCTTGCGCCACAAGGCGCTCAATGTATTCCGCCTGCGACATGCTCTTGAGGTTGTACTTGGGGGCCGACAGGTGGGCAAAGTAGACCGAGTTGCGGGTCGGGTGGCCGATGACAATCATGCCAGAGGCGGCGTGGTACATGACACTGCACACCGCGTCCGACTCCTTGCTGTGCGGCAGGTTGAACTCTTGCACTGGTTTACCCAGCGCGAGATCCCACAGCTGCAGTGTGTGGTTCTGCTTCATGCCGACAATCATGTAACGCAGAGCGCAACGCTTCTGGTAAGGGCGCTGCTTGTCAAGCAACAGGACCGAGGTCGGCCACGCCTTCTCACCCTCGGGTGTGCTGCCCAGCGTCATCAGCGGGTCCCGGACCTCCATGGACGTGTGCTCGGGCACGGGGTGGCGAGGGTCGCTGCCGCTCTTCGTCGCGGTCAAGTCACGAACATCCCAGAACTTGACTCGGCCGGACTTGTCCAGCGAGACGACCACGGAATCATCCTGACTGAAGGTGAAGTCCTTGCCGGCCTTACCGGTGTTGATCTTGAGCGAGCACTGCGACAGCAGCTTCTCCGTGTCGACAACGCGGTCGTGGCCTGGCTTGAAGAGATTGTTCTGCATGATGTAGGAGGGCCAGACAAAGTTGATGGTCTTGCCACGGCCAACGGCGAAGAAGCCAGGGTGGCTGGTAGAGGCGCGCGCGCGCGTCTTGAGCACGCCGCCGGGGGTGTCACCCTCCGACGAGCTCATGGGCGGCAAGGCAAAGCCGTACTGCTCGAGATGGGCATCCTCGGTGTGGTCCTTCTCCCCGTCTCTAATCTGCACCCAATAGACGGTGCCACTGATACCAGTGCCAATGATGGCTTCGCGATAGGGGCCCTCGTAGTCAGCGGGTGTCACCGACATGGCCACGTTGAAGATGCGGTCCTTTGTGTCGGTGAAGACCTTGGCGTCCTTGCCATCCTCCTGACGGATGATGCGGAGACCGCCCTGCTTGGACATGCCATAGGTCATGTAATTGGGCGACGCAGTGTACAGGTTGCGGTCGATCTGGTCAAACTCCTTCTTAAGACGCGCGACATCCATAACAGCTTCATAGCGAAACTCTGGACGGGGTTCGGCAGTGCCCGCCAGGAGGCTGACCGAGATCCATGGCTTCATGGGGAAGTTGAAGACCTTGACAGGTGGCTCCTCTCTCTCCTCGATGACCACAATCTCCTCCTGGTCTGCACTCTCCCAGCTGTCCGCCACACCTTGGGCCGCCTCGTCGACAATCTCACGAACAGTGTCGGCCACCTCACGGGGCAGCGCCTGGTCAAGGACGCCCTCGTTCTCGCTCTTGTCGAGCTCATCCTGCAGGTCGCGAGCTACGTTGCGGGCGTTGCGGTTGAACTCGGCATCAGAGTCGGCGTTGAGCATTCTGTCGAGCTCGTCGGCAATTTCAGCCTCGGTACGCTCATGCTCAGCCTTGTCCAACGCCTCGCGAGCGTCGCGGTCCGCCTTGGGGCCAAGATCAGTGACAGCGTCCGAGACAGTTTCCTTGTGCTCGGGCGCGCCATGACGCTCGAATTCCATCGACGTCGGAGTTGGCTTGGAGACGGACGCAGACTGGTGAGAGTGAAGTGACGAGGTGCGGTTCACCTTGTGACGGTGAAGGTCTTGGGGGCTCATGGCAGGGCTTCGGTAATCGTGGTGGCTCTCATTTGCTCCACGCTGAGAACCATGATGCTGGGAGCCAGCCGGGGAGGAGTGGTCCTTCTTGAGGACTTGGAAAGGCTGGCCAGCCGCAGAGGCGGACGCAGAGTGAGCGGCAGCACTGCCGTGGGGAGACGACTTTTGTGCCAGTGTTCCCATCAGCTGCTGGTAGAGCTCGACATTGGCAGGGTCATCAGACTTCTGTTGCTGCAGAGTGTGATTTTGCTCGTTGCCATAGCCTTGGCCGTACGTCTGGGCTTGGTACTGCTTGGCAGCAGCGTATGCATCGACCGAAGTTTGCTGGGAGAATTGAGACAAGAACTCGCGAGTGTGCTCGCCTAGATCGGGAGACTGCGGGGTGTCGTTGTTCGATCGTGACGTCTCGGCCATCAGCGGCTGTTCATTCTGGCTTGGCTTGGGGCGATTGAGCAGATTGAGGAGATACGACCTCGTCTCAGGCGGCGGCGAGCCTCCACTGCCAAAGGGGTTGGCTTGGGATTGCTGTTGCGGCTGCTGCTGTTGCTGCTGAGGAGGCGACTGGACATGCTGCTGCTGATCCTGCTGCGAGCGTTGCTGCTCGTGAGGTCGGGGAGCAGGCGACTCAGAGTCATGAGCACCACGCATCAGCGCCGCGAGCAAGCCTGTCGGGTCAGCCGCTGCAGGTGCAGGCTGATGAATGCGGTGCTGGTACTCAGCATGCGATTCGTGAGCCTGCTGTGGCTGCATCTGGTATTGATGCGATTGCGGTTGTTGCTGCTGATACCCTAGGTAGTGCTGGTTCTGATTCTGATTATGGTTTAAGTTTTGCTGGTAGCTCTGCTGATACCCTTGCTGGGGCGGCGACAATGGAGCATGATGCTGGTGGTGGTGCGGCTGGTGCTCGACAACAGGCGACTGCTGCTGCGACGACTGGGCCGGCTGGGACCCAATGGGCGGCTGCTGCTGTTGCTGTGTCTGCGATGGCTGCTGGGCCTGTTGATCACGGGCACCAGAACCGCTGAACTTGAGAAGGTTCAGCAAGTTCGATGTGCGATCGGCGCCGTTGGACGCCATGTTGCTGTGTTGGTTGTTGTTTACGGGCGGCGTCGGCGCCGGCGGCAAATGGTCCATCGCAGGGACGGCCGCTACAATTTAATGAGAAGCAGTTTCTCGGGGAGATGGGGGAACTGCTTCAAGGAAGTGCTTTGTGCAAAGATGGAGGAAGGGATGAGGTTGGGAGAGACTGGAGAGGTAAGGCAAGGTAAGGTAAGGTGGAAGGAAGGAAAAGTCGGTGGTGGGTGCAGCGACTGGAGGCCAGGCCGCAAGCTGCAGCGCGCTGGTCAGTGGAGGAGGCGCTGGCAGTTCAGAAAAGCGTAGCAGCCCAACTCGAAACTCAAGTGGAGAAGTGCCTGTGATGTGGCGCCCGATCAGCCAGTCATGACGCATCTGATTGGGTGGAGCCCCAGAGCTGCTGCAGTGCCAGCGTGAACATGAACGCAAAGCGGTCACAGAAAAGTTGATGGATGCTGACGTTGACTGAGTGCGAACGGAGATTGAAGACTCGGGTATGAGTTCGCCATGGACTACTACTGGGCGATGAGGAGAAGATCCTGCTCAAGACCTTCTCGTGATGCCTGTGCCAACAGCTTCAAGGCAAGGTCCATGCAACTATTGATGGAAACTTGGCGGTATCGATAAGGTTCAGTATCATGCAGCCCTGTTCCTTATCTTAGCGCAGCCGTCCTTGTCACTCGACCCCACCCCCAATGGGGCAGGCGGTGAAAGCTCCCAGCACTCGTCTGCCATCATGATGTCTCAGTCCGTAATTTGGGGGACCCTGCGAACGATATCCTGCATCTTCACACGCGCGCGCAACGTCCATCCATGCATGTCCAACGTTTGGACTGACGGGTCACTTTTAACATTCTGTTTCTCTAGAAACGTGTTTGGGTGTACACTCACACCAGAATATCAACATGTTTTGCCTTCGGAGGTACAGTAGCACCCCGCGCACGCTGTTCATGCACAGCGTACCCAGATCTCCCCGTTCTTCTTTGCCTCTCTATGAACATTGTACTGACTATTCTTGCTTGCTTCAGTTGGCTCCCGCTCCTCTTCATCCCGACAAACGCATCCCCCGCATTTATCCTGCTCTTCTTCATCGGAACGTACTTCCTCAACCGCCCATGCGTCTACTGCTCGCTGCTCCTCCTCATCCTCTTCTGCACGTCCTGCGTCTGGTCGGACCAATGCCTTTTTGACCGCGATACATCACAGTGGTTCCATCCACGACCGGGCAGCAACGCCGACATGGGCGCGTCGATTCCGTACCTTGGACACGAGACCATCCTGCCTGCCGTGGTTGGCGGCGCGCTGCGCAAGATGCAGGCCGAGCGCGCGGCAAGGTGGACGGGTCTGGGAGCAGAGTGGTTGAGAAATTTACTGGGAAAGAGAGAATGGACCGTCGATTGCATGGGACTCAGCATACAGCTATGACGCGGGGGCGTGGTGTTTACGAAGAAAGGACCTATGAAGGACTGAATGAGCAGCGTCATGATTATTCACGAGCGGAAACTTGCAAAATGACAGTGTCATAAAACTGTGTTCAATTTTGGCTGGCAACAGTCTAATTACTGGTTCATTGACTCATCCATATAGTGCCCAATCAACGCCAAAGATCCCATTTCGATATGCGGAAAGAAAAAACACGCTCATAGCTCAACCTCCGGCTTCTCTTCCTCTTCCTGTTCCCCGTCGACATACGGATCAGCTTCGTCCATGACCGGCTCGGGGGCTTGACTCAAATCAGCCTCTGGTACGACAGACGCGCCAGCAACGTCGACGACTTCCTCACCCTCCTCAACACCAATATCCGAAGTATCCACAACTGCTGTTTCCTCCAGGGCCAAAGCTTGAGTTGTCGTTACAGTACTCGTTTCGAAGGCAGTCTCGGTAACGGTCTCGTATACCTTGACGATCTCCTGGGTCGATACAGTCTTGACCTCCTCGTGCACCCGCGACTCAACGCTTGCCTGAGTCGCAGCAGCTGTCTGGGTCACCGTCACGGTAGCCATTGTGGCGCTATCCAGCATATTTTGTGTAGCGGCTGCTGTGACTGTCACTGTAGCTGGGCCTTGGTTGACAGGTCGCTCAGGCATGACGACAGCCGGCATCTCCCTCTTCGCCATGACAGGGAAGTTGTCGAAGCCAGCCGCGCTGCTTCCACCCCTCAAGGCGAGGACGAGAACCAGAACACTCATCATCAGGATGGCCACATTCTTCGAGTCACGGAGCATGACCTTGGTCGCCTCCAGGATCAGCTCCGGCAAAGAGTCATCCCGGCTAGCCGATTGCCTGCGGTCTCGGTAGCGAGTGTACTCGTCCGCTACCGGTGGTGGTGGCGGTGATGGTGTCTGGTGATGATGGTGATGGTGCTGCTGCTGGTGACGGTCATGGCGTTGCATGTACTCAGGCGAGGGCGGAGGTGGCTCGACCACAACGACGGGCTGGGCAACAGGCTGTGGCGAGTGTCCATAGATCTCTCTCAGACGCTCGTCGTGCTGCCTCTGTTGTTCATCCGCGCTTGGCGGCGCAGGGCTTTCCGTAACCCTGATCTCCGGCACAGGCGAAGACGGAACTTCGTGGTGTACCTCTGTTGGTTCCTCGACATACTCGTGAAGCTCTTCTTCAACGTGCTCCTCGGGTATGTCCTCCGGCTCCGGCTCCGCTTGGATCTCGGCCTCGGCCTCGACCTCGACCTCCTCCTCCTCTTCTTCTTCAAGCTGCTCCTGATGCAGCTCCAGAGCCTGCTGCTGCTCGTCATCCAGGCGTGCCATCTCCTCTTGGATGTCGCTCTCGACAATCGGCTCAATCTCCACATCAACCCGCTCCATTTCTTTCCAGCAAGCCTCCCACGCACCAGCTTTGACAAGCCCGTTGCTCGCGTATACTTTGACGCGGAACACCTTACCAGCACCAAGAGCATCAAAGCGAATCTCGGAACGACAAGTGTTGCACCAGTGCTTCTTCTCCATGGAGCTGCGAGATTGTCGGTGTGAGTCGTCAAAGACAGCTTCGTCGTCCTCTTCCTCCGAGCTCTCCTCCAGGATTGTCGTTTCGTTTGCAGGCCCAAGGTAATGACCACACTCGAGGATGCGTGCCCTTCTCCTAAGAGGCAGCTCGAGCGCTTCGAGTAGTCGTTCCTCGAGGATCTCAAAGTCATTCTGTGGGTGCGGCAGAAGAATGCCACGCTCACAGGTAGTGTCGCCCATGCGATCCTGGAGCTGTCGCCATGCTTGCTTGAGACGCTTGCTGCCCTCACTCAGCTGTTCGCTGGACGCCTGCTCGAGCACGTCACCCCAGCCCCAACGCAGCGGCAAAAGGGTGACATGCAAGAGGACCAGAGGCGGCGTGGCCCGTCTGAACCTTGGAGGCGTCCTCTTGGGGGAGTACTGCGCACTTGGCGAACCAAGTCTCGAGCCCGAGGGGATGGGGGTCCTGCGGTTGGAGCGACTTGAGCCGATCACGCTCTGTGCTGGCGAGGACATCTGTATTGCTTTGACAGACGATGGAGATCGGAACGGTGGACGGGGCGTCCCCCTCACCGTTGGGATGAAAATCTCATCTTGGTCGTCCGTCTCGTAGTGGGAGAAGTCAGACATGCGATGCGTGCGTGTCCGATGCGTGACATTTTCGCTGATCTCGCGATGCTGGCGATGATCCTCCCCTGAGGTAGAGCCGACTGAGCTTCGTGGGCTGTGGTCGCTGAAGACGTCGTCCTCGTGTTCGTTGTGGGAGCTGTCAGCATTCTCTTCGGGTACATGCTCGTCGTCGTTCTCGATAGACTGAATCACCGAATCGCCGCATTGACTGGCTGAGCGATCCATGATTGAGCTTTCGTGATCCTCGAAATGATCGGGGTTTTGTTGGCTTGCCGCATCCAACTCCCGTTCGCCCTCAGCGTCGGCTGTGAGGGGAGCCTCAGGTGCTTGATCAACGACAAAGTCTGTTGATACAGCATTTTCCGTTACGGCAGCCTGCTCGGGTTGCTCATCTGGGATAGGGATATCGGCGTCCGAACTTGTATCAACTGAGGCAGTGAGATTATCACCGTCGTCCTCAATGGCTGAAGCAGTAGGCTCCTCGGCTGGCATCGCGTTGCTGTCTTCCGCCGACGCAGCGATGGACTCGGCAGCTTTCTCAGTGTCTTCCTCTACAACTTCAGGGGCGATCTCAACGACGGCCTCTGACTCCTCCTCATTGGAGGCGACCTGAACAGATTCCGTCGTTTCTTCCGATGTAGGCTCTGCCGTCAGCTCTGCCACAGGCTCCTCGACAGCTTCAGGTAGAGGCTCTTCGTGCTGTGCGACCTCAGCAGAAGGCTCGGAGAGCTCCGCTTCTTCATGAGCTGGCTCATTGACCGAGACGTCTGTTTCTACCGGAGACTCGTCAGAGTTGCTGGCAGGCTCAGGGATATGTTCCTCAATGGGCTCATGCACTGATGCATCAGCTTCGAGCTCTACCTCCTTGGGAACATCAGCCTCCTCCGCCTCCTTAGGAGCGTCGGTGTCCTCCGTCTCTTTGGGAATCGCAGTATCCACCACCTCATCCTCTACACAGCTTGGCACATCGTCATTCGCAGCCGCCGAAATGTCGAGTGTTTCCATCGCCGCTTCGTCAGCGGGGACCTCGACGACGTCGACGACGGGCGAAGGGACGCTCTCAACAATATGCGCTTCAGCCTCCTTGGCTTCTTGGGCCGATCGCCTGGCAGCTTTTTCTTCCGGCCCTTCGACGAGTGCGGCCCAAGAATCTTCAAAATCGTCCTCTGCTTGCTCGTGAACCTCGATCTCAGACACAAGCTCGGGGGAGGGCCCATCGGCGTCGTCAACGACACTCTCGGCATTGTCAGTCAGGTCCTCGCGCACGAGGGAGTGTGCGACTGATACCCTAGGACTAGCCGTCATGGCGTCCTCTTCGTCATCGGAGGGCGGGGGCGGAGATCGTCTGCTAGGACCATTGCTCACGTAGCACAATGCATCTGAAGGACGAACGCCCATATCTCGAGCCCCAGGTACATACGGCACTCTGGCGTAATTTTGGCTCGAGGTTCTGCTGTTGGAGATGTAGCTCTCCGTGTAGTCAGACTCATCGTCATCGCTGCGATGGATCTGGTCGACGATGTTGCGGGCTGCAGCATGGATCAGAGCTTCAGTTCGGCCCGAGGCTCGTCGGTGGAGAGAGGAGGATGAATGGTCTGAGGTTGTGGAATGGTCGCCTAGGACACTGTCATCGAGTGCCGACTGGTCTTGAGACTCTGAGTACCCTGACTCTCTGCGGCTGGAATAGGTGCCGATGGAGTCCCGTCGAGAGTACGAGTCGTCAGTGGCGTCGTAGGAGGCGCCTGATTCTCTTCTGGAAACGTTGTCCTCTGTGTAGTCTGTCTCGTGCAGGCTGTCTCTGCTCTTCTTCAAAGAGTCAAATGAGTCTCTGCGCGAGTCTAGTGACTCTCGTCTCGAGCTCGGTGCACTTATGTTCTTCTTGTCCCCCAACTCCTCCAGCATGCTGTCCAAGCGAGCTTCGACGCTCTTCTCGTCATTCTCGACGCTCGCGTCCTCGTTAACGAGGGTGCTAGCCTTGGTCAGGTTCGATTCGGTAGCGCCGTTTGCAAAGTCTCGAGTGTCGCTGTCGTCAATGGGTGTAGGCTGGTCTTCGTGGATCGTGAAGTCGTTGGCGGCAGCCGCTGCGGCCCTGCCTCGCTTGTTGCGGCGGGCCATTGTAAGACTTGTCTGTGGAGATGAATATCAAAGGGTATCAACGCGGGGAAAGGAATGCTGAAGCAGAATAACAATGCTGGCGGATTTTTCTTGTTGGAATGTGACATTTGCATGCCTTCGTGGCACTGCATGGTTGGGCGGTGGAGGAGAGTCCTTTGTTTTCGTCGTTGTCAGGGCAACGGCAATCTCCTCGTCCTCCGGGATCAGGGGTGACGAATGACGACAGAGGTATCACGTAGGCCAGCGTCTACCGAGACTGTTTTGTAGCAATCTTGTTGATCGTCGTCAATTGTTGCTACTAATTAGTGGCAGCTATCGATGCTTCGGTTCTCTCGTCAGCGTGTGGTTTCCTTGGTCAGCAATGCCACCATCACCGTCGCTTGTTCATTCATCGCCGGTGTTCGCCTCATTGGACGCAGCAGGCTACCCTACGCTCCGTCACACGAGTAATCTCAATCACCTTCATGAGTCGCTCCCTCGCTGCAAACTGGAATGGCTCGGTTTCTATGGTGTTGTTTCAATCATGCAATAGTTTTGGGATCGTATGCTGGTGGAGTTGAATGTTGGACGTGATGAAGGAACCAAATGTGGCTCAATTGATTGAAAGACTACAGTCACGAAATTTGCTCCAGATCACTTCAATACTGAGGTGTGCTTGTTACGAGACACGGCGCAAATTTCATTTGGTTCTGTTTCAATGTCCTGAATAAACATATTCGTCGCCACAACTGAGCAGCAAGTCTGTACCCTCGACTCGAGCACAGAGGCAAGGTAACAAGCGCTCACTGTCCGTCTGGTAGCACTGGTCAGAACCACTGTCAAGGGCAGTCGGTAACACTGTGAACATTTGTACAATTATTGTATGGTCGGATGCAAGGTGTCAATCGACTATCTCGAGTCGTCTTCTACTTCATACTATGGTGATCTGCACCGGAAGAACCTGGTAGCATTCTTCAAAGCCCGGTGCCGTGAGCCGACCAGAGTGGATAGGCTGTTTCTTGGTGTGAACTTTCATATTATGCATAACACGTCCGTGGATCCAACGTGTTAAGGCAACCGAAAGCGTGGGAGAAGCATGCTGTTCAAGAATACTAGTGCGTGAATGGCATCCCGTCAACTGTGAAGAACCCGTCGTGGGTTGGAAGGCATGGTTGCGGCACAATTTATTTTAACTTACAACTGGAATGGAGCATCAATTGATGGCGGCGGGCGATGCCGTGAAACATTGATCTACAGGGACCGACTGGAATGCAGACCCGAGACACACATGGGGCGATCGATGCCACCTTGTCGATCGACACGACATGAACAAGAAGATTACAGGGCACAAAATAGCAAAGAAAAGGTAGCAGTACTTGGTAGGTAATATGTATTTCATTTCCCTCATGTCCCATATACACACTGGTCATTTCCTTTCTATGTTCATCATCACGGGTCCGACACCACACATGGGGGGACGTTTACAAGTCCTCGCAGTAGTCGACGGTGGTGGTGACAGTCTTGGTCTCAGTAGGCGTGGGAGCCGTGGTGACGGCCGAGGTGATGCCCCAGCACGAGCAGACGGAGGAGTACTCGGGAGGGTCGTCGCAGGACGAGGCGTAGGCGGGGATGTCGGTGGGCAGGACGGTCTCAGCGCGGTACTCGAGGGCAGCGGCCTCACGCTTGAACTTGGCGGGCTCGTCGGCGTCGACGGTGACGGTGACGGTGGTGGTCCTGTGGGTTATGCTGTTAGCGTCTTCTTTCAGCCAGCGGCGGGACGGCACGGAGGAGCGTACTCAGCATCGGGCATGACGGTGGCGGTCATGAAGCTGGAGCAGTCGGCCTTGCGGGACTCGATGGGGGTGAGACCGGCACGGGTACCAGTGACCTGACGAGCGCAGTTGTTGGCGTTGCAGCCACGCTTCTCGACAAGGCCAGCCATGGCGGCGGCGACGAAAGACAGGACAACGGCGGCCTTCATCTTGACAGACAGTGTAGGGATCCTTGAAGTTGGATGGAGTGGGAAGCTGGAGGAGTGACTGTGAGATGGTAACAAGGTCGACGAGTGAAGAGGAGGAAGAGGGAAAGGGGGGCTGGAAGGGCTGCAGGCTGCAACGTCGCTACTTATACAACATGGAACGATATTCACCACTGCCCTGCCGTCCAGGAACAGCTGGGAGCAGGATGGGATGGGGTAGCGCTCTCGGCGTCCGTCTGCCATTCACGCAAGAAGGCACGCAGTGCTGGCGAACGCTGCCATTGCCCGTATTAGCCCATTGTACCTCGCGCAGGCCCTGCCGTGCCCGGCCCGCCGGGCAATAAAGATCTCAGCCAAAGCAGCAAACGGTGGTGCGTCCACCTATCATGTTGGCCATTTGCCGCATGAGGCAGGCCAAGGGTCCTGCGCAGGTCGGCGTGGCCAAGAGACGCCGGCTGGGGAGGAGAGGGGGGGGCGACGGGGGGCGTTTTTGCCAGGTCCTCTGCGTCTCTCCAGCGACTGCGCGCAGCGAGCGAGGATCAGAACAGGCGACGGAAGCGAAGTGCAAAGGGGACCGACCGACCGATTGCGACTCGCGAGAAATCCTAGTCCTTACCCCTGTCTATCTGGCGGGGACTTTGGTACGTAGTGGAACCTTGGTCTTGCGCTCCATCCCTGCTGCTTGCAACTCGAATTTAGCCTAGGCCAGAGGAACGATGGACATCCAGGACAACGTGCTCGCCGTGTCGTCGATTGAATGGTCTGCTGGCTGGCTGGCTGGCTGGCTGGCTGGCTGGAGGGGACGTCGATGGTATGGTCGATGGATGCTGGTATTGTGTTGCTTGTGGTCCCCTTTAGAGTGGCTCTGTCAGTCGATAACCTTAATGGGGGTTTGTCTAATCAGGCAGGACCTTGCTCTCCTCGGATTTGGAATGAGGAAAAACGTGGCTGCGGATAGCCTGCTAGCTCCAGTCTCTCGCTGTCCGCCACAGCCCGCAGCGTCTACGGAGTATTATTACAGCAGCATCGGCCCTGGCTGTCTGGCTACCACTATTAGGAGAACCTCCCTTTTGCCTGCAAGGCGGGGAAACAATCGTTCACGGCTCTTGTCAACACGGGAGAAGCTTAATTCCTCAAGACCTCGTTGACTCCCGGCGCCGGTTATTTCGCCCAGGTACAGATATTATTGAAGCCAACAAATTCAGGCGCGATGAACAGCGAGGACCACTGTCTACAGGCTGCTGAGTGGGAACAGTGAGCCCACCCGGCCGAGCTCCCGTGCCCAGAGATCCCATGGCCTTGAGAAATGATAGACAACCTGGTAACGCTTGTCGTTCTTGGCCGCATTGGGCGCCTTGGCTGGCGAGATTAGCCTCTACGTAGAATCCCAGCCCGGCCTTCGCTATGAGGAGCGTCAATGGCTGAATTGATCCGTCCATCAACCCGTCTCGATTGTCGATTCGTGGGGCGAATGGGAACAGTTCATTCACTGCTCGAACCATGGCTGACGAGTGCTCCTGTGCTCGGGCTCGGATTCGAGGTTCTACCAGGACGGACTGTCTATCCAGTGCGCCAGTGGAGCGACAGGCGGGCAAGATCTAGAACAGGCGCTCACCGACTCCACCGCGAACCGCCCAGCGCATCCATCACCAAATCGGGCAGGCTGTAATCGTCGCGGTCCGCCGCCGAGGACGGGCTTATTCTTAATTAATATTTTAGTTGGCTGACCAACAGGTGGTGGGTACCCGAGCGACCGACCAGCTTGCACGTGGCCCTGGGCGACGTCCTCTGGTTCCGCGCGCTGGTGCTGCTGCTCGTGCCCAGAGACGAGGGCCTTTTGCTGGCTAACCACCTGCTCTCTTGGGGGAGTCCTCGCCGCCACTATTTGCGTGTTGCAGGTTGTTCAAGAGCAATGCGGATGGTTCGAATCAGGTGACAATTGCCAGGTCTTCGGTGAGAGCCGTCTTCTCCACGCGATGGATCATTATTAACAGATGTATTGGCGATTTAGAGTTGCACTGCTTGAAGATCCAGCGAGATGCCAGCCCAGGTCCCATTTTGCCGGCGGAAATTGACGACTGCGTCCTAGGCTCTAGTTCTAGCAGGACGCCACACAGACGGCTTCAAGCCTTCAACGAGGAACGGCTCGGGCACTAATTAATTAATTAACTGGACCTCCCGTCTTGCCTGTCGACGACATCTTGCCATGAATGTTGCCAGTACGTAGCGAGAAGTTCCCCTGGGCCTCAACCAGCGGCCCAGCTGCACTCAACTCTAAGCGCTCATCCGCAATTGGCCCTGTCGCCAGCGATCGTCGTCAATACTTGTACCAAGCTCGGGGAAACGCGACGCAACGCATCCGCATCGATTCGCAGGACACCGCCACCCACCACAAGCTCTCCCCCCTCATGCGCGGCGCATCGCAGAGGCGTATTTATCCAGGAACAAACGACAGGCAGAGAGACAATTACCGGCTCCCCCGCACTTTAGACAATGCTGCTGTCGGCTTAATTGCGCCCGATTCCTGATTTCCCCGTGGGGTTTTATCCTTCTTGGACGGCGCGCCCGTCCTCGTCCTTTGTCTTGCCAATTGTCGACGCCGTTCGTGCCAAAGCAAACCGACGACGACAGACCTGTTCAAGTCTTGAGTCCTGACGACCCCAGGGAAACGGGCGGGTGGGTTGCGATGGCTGGGATCGTCCGGCCAAGAAGCCGGATCGGCGGTGATAAGCTCAGGCGCGTCTGACCTTCCAGATCGAGAGAGGCTTTTTGGAACTTGACGAGCAAAGATATAAACCCAGCACACAAACCGCTATCTGGTATCGCCTGGCGGCTGGCGCTCTGGACTACCCCTCGATTGTCGCGTGAGCATTATAAACCATATCTGGTTCCATTGTGCTCTCAATCTTGGGGGACGGACTCTTTGTTCATCTGCTCCGATGTGTCCTCCACCCCTGCCCTTCACTTCCTCATCTTCAAGCTCATCGGTGTCCTTGATCTGACACTCCACTCTTGGGGAAACTTGGAATAAATGTGAGTGGATGCCACATTGGCCACGAGGTGGCTTGACCCCAATGTCATGGCGAGGACGAGCCGAACAAGTGGTCAAGTTCAGCATGGCAGCCCGTCATAACGTGTTCGCCCTGTAAAGAGCATGCGGCCAGAGCTGTAGTCTCCGAGACTACTTGCTGGCAATCGATCACTGCCACAGAGGTCCAAGGGACTACTGGTTAGAATGCATTTCTCGGGGCCCAGGAGGATAGTTGCCATCCTGGTCGGACCGACGAGATACAACAGTCTGGGGTCAGACTATCTGTCGTCCGGGGTTGGGGATCCCCAAGATTCCAAAATTCTCTTTGCGATCTGATGGCTGGCCGTGGAAAGCCTGTATGACCATGCCAATTGTCAAAAGAGAAGCAGGAGGAATACGTAGATGTGGTCGATTTACGGACAGTCGACCCGATGTGCAGAAGTCAGGACAGCTTCTCATCTTCATCATCCTTCGTTCACATAATTAAGGTGTGTTCAATTGATCGCTTGACGAGCGTAAAAGAAAGCACGACAGAGCCAAGACGGCGATGGTCGAACAATCGGTCCTTTAGATTGGCGCTTGTTTGTCCTGAGATCGGATGCGAGGTAGTCCTTGTTGTCAGCTGAGCTCGTACCGAGCTTGCACGCCTTGCACGTATCCTTGACCACTGTCGCAAGCCAAATGTATGGAAATTCCGGGGTTGAATCAGGTTGATCAAGCGCACTGAGCAGCAATGCATCAGGTAGTAATAATAATTAGTGAGTTGGGTTTGTGTTTTAGTCGAGTGGTGAGCGGAAGGTCATACCTAATAAATCAGGCATAAGGGACCCAGGATCCAGTCGCTCTGTAAAGTAGTTCTTGCCGTAGTTTTTGCCTTGCCTTCTTCTCCCATCAGTCTCACATCGTCAGCTGAGCACATCCATCTCCCCAGCCAGCTTCAAATGAAGGCCAATGGAGCGACACAGTCCGCCCTTTAGTCCTGTGGTGTTTTATTGAAAGTGCATCAGCACGCCGCGGCCAGTAGGAATGCATATGCAAACACGCGCTTCCCCCGCAACGAGAATCGAGACGCCCGCCGCCCATCTTCCGCCATTCTGATCAAGCAAGCGACGGGCCCTTTCAGAAGCGAACCTCATTAAATCAGGGCTGGGCAAGCACTTGTGGTACCAGCTCTGATTCGGTCCAAGAGACTGTTCTCCTGTCTCAGCGTGTGGCACTTAGCTCACCTTGCGGCCCGAGCCTTGCCACCACAATCTATCTCTATTGTCTATTGATAGATATAGCAGAGCCTCTGCACATAATGGCAGTGCCGGCTGGGTCGTGCTTACTGCTGGCAGACGGCGACATTTGTTTCTGAGACATACCAGTGCCAGCGCGATGTTGCTACGTACCTGACGATGGATATATCGGTGGTTGACCATCTGCTGCGCCCCGCCCAGAAAGTCTGACATGGTCGCATCAAGCATGTTGCTGATGCGTGGGAAAAGCAGCCCGTCCTGCACGACGCACGCATCATGGCCCCCAGGCGCTCACCTGCGCTCATGCTGACAAGTGGTGGTCTGTGTGCTGGCGAGGCCGTGTCAACTATTTTCCCATCACCTGGCGTGAATCTCCATCATGCTCGTTCGTGACACATAGACTAGCTGTCCAGCTGGCGACAAGAAACTCGAAAGTCAAACCAAACAGCTCCCATCAAGAGGTTAGCCTTAAGTCGAGTTGCGGTACACTGCAGCTAGCCATCCATTCAGCTCAGCAGCATCTTGACGGGAACCCCTCTTTGGCACATTGCGATCGCGAAAAGTCGCGGCTTCCTGCATCTCCCAGCTGTCGACACTTCCGATACGACGACAAGGAAACCGAACACAGCCGACACGAACAATGAGGCTAATAGGGGGCTTCATCGTTGCCCTCACATGTAGCTTGGGCACGACATCGGCCGCCGAGATTAGACATCTCGACGGCATCCACCGTGTCGAGAAGAAGGCGGAAATCACAGCACGAGCACACCTCCCCTCCGCCGATGCTGTCATCGACAAGCGTGCTAAAGACAATGGCGAAGCTGTCTGCGGAACAAGCATGAAGCTGTGCCCCGAGGCCTTGAAAGGCGGCTGTTGTCCAGAGGACTACTCGTGCGGCGTGTCGAGCTGCTATGTCACGACCAAGGGGCCTTCGACATGCGGCACGCTGGTGGGATGGTATGCTTGCGACCAGGTCTACGGTGGAGGGTGCTGTCCTGACGGGTACCTCTGTCAGACGGCGGACAATTGCATTCCGCCGTCCGGGTCGGCATATACTCTGGGCTGTCCCGCGAGCCACTACTTGTGCCCGGAGAGTATGAGCTACGGGTGTTGTCCTGATGGTATGGGCTGCGCCGTCAACCAATGCTACTCGACCGAGTCGACCACGGTCACAGAGGTAGTCACAGTGACGACAACGGAGGATGGGGAGAGACGGGTGTTCACGACGCGACAGACAACGGTGGAGACCCCAACGGTCCCAACGAGGTTGCCCGAGGTGGACGCCGGCGATGGCGGCGAGCAGTTCATCCTCAAGGTCTTCCCATCTGTCATCGCCAAGCAGACGGCCGCACCGCATGAAGACGACAACGACAGTGATGACAATAGCGGTGGCGGCCTCACGCAAGGCCAGCTCGCCGGCATTGTGACAGGCGCCGTCGTCTTCCTCATCGTCGTCATCGTCGTCATCGTCGTCGCCTTCATCATCATCCGTCACCTCAACAAGGTGGTCGCGGCCGTCGCATCCTCCGGCTCCCACCCATCCAACCCACGACCCGTGATGAAGCAGTTCCGCCCGACCGACTCGGAGATTGACGCCCTCAGCGTCGATCCGCTCATACTGTCCCCCCGCGTCGCCGCCGCCAAGAACGCAGCCACCTCCTGGTCGCCGGACGCGCTGAGCTCCACGGACCTGACTCCCAGCTCCTTCAACGGCGCCTACGTGCCCGTGAGCACGAGCCAGAGCCGGCACACGAGCTTTGATAGCCAGGGCAACGTGAGCTCGTACTTTGACACCATCCCAGGCAGGAATACGCGGTTCAGCACGCAGACTTGGAATCCGCAGCAGCCCGCGGGCGCAAAGGCTCCATTGTCGAGCAGGAATAGGGCCAGTGGCGATTCCTCGGGGACGTATTCGCATGTGCGGCACTGGTCCAATGCTTCCGAGGAGGAGGACGTGTCCGATGCGCGCAACGTCTACGCAATGGCGGGAACATCAGGGGTACCAGCAGCACCGGCGCCGCCGTCACTGCTCACCGAGCTCGAGGCCAAATCAGTGGTGCCCGAGCTCGTGGGCTCCCCAACAGGAGAATACAGGCGACGCAGCAGTGGGAGCAACGTGTCCATCTCGGGCATGCTGTCCCGACACTCCTCGTCGAATCATCAGCAGCTCCGCAGTGAAAGCACGGCTGTCACGACAGCGACGGGAGGTCTGGACGTCGTGGATGAGGAGAATAATTCGCCGACGAACAGTGCGCGACAGCAGCAGCCACAGGAGCAGGCTGTGCACGAAGTTCGACGGCCAGGGTCAGCGGCAAGCTGGCAGCAGGGCGACGATCAGGGCCATGCGCGGTCCGGCTAACTATCACGGCGGGAGGAGAGAGTGTAGTATGGCAAGCCGGAGTTTTGGATCAGATACCCCTAGTCTTTGTTTGGGGTTGGGCAGCATACGCAACACACACACGGCGTTGGGCATTGGTCGCTGGTTCACGCAGGATTCATTCAGGATGGTGCTTGCAAACAGTTTCTGTATCATTTGAAAGGCAACTAACTATCTGAATGGCTAGTTTTACCGTCGCTTCTAGCAGGATGCGAATTTTGTGAATCTCGCTGTCACGTAGTCAGTCGTGTCTCACTCCACAAGGATGAGCGCCTCCGTTTTGCTGCCGCCGACATTAGACTGCATCCTCCAAACAGAACTGATCGCTATCTCCGCTGTTGGCAGAGAGCGCGGCGCGTGTTGGGTACTGTTCCCGCTCGTGATGATGGCCTCCCGGTAGGCGTGCACGGGTGCACAACGGGAGGCGCAACGTGTGCCTAGCAAAAGCCATGGACTAGATCTCCTCTCTAGAGTCAAGACGCATACGCAACGCGGCGCACGATCAGTCTCGACTCCTCCATTAAGCCAGCCCCCTCAGCCAAACACAATCGCCATGCCCATGTCGCGGCTCACCCGCCTCCACAGGTCGCCGCCGCGCTTCTCCTTCATCATCTCCTCCTGCTGCAGTATGATGGCCTCTATCTCCTGCTCGTCCGCGCGCCGCCAGACCTCCTGGACAATGCACCAGGCCCGCTGAATGTTCGTCATGCCCTGGACCCTGTCAATCGCGGTAAAGGTCTGTCGAGCAAGATCCCGATCGTCGGGGTCTGTGGCCTCGCAGGCTGCGACGAAGAGTGGCCACAGCAGCGCGCTCATGGGGCCGTCGCCCGTGACCGTGCCGATACAGTGCGTCAAACTCAGGTGGGCGTGGTGCTGCACGAGGGCGTGGGAGCGGGGGTGCTCGTAAATGGTGCGGTAGAGGTAGACAAAGGCCGAGTGACGGTAGGCGAGGGCGTTGTTGAGGATGCTCTGCAGACGGGCCCTTTCAGAGGGGGAGTTGGACTCGGGCGGAGGCGCGGGCTGCCAGTGCTTGAGGGCGACCTGGATGGCGGAGCCTGTTGTCTCGAGCTCGGTGCGGAGGACGGCCGCCTTGGACAGTTGGCCTTGGGCCTGCGCGGCGTCGAGCTCGTCCTTGAGGCTGCCGAGGTTGGAGAGGCGATGGATGATGGGCCAGAGCGTCGTGGCCATGCCGAGCAGGGTGTCGACGGAGCCGACGGGGCTCGTTGCGCCGTTGGAGTCGAGAGGGGGCAAGGGGGACAGGGACCCGCGACCCGGTGCCGTGGATAGGGGCGCTGTGCCAAAGGACAGGGCGGCAATGACGTCGTAGAACTTGAACGCCCTCTCTAGGAAGACGCCTGTTGGGTCGGTGCTGGCCTCGCGGTTGTTGATGATGGTCATGGCGCCCTTGAGGTGGCCGTCCACAATGTTCGATCTCTCCTTCTGGACGAGCTGTGAATGTCAGTCGGAATTCCATCGCCGCACGGCGTGTCTTTGAGAGAAGCACTCACAACTTCATAGTAGACAAGGAGCATGATGGCCGCCAGCAGCTCATTCTTGTTCTTACCACCCCCGTTCTCAATCAACCGCGCCAGCTCCTGGATGGCCCTCCCGTGGAAATAGGCACTCCTCTCCTCGTTCGCCACGCCCCTGAACTCTAAATGTGCACTCGCCAGGGCATATATCGCGTCCATCACCGCCGGGCTGCCGTGGCTGAGGGGCAGAACAAGCTGCTGGAAGGGGTTCCCATTCTCCTCTCTGAAAACGATCAGGTGCGAGAGGACGTTGCAGAAGTGATCCACCAGCTGGCGTCGGTTCTTGCGCTGAGAAAAGTCGGCAAAGGGGGCGCAGAATTCAAGACGAGGCGAGGGATACGGATCCCGCTGGTGCCTGTTCGTCGGAGTCATGGTAGTGGGAAAGGAGTGTCGCCGCACGATTTCCTCCACGTCCTCGTCGTCAAACGTCGCGGTCGTCATGGGCGAGAAGACGGCGGTATCCGTCGGGGTCCATGGGAAGATGCCCAGCGAGCTCAGGCTCGTCTCGTCCGCCGCCTCGGCCTCCCACTTTGGCAACTCCGGCGGGGACTGTTGCCATGGGGTCAAGGCCAAGTCATTCTGCGACAGCTCGTCGCATGCCGTGTCAATCGACAGTGTCTGCTCGCGCTTCCTTCGCTGACGCGGGCGGACTGGTTCGTAGACGCATGCCTCGCCGCGTTCGTCGCAGCGTGAGCAATTCGGTCGGATCTCGTCACACTTCTTCTTTTTCTCTTTGCAATAGTTACATCCTGGAGTAGTGTTACTCTTTGCTGCTGCCTGGGACTCGATTGTGCGTGTTGGGGGCTTGTGAAGAAAATTGGGGGTTGCCGAGGGAAAGAGTGGTGGGGGGTTGTTCCTTCCCGAGCAACAAACGTACCTGCTCGTGAGCGTTTCTTGGGCACCTTGGGGGGCGCAACGCGTGTGTAGAGCAACATGATGTGGTCGCTGGGCGCCCGTGGTGGTTTCTCTCGTTTAACGTGGCCAGGCTTGTCTTGTTTGGTGTCTCGAGTCGTCTTGGCCTTAGCCGAATGGCGGTATTTGATTGGTATCGTCGAGGTCGCGAGTCGGTCGATCAGTCGGTGCAGGCCTGTCGCGGTGTAGAGGAAGAGATGATGATGCCAATATGGTAAATCCAAGATGATGTGAGACGTGGAACAAAATGAGAAGGCCCTTTCGATGAAAACGGCGGTCGAGTCCCCTTTGGTCGTTGGCTCCGAATATACATCAAACGGGCAGCCATGGGGGGGGAGGGGGCGTCATGCCTTGACCTCCAGTCTCCGTCTCCAGGTTCCAGTCCCATTTCCCCATCCCATGAGCCCATCGTGACCCTCCCAGTCCTTCTGCCTCTCCACTGCCCTAATGCTTGAGCCCCAGTCGCTAGGCTAGTCTAGCCCAAACAGCGCTCCAGTCCAGTCTCTGTGCCGACACGAGACCACAGGTTAGGACACCAAGGACCGGCAATCGCGTAGACGGCGGGCCTGGACGAGCGTCCATTCGTTCCCCAAGTCAGCCGTAAGATCGCCACGCCCCAGCTTCTCTGACTCGCGAATCGAAGCGTTCGCGCAGGTTCTCCTCCCCAGCTTAGCCTAGTCTAGTAGATATTGCGGGGTCAGTCCTGTAACGATTAAGCCACGGCGAACGTGAACCTGCAATAGAAAACTCTCCGTATTAATTAGTCTAGTCTAGTGGCTTCAGCGGAAAATTGCTGGAACTTTGGGTCGTCTTCTAGCACGCTTCAGCGCGCACATGGCCTCCAATGCCTACAAGCGCGCCAATCAGAGCCCGCGAGCAAAGCTGGGGATGACATCAAATTAGGCCATCGGTATGCAAGAATCTTGTGATTCCGTCCCTTGGTCTCCTACGCCCCAAATTTGGCGGCGCGTACCTTTCACTGATGCTGAACATCTGCACCAAATTCAGGAACCATGTGACGGTTCGGGCATGATCGTCGACCTGTGCTCAGCCGCCTGTTTAGACCATTTTCAGGGTCTCGGAGTTATCGAAGCTTTTGGCCGCCAGATCAAATGCAATGAGCGACGAACAGTCTGACACTGACAGATGGGTCGAAGGCGGTGGATGCGCGCCTGGCAGGCAGTGGCTTGCCGCTCCCTACCTTGGGGCCTGGGCGCACGCAGCCATCGGGAAATGTTCCGACGGTCGACAAGCCTCGGCTCACGATCGTGACTCGACTCAAACTCAACGGTCCTGTACAACTTTCTGCATGAGACCTGGGGCAATTAACGCACGTCGCAGCATGCCCCACACGCTGGATGCTGCACATGTGCTTATGCTTCTCTGTGCTATAATAGTTCGCACGCACCGCTCGTTCGGTCATCCAAATGATACCGGCACCGCCATCATCCATGCGGCCGCACGCTCCTGTTTTCCCTGTTTCGCCATGCAGGTCTCGCCGACTCGGCTAGACAACCTTGCTGGAAAACCTGGGGAAAGTGGGGATCCCCAGCTCCGTCTGTTTCTGCGATTGCGGGCGGCAGGTGTCAAGCTGCTCAAGCACGGTCTAGATTTCTTGGTATGCGGTGTGATGATGTCAAGCACCGAGAACGACGTAGAGGTGCTGTTTTTCTCGTTGAGGGCCTCGGCGACCGTGGTCTACATGTATCTCGCTCCCTCGAGACGTATGCTGTTTAACGACTTGCTTTCTCGTTAATTTTGGCTGAGCTGGTATCAATATGTTGTCCATGCGCTGGACTAAAAGAATAAAAAAGGATGATCTGATCCACGCTGTGGCCGCAAAGAAAAGGGCCGTCAAGTACTACCATGTGGCAGGGACATGTCCATTGCATACAAGTACGTACGTTATCGTACGTACGTAATGGACATGATGACGCCGCTGTCCCGGGTAGTCGGGTGCGACCATCTCCAGACGAGCGGAACTAGCGTCTAACTGCACTTTGTTCGAGCTGGTGATCGCATGGCAAATGAAGGGCTACCATCTTGAGTCCTGCCAAATACAAGTCTAGCCGACTGCTGGGGGTGCAACACGGTCGTAGGTGAGTACAAGCTGTACTAATGATTGTGTAAGCGCAGCCCTGCCTGCAAATCCTGACGTGTCCGGGTAATTAAAACACAAGAAGCAATGATTGATGAGAAAGTGTGATTTGGCGACTCAGAAAGAAGAAGCCAGCCCAATCGACTGTGAAAGAGACCAACGCAATTACAAGCTCGAGCCGGACAACATGGACCAACAAGTCCTGAGCTACTAGTCCAGCAATTATTGACAGATGGTGATGGCTGGGCAATGTGCGCCCGGACGCAATGGAGCATGATGTGGGCGGCGACCGGACCGGCCCCCCAATCTCCATTCGCTGTTGGTCCTCCCTCGAGTCCCTTTGCCTCTCCGGCTTTTTGCGCCACCCACCTCCACTGCCTCCAGTCGAGTTGCGTGCGACCACCGCCTGGCCTTTGTTGTCAGCATCCCAGGTGTTTGGGGGGACCCTCAGCTGTGTTCTCGGTCAATGTAGTTCCTTCGCAACCACTCGCTCGAAGAGTGCTTTCAAACGTTGCTCTCATATTAGATCGACGACGGCGCATTCCATCCGTGGTCTCGAGCGACATAGCAGCCAGCCCTTGCTTGACGGTCTGAACGCCCAACCCACCCCACACACGCCATTGCCTTGCCTCCCGTAATAAACAACCTACCTTGGGAGGTACTCCAAACTTGACTCGCGGACAATCCGAGGCCATGATCAAGTCATGGCTACATCGAACCTACACGCAGACAAGTCCGACAACCTCAGCCCCAGCGCGCCGCCCCTGCCGAAACAAATCCGCTTCGTCAACACCCAGGGCCAGCCGGCCAACAAGCGCAGGCGCATCAACGCCGCCTGCCGCACCTGCCACCGCCGCAAGACGAGATGCCTTGGCGAACGACCGACCTGCTCGACATGCGCCAAGTCAGGACACAAATGCCAGGGCTACCCAGAAGAGGGCAAGGCGCCCGATTTCAAGGGCGACTTGAGCGATGAAGACGCAGAAGAAGGTGGCAAGGCCGATGTCAAGGTCGTGAAAAAGGCAAAGGGCGCGATCGCCACCAGGGCAGCCGCCTCGACCACGACGCCCACGACGACGGCGGCCAAGAGCAGCAGGTCATCGACAGCAGCATCAGCAGCCTCCAGATCCAGCCAGAAACCAGCTGTTGCAAAACCAGCCCCCGTTCCAAGTGCGACCGTCGCGTCCGACGCCAACGCGAAACCTGACCGCCCAACAACCACCCATCGTGCCAACGTCAGCGTCAATGTCAACAGCAACGGGCTCACCTCCCCAGCTCCAAAGGGGCTGACGAGTCCCAATACAACGGGGCGAGCCCAGACTGTCCTGTCGCACACGCCCGACCCCGACTCGCCCACCATGCGGCGCAATCCGCAGGCCAACAGCCATCGCGTGCCGTACTTTCGCTACTTTGGTCCCACAGCTATCGTACCCGGGTTCAAGCAGATGGTGGTCTCTGTCAAGGACCGGCGCCGCTCTACAAACGGATCGCATTCCATCAGCTCGCCATTATCGCAACCTAGCGGCATCCTGGGAAGCGCCGTCGCCGACAGCGATGTCATCGTCGAAGATGCACCGGTGTACGACCCCAACGACCCAGCCCCCGTGCACGCCCTCATACTCAACCTGACCAAGCTCTTCTTTGTCCACCTCGGATGCAATTATCCATTCTTAAAACAGAGCAAATTCCTCAACCTGGTCAAGGACAAGAGGGCCGAGCCCATCCTCGTGGACGCGGTGTGTGCCTTGGCTGCTAGGTTCTCGGATTCACCTATCTTGACAGGCGGGAATGACAAGATGCCTCGAACCGAGAGAGGACACGTCTTTGCTCAGCGAGCCAAGCAAGCCACCGTGGACACCTTCCCTTGTCCGACGGTGGCGGCCGTGCAGGCCTGCCTGCTCATGGCTTACGAAGGGTTCGGTGCGAACCAGGATAGCGCGCTATGGATGTATCTCGGGCTCGCCATCCGGATGGCTGTAGATCTGGGCCTGCAGAAACGGATAGGAATCCTCTACCAAGGCGAGAATGACCCGTGGAACGTGCAGCGGAGGGCTACCGAGTCGGCAAGCCCCGAGCTCACCATGGCGCAACCTGACACGCCGTCGCACGAGGAGCAGCGCGAGCTGGAACAGGAGCGCATCGACACATTCTGGGCCGTCTTCTTTCTGGACCGCGTCATCTCCTCCGGCACGGGACGGCCCGTCACTCTGCGGGATGAAGACTTCGAGCTCGCCTTCCCCAAGCTGAAGCTACATCCCGATGTCCGGTGGCCCAGTCCGTTTCCGACGCTGATTGAGATTGTTCACCTCTACGGCCGGGTGTCCGACGTCTTGAACAACATCCATGACGCGTCCGATCTGACGCAAGACAAGTGGCAGAAGCTCATGGCCATGGAGAGCCGGCTCACCAAGGTGTACAAGGGCTGGGACGCGCGGCTGCAGTTCAACGTGGGCAACTTCAAGGCATACCTGGGCATCGGGCAAGGCACGACGTTCATCCTGCTGCATTTCTGGTTTCACGCCCTGTTCATCATCCTGCATCAGCCGACCCTGCTCACGCCCTTTGGCGAACTGCGGAGCGAGCTGCAGCTTCTGCGAGATAGCCGCGAGCTCAGCATGAGCAGCGCCAAGACGATCTGTGACATTTTGTCTTTTGCCGACTTAATCGACCCAAAGAGCTTCATCGGGAACCCATTCACAAGCCAGCCCATGTACATAGCCGCCTGCGCGTTCCTCATGGAATCGAGCGCCACCGCATCACAAGCACCATCGCCCGTGCGGGAGTCGTCACCGCCTGAGCCTGCGCAGGCGCCGCCGTCGGGCAAGACGCAACGACAGCACAGCCGCGACAATGGCAAAAAGTCGAGACATTCCCTCCTGGCGTCGGCAGCGAACCAGAACTACCAGCGATGCTACCAGTCCCTCGAGAACCTGCACACGTACTGGGGCGGTGTCAAGTACATACTCACGGCGCTCGACCAGAAAGCCAAGGGGATATGGGACTGCGAGACCTACACCACGGAGGAGTTTGAGAGCACGAAACCAAAACAAGGGGGCTTTGAGGTTGGGCAACTCCCGTTCGAGGACCCGTCCTCCCCTAGTCGAACGGGCCCGCCCATTGGGTGGGCGCTGGCTGGCACGGCCAACTCGCCCAACTCAAGCTTGACGCTGATGTATCAGAACACTCATCCGCACTCGGGCGCGTTGGAAGATGGGCGTTCCGGGGCCATGTACCCGCCCGCCATACCTCAGAGCACAACGTCCGCGGTACGGTCATCGCCTCGAAATCACCCTTCGTCCATGCGACAGTCGAATCTGCATACCCTTCTGGAGGCCGCGCACACTACCGCATACATTGGACCCAATCAACCGTCCAGCTCCTTTGAGTATGGTGCCTCGCCCTCGGTGGCCGATGTCGCCGCCCGCCAGGCGTATTACCAAGACGCTGCGACGCATACTAGTCATAATCACGGCAGCAGCGGCAGCAGCAGCAACAATGTGTACTGGGGTGGCGCATCGGGAAACATGGACGCCATCACCTTTAACAGCCAGGACATTGACATTGGCGCCCTGGGCCTGCAGCAGCCCGACCTGATGGGGGGATGGCTGGACTATATCCCCGGGGATGTGCTCGGGCTATTCGATAACCAGGATATGGAGCATGGACCGGCTCCCTGAAGCTTTGATGTTTAACGAGTTTGACTGTGTCGCACTGCATGGCGTTTGGGACGGTAAAAGATATACAAGCCGGGAACACGGAATGCTTGGTTGGAAAGAAACGGCGTATCAAATAGACCGCGCATGACGGAGCTGGAACTACACATATAGGAGGAACCAGCACTTATAATCAAAGACATGACTTGACATTGCTGACTTTTTCGAGCTTTCTTCCTACTCTACTCGCTACTGCTGCATACTCCGCCCCATCTGCCTCGAGTGCTGTAGCATGACGGCGTCGGCCACGGTCAACGCAGCCATGGCCTCGACGATGGGCACGGCCCTGGGCACGACGCACGGGTCATGTCGCCCCTTGGCGGCCAGCACACCCTCGCCCGTCCCGTCGTACTTGGCCGTCGTCTGGTCTTGCGAGATGGTAGCCGGGGGCTTGAAGGCGACGCGGAAGACAATGGGCATGCCGTTGGAGATGCCGCCCTGAATACCACCCGAGTGGTTCGTCCTGGTCTGGAGCTTGGACTTGGGCAACCCGCCGGTTAACCGCGACGTCTCCTCGGCCGAGAGCGTCTCGGGGACGAAGAAGGGATCATTGTGGACGGAGCCCTTCATGGCGGCGCCGGCGAAGCCCGAGCCAATCTCGAAGCCCTTGACGGCGGGGATGGACATGATGGCGTGGGCGAGGGTGGCCTCGAGCTTGTCGAAACAGGGCTCGCCCAGGCCGCTCGGGGCGTTGCGGATGATGCAGGTGACGGTGCCGCCGGTCGAGTCGTGGGCGTCGCGCAGCTCGGCGATGCGGTCCTCCATCTTGCGGGCGATGTCTGGGTGGGGGCAGCGGACGGGGAGGAACTCGTCGACGCGGTCACGGGTCAGGGTGGGCTCGAGGGCGAGGAAGGAGGGGTCGGAGGAGAGGGCGTCGGCGGGGGAGTCAAAGAGGTTGATGTTGCCGACGGAGGAGACAAAGGCGACAATCTCGACGCCGTAGGTCTGGCGGAGCCACTTCTCGGCCACGGTGCCGGCGGCGACGCGGGCAATGGTCTCGCGGGCGGAGCTGCGGCCGCCGCCCGAGCTGGCCTTGATGCCGTACTTTTCGAGGTAGGTCCAGTCGGCGTGGCTGGGGCGGGGGAAGAGGTCGATGGTCTTGTCACCGTAGTCCTTGGGGCGCTGGTCCTCGTTGGGCACGGTGAGGAGGATCGGGGTGCCGAGCGTGCGGCCGTTCTCGGTACCCGAGTGAATGGTCACGCGGTCCTTCTCATCGCGGGGTGTTGTGATGCTCGACTGCCCGGGGCGGCGGCGGTTGAGCTGGGGCTGGATGTCCTCCTCGACGAGGGGCAGGTTGGGCGGGCAGTTTTCGATGATGACCGACACGGACTTGCCGTGAGACTCGCCGGCCCTGGGGTGGTCAGTGATCAATGATTCGGGATCTGGTCAGAGTAGAACTCACGTGGTGACCTTGAAGATGTGGCCAAAAGACGACATGGCGGCGATTGGCGCGGGGATGACTGTTGCAAAGGTGAGGAAAGTGATGATGCCGATGTCGCGCGAGAATTTTGGTGGGGGAGGGGCACCACTTAATGTACGGCACTTACTCCTTCTGGTGAGGCAACTTGCAGGGTAAACATATAGCCACGAGCATCTGGGGACAATCTATCTGACTACTTACGTATACATGATACTTATACATGGATCTACTGTATGAGCACGCTCAGCATGGTCCTTGGAGCGAGCAGCCATAATTGATCCTCCTTCGCCGTCAGAGAACAACCCGACGTAGGGTCTGCGCTTCGGCGGGCGGAAGACGCAGACAGCGACCACGTACCTTAGTTTAATTAATGCCAAAATAGTCGCCTCGGCTCCCGGAGCAGGGATTCAAAAGCTCACTTGCCCGAATTTATCGGAACAATTGATGTTGATTGACGTCAAGAGTTAAGCTTCCCAGCATGAGATACTACCAGGTAAGATGCGCCGGGTGTGGCTCTGCACTTCAATGTGTGGCTGAAACAAACTGTGGCTGACGATGCAAGGCTGAGACTCAAATTTCCGATTCATGTTCTCAAGATCACAAACAACTCAGTGTATTATCTATCCCACTTCGCCAGAGGATCCGTCATTCGTTAGCGTTCTGTTGTATCTGTACTCATAATTGTAATAATGTTTGCGTTCTCAACTCGCGCCTCTCGCACGCTTCGCTATGCTGGCCTCTCCATCAAGCGCACCATCTTCACCTCAGCAACACCATCCTCGCCCTCAAGCAAAGTGCAGATATACACTCTCTTGTCCCCATCTGCAACATACAACCTATCAGTGGAGAACCACCTCATGAAGACGACGCCCCCCGACTCGACCATCCTGATCCTCTTCATCAATCGACCTAGCATCGTCATTGGCCGGAATCAGAATCCCTGGCTGGAGACCAACCTCAACGAACTGCACCACGCCCCAAGCAATGTCCAGCTGGTTAGAAGACGGAGTGGAGGTGGTGCCGTATTCCACGACCTAGGCAACGTGAATTGGAGCGTCATACACCCACCCAAGCACTTTGACCGGAACAAGCACGCAGAGATGGTGGTGCGGGCGCTGCACGCCCTGGGGAAGACATCGGCTCGGGTCAACGAGCGACATGATATTGTCATTGATGCACCCCACCACAGCCAGAACAAGACATTCAAGATCTCCGGGAGTGCCTACAAGCTCACGCGCCTGCGCGCCATCCATCACGGGACCTGCCTGGTCAACTCACCCCACCTCGCGCGGATTGGACCTTTCCTGCGCTCACCAGCGGAAAAGTACATTCAAGCACTTGGCTCTGCCAGCGTGCGGAGCCCAATCACCAATGTTGATGTCTCCATCGAGCCATTTCTCGCGGCGGTCAAAGATGAGTTTACCAAGATGTACGGTCTGCCGGATGTCGCCTTTACGGACCGAGCCGAAGAGGGAATGGCCGTGGCAGAGGTACAGAAATCATGGGAAGAGCTAGAGTCGCCTGAATGGACTTTTGGTCAGACACCCAAGTTTACTTTCTCGACACATCCCACGGAGAACGACCCCCGGCCCAGGGATGGCGTGCCAGGCAACACGAAGATATGGTTCATGGCGAATAAGGGCGTCATTGAGCAGTTTGAGATGGACGATGTGGAGCAAGCAGCGTTCAAGGGGATCAGACTCTACGAACCCTCGCGTTCTTCGTGGGCAGAGAGGCTTCATCAGGCTGGCCTAGACGCGCTAGAGGCGCATGTCACGGGCGACTGGCTCAAGAGCATGTTGGGAGGTGGCGTCTTTGAGAGGCTGAGCCCACCAAAATCCGAACATTCGCCTTGACCTGACAGAGCACGACACAAGGAAATCAACGAGCCCGAGCCACTAGTCTTGTAGTTCAGCTGATCATTATCGCTACATGTACTTGGTTGCGCAGACAATGCGTCCTGAGCGAGGCATGGAAAGGGTGGCTGAGGCCTGGGCACAGTGCGGTGCAACCTGGTCTCACTTGAGGTGTGCCATTTGAGACAAAGCCCCTTTTCGAGAAGTGGTGGCATGCAGCCACCTGATAGGTCAGCCTTTTCTGCGGGAGGCGTGTTGGAGGAGAGGCAGGCTGAGTGTCTCTGCACAAGGAATGGGTGTACAATCGTCTCTGCACTCGTTCACAGCTGATGACCAGTGGACTTGTGGTCGGCCACTTGTGAGTTGCCCTTGTGGGTGGACAACTGCAACAGAGCTTGTCAAAGCTACGATAGGGGTCCGTCTGGCTGGATGTTGTGGCTAGACACACAATGGCCATGCTGAATACCATTGCGATCCATGAACAGCTTGGCTCCGCAAAGACCGGGAAGGTTCTCTCAATGTATCCTTAAAATTGAGAATCCGTATCGACCGATCACTTCTTCGGACGACGGGGTTGACGACGTCTCTTCAATACGTGCAGCAACTTCTACAATTCCCACCCCAAAGATCGTCTTTTCTCTCATCTAGTCAGATGTCTAGTCTTCGCACAGTCCCTCGGAAGTAACCGATCCTGAACAAAGCCACTGGCCAAGTCCTTGTATTATCATACCCATCAAGCCACCCTCTAGGCAATGCCTCCAAATTGTCCGACGACGCGGATTCCGCCGCCAGAAAGCCAGAACGTTGTCTGCGAAAAGTCAACGGTGAAGCGCGCCATCCTCGAGCCACGCTACTAGGACAAGGTTCAGAACATCAGGTGTAGCAGCCTATACTCGCACTACGCACGTAGTATATACACACGAATAGTTTCCCACTAGACGCGTATCCCAGGTTCACACAGCTTCAGATAGGCTTGTCGAATCCCTTCGGCGAGCAGCTTCTTTTGCTTTCTTGGGATTATTTCTGGCATATGGGCGACGTGGACCACATCACCCTCTTACACTATGCAAAGAGCGCACTTGCGCTTCAAGTTACTCGCCTGCGCCGCAAACATGGTGGCACAATTTGTGAGGAGAATGGATCCTATGCAAAGGCATTGTATGCCAAGGCAATGTTGTTCCCAGGAAGCCATCGTGGTGATCGCTAGAGCAAGGTCATATGAGCTACTCGTCGTGACTCTTGTGCCAGAGGTGTACGGCAAGTAGGTTTGTATCGAACATAGTCGGGCTCCTCGAATATTGACGCATACGCGCGACCATATTGTCTTGCTGTATTTTCTAAGGTTTAAACCACGGAGACAAGCTACTAGTTACCATGGCCCTTGGCGACTGCCACCCAAAGGCCACTGACATACAGATAGTGCTGGCTGACTACCTGGGAAGCATGTGCAAAAGATAACCACGAGAATAAAAATGAAACCCGAGGACTTGCGGTAGATTGCGAGACGCTCGCGTGCCGACTTTCATGGCTAAAGGACCTCTGTGATATCGCGCCTTGTCGAGATATTTAACTTCAGTACTAGTCCAATAGTTTTCCAGCGCACAAAAATAGCGCCATAGCGCAAGCCAGGCAGAGAACAGCGAAACTTTGAAAACGCTAACTTTGATTTCAGTTGCCTGTATCTCATCGCTCATCAAATGTCGTACGTATGTGCCTTGGGTTTTGAAGCATGGGAACCCAACTCCTGAAGTTCTGACGGGGATACGTACGCTGCGCGTCGACAGAACAGGCTGCGGAGGACATATTAAGCCCCAGAACTGTGCAGCTGCAGTGAAATCAAGCCAATCAGAGAAGCTGCCGTGCCACACAAAACCACAGCTTGACCCGCCACCTTCCGTCAATCAACCCGTCACCTCGTAGCTGACTGGCGGCTGGACTGGACTGGACGTTGATAATTGATAATGGCTTATCGGCCATTGTTCGATAATGCCGCAGCATGAATACCCAAGGCTAGATGGTTGGGAACCTCAGGTACGCTTAAAGAGCTCTTGTGAGCGGTTCAACAATATGCACGGCACGAATCAAGTGGTCTTCCGACGACAAATGTCTCATGCACCGAGCAGACGTCCATCAACGATTCAACAGTCTAATTATTTACTACACGCAGATAGCTGCACGAGTTCATGTCTACGTGCTTGTCGCTGTTGGAGATCCACTCCAATGCAGCGACGGTCGATGTTGAGACAAAGCAGGCGCGCGATTGGCTTTAGGGATCTGCAGCGGAGCCCGAACACAGTGTCAGCACTGTCCATTCGCTCGCCTGGGCCTTCAATCCACTGCTGGGCTGCGCAGCCGGCCAAGCCAAGCCAGCCAAGCGCCTGGCGCCAAGACACGGTCCACCATCACTTATCCGTTGCGTCGCAATGACGCTATCGCTGCTGCACTGCACAGGCAAGGTCCAGTCGAGACTGTACCGCGGTGGCTTGCAAGCATCGTCGACACATGAGCTGATGTAGGCGAGCGGATATCATGCACGTCGATTGAGCTCAAGGCGTTTGTTGTCGGGCAGCTGTTCAAAGTTCTCTTGGGACAATTAAATACTTGTACTGAACAGACTGGCTGGACCAGTCTAGGTCTCCACTGGCAGTCGTCCCGCATGCTGGGGTGAGAGGCAGGTACCGCTGCCGAGCCTGGACCTGCCCGCCAGGTCTACTCGCTCATTGGCCAGACGACGCACTGTACAGCACCTACCTGCGGAAATCGCTCTGCACCGGCTAGCTAATTACGTCGCTCCAGTGTCCGTCCCGCCGCCGCCCGCCTGTTCCCCTCCAGTGTGCGGCTGGTCTTCCCACCACCACCCACTACCATCCATCGTCCGACTTGTATCACGCACGATTCAACCACCTCCCATCGCCGATACCCCGTCCCTCGTCTCCAGACAAACAGCTCGCCGTCGCATCTTCCACTCACCATCCTCCCCCGTTCTCACCAACACAGACGAACCTCATGATGGCCGCCTGAACACCCCATCGCCCCGCCTGACTGGCTTTTGACAAAACACCGTTGGATTGTCGCGTCATCGTCACTTGCAGCATGTCGAACCACAACGCAACACTCTCTACCATAGAATCGCAGTTGCGCCTCCAATCCTCCCAATCATGGAACCGCCCCAGCATCATCGGCAAGCCTCACCGCCGCCGGCCTCATCGCCCGCGAACTCTACCACCACAATGCAGCAGCCAAAGCCCAACAACCCTGCCCCGCATAACCGCCCGCTCTTCGCACACATTCCATCCTCAGCTGTGCTACCCTCGCGGACGAACCACAGCACGCCCATCACGTCGCCTGGCTTGTTCAGTCCTACAATGACCAGGCACAATACACAGCCGCCGACGTCGTGGTCCGAATCGAATTCGCCGGGTCCGGGCGCCGACCCCATCGCTCCTTATCTGCATCCGCTGCAGACCTACAAAGTGAGAGAGTAAGTTTGGGCGTCTCGTGTAGAATACCATCAGCTGACCAAGGAAGAACGACCAAAGCGCTCATCGAGTCCGACAACATCACCGGCCGCAAGCTCATCAACCAATATGAGGTCATCGAAGAGATCGGCCGCGGCATGCACGGCAAAGTCAAGTTGGCACGCAACATTGAAACGGGCGAGAATGTTGCGATCAAGATCATCCCGCGCTTCTCTAAGAAACGTCGTCTCGGTAAAGTCACCGCCATGTCGCCGCAGGACAAGACCAAGAAGGAGATTGCCATTCTCAAGAAAATCCGACACCCCAACGTCGTCGCCCTTCTTGAGGTCATTGACGACCCCGAGCTGAAGAAGATATACATGGTCCTCGAGCATGCCGAGCTCGGAGAAGTCGTTTGGAGAAAGAAGGGGCTGCCTCACATCTGCCAATACGAACGTCGGCGCGCAGAGAGGGAGGCTCGCGGCGACACCCGCACCGTCGAGGAGGAGAGATACGATCAGATTTTGGAGCAGCGGCAGGTACTCAAAGAGTACAAGCGCGCACGGATGGCTCAGCACTACAGTGGACCGACCGACTACTGGAGCAACGAGTACGGTGCCGCGGACGAACCCAGCAGCAGTTTTGGCCAAGCTTCGCGCATCATGTCCCGGGAAGACTTTGCTGTCAGCGATGGTCCTCCGTCCCAGCCTGGCTCGCGCCAACCCTCGAGAGGCCCGTCACGTTCCCACTCTCTTGCCTCTGTCGCTCGACCCCCCTCCGAACTCGACGAGGAAGTTGACTGGGAGGAGAACATGGAGACCCCCGGGCCGATTCGCTCCAACCCCAATTCCCATACGGCTCTCGATGGCATGATGTACGCGCCACAGCTTGAGGAGCATCACTTTCGTGGTCGCTCGCCGAGCATGGCCGACTCCATCATCTCCCACATGTCGTCTGTTGACATGTTCCAGCCCACGCATGATGCCTTTGCCGACGATTTCTCCTATGTTCCTTGTTTCACCATGGATCTAGCACGGTCCGCGTTCCGTGACACGCTCCTGGGCCTCGAATATCTGCACTACCAAGGCGTAGTGCACCGCGACATCAAGCCAGCCAATCTGCTCTGGAGCAAGGACCACCGTGTCAAGATTTCCGACTTTGGTGTCTCCTACTTTGGCCGACCAATCCGAGATGGCGAATTGGATGAGCCAGTGTCAGAGTCGGAGGCCAAAGACTTTGACGACGATGTCGAACTGTCAAAGACTGTCGGCACCCCTGCCTTCTTTGCGCCCGAGCTGTGCTACACCGACGAAGGCAGAGATCATCAGCCCAAGGTCTCGGAGCAAATTGATGTCTGGTCACTTGGCGTCACACTGTATTGCTTGATCTTCGCTCGCATCCCCTTTCTCGCCGAGGATGAGTTTCAAATGTTTCGCAAAATCGCCACGGAGGAAGTGTATATACCTCATCGCAGACTAAAGCCCGTCGACCCTTCAACGTCACCCGTTGGGACTTCACTGTACAAGAGACACAATGTCCACCCGTATCGCAACGACAACGACCTGGACTA